TTGAAAATAAGGGATCAGCAGCCTGGAAAATAAGGGACCAGCAGCCAAAATAAGGGACCTGCAGCCTCACCTGTTCCAGGCACTCCAGTCTTCCTGTCCTCCTGCAGTCTGGTCAAACTCATGCTGGTAGCTTCGAGAACACTGTCCAACCAACTTTGTAACCAGAGGTTCAACTGAATAGAATCTGAATCACATGCACCACAAGGCCTATGCAGCCTCAGCTTAAGATGGCTCCCTGGCCTGGCTTTGCACTGCAAAGTTTGCAGCAGCACGTGCAACAAAATGGCGTCCAGCATTCAAACCCCCCTCAGCTTGCATTAACTAGCCACACACAAGGCATGCAAGCTCCACCCCCAGTCGTTCTTAGACTTCTTATTGGGTGAGCAACACAGCCAAGCAACACAGTTGGAGCCTCCCTCCTCCCTGGCCGGCAGGGAGGGAGGGAGAGGAGCTGCTTCCTTTGAAATTTAAGGGACATCATTTAAGGGACATTTAAGGGACATCTATCAATAAGGGACAGCAGCGGGACATGGTGCTGGAATAAGGGACTGTCCCTTCAAATAAGGGACACTTGACAACTGTGTCCAGTGTAGAAGCAGTTGGCCATGGTTGTCTGCTAAAATGTTTAAGGCAGGAGACAGCAATCTTTGTCAGCCGAGGGTCGGTCCACCGTCCCTCAGACCATGTGGTGGGCCGGACTATATTTGGGGGGGGGGACATGAACAAATTCCTATGTCCTATTCAAATAACCCAGAGATGCATTTTAAATAAAAGCACACATTCTACTCATGTAAAAACACGCTGATACCCAGACTGTCCGCAGGCCGGATTGAGAAGGCGATTGGGCCGCATCCGGCCCCCAGGCCTTAGGTTGCCTACCCCTGATTTAAGCTGTGCCTTCACCTATGATGAATCTGCAGATTTGTAAATGGATGTGAATATTATGAAGTGCCAATAAGGCTCCTTCCAAGCGATCTCCTTCAAAATGTAAATAAAACTAGGTCATGCCCTAGCCCTGGAACATCTCACTTCTTGGAGAAGTGGAGTGAGTATAATAAATATACATATATAATTCTTGCCTTGATGTTATTAGACTTCACAAAACTCTCCTGTGCGATTTAAGTTGTAGACCTGAATCTTTCAAGGGCAGCAGAATTGCTAACCTCACAATTTGGAAACCGTGAAGCATATCCTTAAAAAAAAATTATCAGGAGAGCTCAACAATATTGCAATTAGACAGCACAACCAGTTTTCTGTTAATTCTCTTCCCCAACATATTACTGCACATGCACCATACATTAAAAGCACATTCCTCCAAAGAATCTTGGAAGCTTAAATTTGTTAAGGATGCTGGGAATTATAGCTATGTTGAGCTAAAGTGCAGTTCCCAGAAAACTCTTTCTGGGTGTGTGTGCTTTAAATGTACAGTGTGCACTTCTGAGAACATGAGAAGTGGAGACATTAAAAAGTCAGAGGCTCCCGAGATGTAATGAGTCTGGCAAGCTTACAAAAACAGCCCACAGGAAACAGAACCCACAACAGGTATCAGCTTTAGAGTAGCAAAATAAATGAAAAACCTCAACCCACATAATACCTGACAGATTCAGGGGATGCCATTTCATGACATTTTGAAAGTCCAAATGACTTGGCATGATCAGGTAATGACAAGTGTTCTGGACTATTCCCAAAATTGCTTCTGCTACTCACAGTCACAGCAGGGTGGGACTGAAGCGACCATCCTCAGGTGGGAGCAAGTCAGGTCATTCCAGGGTTTTCCAGCCAGATGGTCTCAAAGCCTAATACAGAAGAACTTTGAATGTGGACTTGAGCAAGCAGCAGATGGGAAGGTGACCAAGGTAACATCTGAGAACCAGCTCCTGCTTGTCTGTGTAATGAGTGCCAGTTTACAAGTGAAAAAAGAAGGGCAGAGTCCAGGTAGGGGAGAAGGAGGTTGGACAAAAGCACGCAGAGCAGGAGGTGGAGCTCATTTCCTGAAAAGCAGCTCTCTGGAAGGAGGAGTGCAGAAGTGGAATACAGCAGTTGAGAAAACAGCTATGCTATCTAGGCAAGGTGGCAATATTTTAAGATGCTGCATTAGTACCACACTGTGGGAAATGAGAGTTGCCTCCTCCTCAGTAGGATCTGCTGCCAAACACTCCCAGAGAATCCATTTTGATGGAAGTTCCAGATTGCTGTCTTGGGAGTTCAGAAGTTTCTCGGTAATTTCTAATGAGGCTTCTTCTCTTTGCCTTACTTTTGGTGCTCCCCTGAGACTGGTTGTTTTCATGCTCCACTAGAATTCCCAGTGGAATTCCTCAACCCCACCTTTGTTGAAATGTGCTAAGCAGAAATTCAGCCAGTGAAGCTTTTCATAGTATGTCGATGCAAAACTGGGTAAAGTTCCAGGCTGATGCATCCCATGAGATGCATGGTTCTAAGTACATGTCCACTTGCATTAGGAATACCATGGGAGGGAAGCAGCTGGAGGGAAGCAATTCACAGCATGAAAATTAGTGATGGGGAAGGCTTATAATGCAACACTTCCCACCTGCTGTTTCTCTGCTAAAAATGGGATCATCCCCAAGCAGTTTTTCTTCAGAAAATAGTTGTTTCCAGATGAAGGTTTAATATTGCAAATGGGTTGTTCAGCCAGCACAAACTGGTTTTAGGTCAACAGGTTCTTTCAACTTACAAAATTACTCCCTGGAAAGGACAGATCCAGATTAAATCGGGAAATATGGGCTGTCATTTTGAGACCAACAGCATTATGTGAACACTTATCCAGGCCGGCAGGGTTCAAAGGGCAGTGTAACCTCAACAAGCCCAGGTCAAGCACAGGGAATCAGTTTAACAGCAACAGGGTCCCCGAAAGAAGACTAGGTCAGATAACAGTACAAGGTCAATAGTGCAGGGTCAAATTAATTACAGTGGTACCTCGGTTTACAAACTTAATCCGTTCCGGAAGTCCATTCTTAAACCGAAACCATTCTTAAACCGAGGCACGCTTTCCCTAATGAGGCCTCCCGCCGCTGGTGCTCTTCCACCATTCAGATTCCGTTCTTAGACCAAGGTAAAGTTCGCAAACCAGGACACTACTTCCAATTTTGCGGAGTTCGTAAACCAAATCGTTCATGAACAGGACTGTTCTTAAACCGAGGTACCACTGTAATTACTTTTACAATCCACTGATACTCAAACAAAGTACAGTCAAACCTCGGTTGTCTAACGAATATGTTCCGGAAGCCTGTCCAGCTTCTAAAATGTTTGACAACTGAGGCATGGCTTCTGACTGTTTGCAAGAGCTTCATGCACTCAAATGGAAGCCACGTCGGATGTTCAGTTTCCGAAAAGCATTACAGAACTGGAGCATTCACTTCTGGGTTTTCAGCATTCGAGAGCTGAAATGTTCAAAAATGGAGCCATTCGACAATCGAGGTTTGACTGTACAACACAGCCAGGAGGGGGAATTGGGGACAAGGTGCCAAAGTACCAGGAACCAGTCCTGTTGGCAGCAACAAGGCAGCTGAGGAGAGAGACCTCTCTGGTTTCCTAGACCACACCCTAACCCCAGTTACTGGTAGTGAAGGAGTTCCAGGGATTCCTTACTCATGAGCCATGCAAGAACTCTGAGCCTATCAATGCATGCTATGATATTGCTCTTCAGGCCCAGGCCTTTTGGCACCAGCGTTCTCCAGAATTGAAGGGTGGATCCAACACTTCCTCTGACAGCTTCATGGGTTCTTCAGTCGGAAGGCCCCTCAAGGGGATTCTCAGCACTCAAACCTGTGGGGTGTCCAGTTTGGCCTCTGACGTGTCAGTGTTTGGTACCAGGTCAGGGCTAGGCATGACAGCAGCTAAACTGACCCGGTGAAACAAATTCATTTCTGCTCTATGGAATGTTGTGTAGGAACCACAGCAATCAGTCAAGCCAAAGCTTGTGCAAAAATGCCATTGCTGAATCACCAAGCCCGTTGTTGTGAAAGTTACAGCCTGTTTGAATATTCTTGCAAAGGTCTTCCCATTTGGTACTCTCAGAGACAGAAAGAGGAAATTGCACAAGGCACAGATTGGACTTGCCTGATATACTTTGCTGTCACAAGCAATTGCATTATCCAAGGTGTGGCTCAAACACAAGCTTCCTTACTGAGAGTCCTCCATATTGGAGCAGCATTGTAATTAGGGGATTTTAGGCTCTGGAGACTTAATAGTTTTACAGCCCCAACCCCACCCGCTTTTAATGGTATTGCGTATTGCGTAAGTCACTTCAAAATTTGGTAAACAAGTTCTCAAAGGAGAAATAGTTCAAACTTTACCTGACTTGAGAAACAGGAAGCCTCCTTGTCTGCATCTACAACAACAGCCCCTCTGTATGCCAAGCATGGCGTAACCCAAACCAATTCATATTTTCTCAGAAGGCACGCGAAAGAAAGATGGTTCTGAAGCAGATAAGACTTAAATATTAGTCCCATAGTGCAGATGTGAAAGAGAGAAATACTCATGCCGAAGGCCACCTAGTAAGTCCTTGTGAACAATTGTTAAGAATGCACCACCTGGCTCCGTTTATACAAGAACAAACACCCTTGTACACTTAAGTGGATGACTCCCAAATAATTAAATATTTGTTGTGGGGTGATGGGGGCGCCAGGTCAAGGACAGACCAGAGGAGGGTACCAGCAGCTACTGGAAGTCCTTGGGACTTAGTTCAGGAGATCTCAACACCACTGTGCGACATCATAGGAGCTGGTGGAAGAGGGACCATTGGAAGAGCAGGAAGACAGCACAGAATACCAGGAATACAGGGAAGAAGAGATCAAACAGCCTTCCAGCACAGAGGGAACTAGAACCCTGAAGGAACATGACTATTTGCTATCCCAACTCTCTGAGAGCCAGGAGGACGATTAGGAGGGCAGAACAACTGCCATGGCTGGTACAAAGGAGTGCAAGATTGAGAGCACATGACTCACCACCTGAAACCAATTAAGAGTCAACACCTGGAACCAATGGAGTCAAAACTCAGGTGGTGAGTCTCCGCCCCCATCAACTAAGGGCTATATAAGAAGAGAGTAACTTACCAGGGTGGATGCTTGCTTGACATGAAGGTTGTACAGGAAAGGGAGAGTAGCAGAGGCAGCAGTGACAGAGGGAAGCGAGGCGAGTATTGCCTGAACAGCAGAGGTGTATGTGGGTCATGCCAGGAAGTTGCTGTGATCCTGGACAGGAGGAGGATGCGAAAGCAAGGAAAACCATTCTTGCCAACATGTAGGGACCACCCATGTAGCTAGCTGGTGTATAGGAGCCACCAGTTGTGCTGCTGGGACTGAGCACCCCTGGGATCAGCATGGCACATAGGCTGCTGACCCGCAGCATAGAGTGCCTGTGGGACACTGCTTCAGGGCACATAGCTATAAACATCACTGTTATTGTACCTGTGCAAATGCAGAGTGTCACAACTGCAGCAAAGAAAATATGTGTATTTTACAGGATGTGTAAAGCTGCAATCTTCAAACATCTAAGCTAATTAGATAAAGGAAAGATCTATAGCTGTTAGCCGCAGCCCTCTGCATACCGACACATATACAAAAGCAATTAACTATACTGTAGACATAAAATATGAGCAACAAATCTTCCTGGTTCTAATTTCATTTACAGAGCAAAGCTGAAATCTGATTACTTCTGAAGCTTTTCCCTTTGTTCAAATCAATCACCTTTACAGGGTGTTGTAAGGATAATCGCAAGATAACGTATCTGAAACACTTTGAACGTTGAAAAACAAGATATACCGGTAAGTGCTAAGTAATGCCAAAATGGTATTTGTTCTTACTGGACTTCAAACCCATGTTATCAGTCCAATAGATGGAATAATAGTTTGAACAAATAAATGGATTTTAGAGAAAATGGAGCAGGAGATTGCATAGTCTCTTTGCCCTTGCACAGAAGACAAAGAAATCAAATTTTTTTTAAAGGAGGAAAGGTACTCTATCTCAAAAGAAGTGTGTGTTAAAAATCGACATTGAAAGTTTATTTATTATGAGTTGCCCACATCTAAGGCAAAGAGCATTATGTTTAAGAGGGATAAAGTGAGAACCTGGATCTCATCTCATCTCCTACACTTATTTTTATCTTTTAGGTGGAGGCAACAAACAGAATTGTAACCAGGTCTACTTAGAAAGAAGTCTCATTGAATTCAATGAGGTTTACTCCCAGGTCACTGGAGTTAAGACTGCAGCCTAAATGAGGGTAATGGATGCCCATGTCAGCAAAAAATTATGGCATCTGCTAGACGAGACATGTGGCTCCGGAGACATGTGGCTTCTTTTTTTAAGTCATAAGACAAGGCCTGGGAGCCTTTGGCCCTCCAGACGTTGCTGAACTACACTCCCATCATCCCTGGTCAATGGCCATGCTTGCTAGGGCTGATGGGAGTTGTAGTCCAGCAACATTGGGAGGGCCAATGGCAAACCTATCCCCATTAGGCTGCCTGCTTTAAGATGAAAATGTAGCTGAATGCTAGTGAAATTATTGCTCTTTAGGTGACCCTGAAGGCACAAACAATGGGAAACTGCCCTGGGTTACGACTTTATATATTTTTGTACTCTCTCTCAAATGAGGTTTTGCTTACGCTTACTACTTTTGCGTGAACCCATAGGGGGAGGTGGTGATTAAGCTAGAAAGGAAAGTCTATATAAAATACCTGTTTAACCAGTATAAGATAAGATTCTGCCCCTAAGTAGCTCCTCAAAAATGTTTTAGGACCTTTCCTCACCATCTGATCTGGGGGGTTGGGGGTTGTCACCTTTGTTGCTCACTTGATGTGTGCAGCCCTCAGCTGCTCCCTCATGGATGCCTTTCTGTTGTGTGAGGATTTGGTGCTTTCATACAGCTGTATTAGTTGTCCCTTCCTCAGGAGGAATATACTTCCTGAAGCCAGCGATGGCTAGCAGAGACTTGCAGTCAAATATTTTCCCGTCGGTATGTAACTTTGCTTTCTTCAGAACTTGCAAAGTTTGTTTTAAAAAGTACTTTGATATGTCCCAATCAGAATTTACTCAAGTTGTTCACCCCTTTACAAAACAAACCAATTCAGCTCACATTCAGTTCACAGTTCGAGTCCAGCAATTTTCTTTCTTTCTTTCTTTCTTTCTTTCTTTCTTTCTTTCTTTCTTTCTTTCTTTCCAGCATTCAGAATGTTACCAAGCTGCTGTGCTTAAGTATACTTAAGACTAATAAAATATCAAAACTCTCACACAGTAGAATGCGAATGGTTTAATACGTTTCCCCCAACAATAATGATCTTTGAACTTAAAGGTCCAAAGAATCTAAACTCTAAAACGTGTTTGTTTTTTTTTTAAAAAAATGTTAGAGAATTTATGTGAATATGAACTAGATATTGTACAAAGTTCTACCCAAAGCAAACTTATGTTTGGTTCACCTGGCAATTATGGGAACTACATGTTCAGTAGTAGTTCAGATTTTTGAACTAATTTAGTGAACTTTGTTAAACCAAATTGGTTCATTCCAAGCACTGATTTTCCTCACCTCTGCAGTCAGAGGCACCTTTTGAGATTTTGAATGCTCTGTTTCTTTTTTTTATATATAAGATATTTATTAAGATTTTTTTAAATATTACAATAACAAATGAAAAAGAAAAAAAATACAAAATAAAAATGATTAAAAACCACTCAATTTTTCCATTGCTTATTTTTCCTTAGCTTGTTTCCCGGACCTCCTCATACCTCCCTTTTTTGTATTCCAGTTCAGTTTGTTGGTTCAGCAAATCCTTACCCTCTTTATTTGTCCTAATCTTTGGTCTTAAAATAGTAACGTTAGATTTTTACCTCTTAACAACCCATTTTTCATATTCCCTTAAAGCATTACAGCTGGAAACCACTTAATTTCTATCCAACATCGTTCTAACATTCATTAATTTTACAATATTTCTGTAGATAATCTTTGAACTTCTTCCAATCTTCTTCCACCGACTCTTCTCCCTGGTCTCGGATTCTGCCAGTCATTTCTGCCAGTTCCATATAGTCCATCAACTTCATCTGCCATTCTTCCAGAGTGGGTAGATCTTGTGTCTTCCAATACTTTGCAATGAGTATTCTTGCTGCTGTTGTGGCATACATGAAAAAAGTTCTATCCTTCTTTGGCACCAATTGACCGACTATGCCCAGGAGAAAGGCCTCTGGTTTTTTCAAGAAGGTATATTTAAATACTTTTTTCAGTTCATTGTATATCATTTCCCAGAAAGCCTTAATCCTTGGGCACGTCCACCAAAGGTGAAAGAATGTACCTTCAGTTTCTTTACATTTCCAACATTTGTTATCGGGCAAATGATAAATTTTTGCAAGCTTGACTGGGGTCATGTACCACCTGTATATCATTTTCATAATATTCTCTCTTAAGGCATTACATGCCGTAAACTTCATACCTGTGGTCCATAACTGTTCCCAGTCAGCCATCATTATGTTATGTCCAACATCTTGTGCCCATTTAATCATAGCAGATTTCACCATTTCATCCTGAGTATTCCATTTCAACAGCAAGTTATACATCTTTGACAAAATCTTAGTTTTGGGTTCTAATAGTTCTGTTTCTAATTTTGATTTTTCCACCTGGAAACCAATTTTCTTATCCAACTTATATGCCTCCATTATCTGATAATAATGAAGCCAATCTCGCACTTTGTTTATTAATTTCTCAAAACTCTGCAATTTCAGTCTATCTCCATCTTGTTCCAAAATTTCCCAATATTTCGGCCATTTGGCCTCCATATTGAGCTTTTTCAGAGCTTTTGCTTCCATCGGTGACAGCCACCTTGGAGTTTTATTTTCCAATAAGTCCTTGTATCTTATCCAGACATTAAACAATGCTTTCCTGACAATGTGATTTTTAAATGCTTTATGTGCTTTGACCTTATCATACCACAGATATGCATGCCATCCAAATACATTGTTGAACCCTTCTAGATCCAAAATGTCAGTGTTTTCAAGAAGCAACCATTCTTTCAACCAGCAAAAAGCTGCTGATTCATAGTAAAGTTTAAAGTCTGGCAGGGCAAATCCACCTCGTTCCTTTGCATCTGTTAATATTTTAAATTTTATTCTAGGCTTCTTGCCCTGCCAGACAAATTTAGAAATATCTCTCTGCCACCTCTTGAAACAGTCCATTTTGTCCACAATTTGCAGTGTTTGAAACAAAAACAACATTCTAGGCAATACATTCATTTTTACCGCAGCAATACGGCCCAGCAGTGAAAGCTTCAAATTTGACCAAATTTCTAAATCTTTTTTTCACTTCAGCCCAGCATTTTTCATAGTTGTCTTTAAATAAATTCCCATTTTTGCTGTCATGTTAATCCCCAAGTATTTAACTTTCTTAACCACTGTTAAACCTGTCTCATTCTGAAACCTCTCTCTCTCCATTGGTGTTAAATTTTTCTCTAAAACCTTGGTCTTTAACTTATTCAACTTAAATCCTGCAACTTGACCAAATTCTTGAATCAGTTCTAAAACTCTTTTGGTACTAGATTCTGGCTCCTGTAACGTCAATACTAAGTCATCTGCAAATGCTCTCAATTTGTACTGTTTGGCTCCGACCTGTATACCTTTAACCAACCGGTCCCTTCTAATCATGTTCAGCAGAACCTCCAGGACCGATATAAAAAGCAATGGGGAAATTGGGCAACCTTGTCTTGTCCCTTTTTCTATCCTAAATTCTTCCGTCACCACATTATTTACAATTAGTTTAGCCTTTTGTTCTGAATAAATTGCACTTATACCGTTTTCAAAACCTTGGCCTACCCCCATCCCCTGTAGGTTCTTCTTCATAAAACTCCAAGAGATATTGTCAAAAGCTTTCTCCGCGTCCACAAATATCAAAACTGCTTTAGTATTTATGTTCACTTCTAGTTTTTCCAAAATATCAATTATATTCCTCAAATTATCGGACAAGTGTCTTCCCGGGAGAAAGCCCGCTTGGTCTTTATGAATCTCTTCCATCAATACTTTTTCAATCTCTTGGCCAAAATGTCTGCAAAAATTTTGTAATCCACATTAAGTAACGATATGGGGCGGTAGTTCTTAAGCTGAGTCTTTTCAGTCTCTGTCTTCGGTATAAGTGTAATGTACGCCTCTTTCCAAGACTCTGGTGCCCTTTTCCCTTCCAATATTTCATTGCAGACTTCCTTTAAAGGTTGTAATAACCACTCTTTCAAAGATCTATAATATCTAGAAGTCAGCCCATCCGGTCCTGGAGATTTGCCTAATTGCATGTTTTGAATGGCACCTTCTACTTCCTGTTCAGATATTTTATAGTTCAGCATTAACTTACTTTCTTGGGATATTTTTGTAATCCATTTGTCTTCAGAAATCGGTCTATATCCATTTCCTTCTGTGGCCCTTGTGTATATAGTTGTTTAAAATACCTCTGGAAACAATTTCTAATCTCAGTTGGGTTATGTATATTCTTTCCTTCCACTTCTAAATTTGTGATAGTATTTAATTTTTGTCTTTTTTTCATTTGCCAGGCCAGCAATTTCCCACATTTGTTAGCTGATTCAAATGTTTTTGTCTCATTTGTTTAATTTTCCATTCTATTTCCTGATTCATCATTTCCATATATTGTACTTGATATAACTTTATTTCTCTCAAAATCTCCTGCGACTTTGGTTTTGCTCTCAATTTCTTTTCACTTTCTTTTATTTTCCCCAAAATTTTATCTTTCTTCTCATTTTGACTTCTCTTCTTTATTGCATTCTGTTGTATCAGAAACCCTCTCATGACAGCTTTACTTGCGTCCCAGATTACTCTTTTTTCTACATTAGTATTCATATTTATTTCAAAATAGTCTCTCAAGGTTTTTTGGCCTTTTGAATGCTCTGTTTCCTTGTAGTTGCACCTGGACTTTCTGTAAGGGGAGGAGTTATTTATATATTTTGTTGAATTTCAACTCTGTTCCTTGTTAGTTCTCATCAATTGTAATCACTCAGTTAAACACCCTGGTGGATTCTTTTGCACAGTTCCAAATTCCATAACCTTTCCAAGGCAGGTCTGTAAGGCATTATTTGCTTTACTCAAGATTAATCCACATCCGGAATGAGTATCAAGGTGCAAAATAGTTCTCATTCCAACATGAAAAGAATCTAGTCATAGCTAGCCAGAGACAACACTTTAAAAAGAAGTTTGCACAGTACTTGCTTTCTGACTTTACAGGATTCACATTTCCATGTTTTCTTTAAAATTGTCAGGACCTGCACCACGAGCAGCTGTTTGGGCTCTCACTTTGATGAATGGGGCCAGATCCAGCAGGCCAGTGTCACTGGTGGTAGAGCAACAGGCCTCATTGTGGTGCAGCCAGATCCCATTGAATCAGCGGCTTCTGAGCTAGGCACCACGCAGCTGGGATCTCCAGAGACTCTAGGAACCATCTCCCGCCACACAAGAAACCCTCATCTTCCTGTTGAACTGGTAGGGTGGCCATGTGTTCTACTTTCACATATACTGGGCAGGCCCTGATCTTGCCATAGGATTGCCCCAACGGTTTACAGTACTTCCTGGTGCCAGCTATGGCTTCTATGGAAACAGAAGGGGCATTAAGCACTGGAACACCCACTCGCCTGATTACTCTGCTCCAAATCGCCTCTTCCTGAACCCGATTTACTGTAGTAGAAGCAGACATTGGGATTGTGTTACATACATTTGCTTACTGTAGTGTGAAGTTTCCTCCTCTCTGTAATAACTATTTAGCATTGCCTGGAGAAAGCTTAATAGTGGGGTAGGAGAGCTGGGGGGAAATTCACATCTGGCAACCAATGCGTCCCTTTGGTTTCAGATCATATATGGGTAAAAGTAAAGGTACCCCTGCCCGTACGGGCCGGTCGTGTCTGACTCTAGGGTTGTGCGCCCATCTCACTTAAGAGGCCGGGGGCCAGCGCTGTCCGAGGACACTTCCGGGTCACATGGCCAGCGTGACGAAGCTGCTCTGGCGAGCCGGCACCAGCGCAGCACACGGATACGCCGTTTACCTTCCCGCTATAAAGCGGTACCTATTTATCTACTTGCGCTTTAAGGGTGCTTTCGAACTGCTAGGTGGGCAGGAGCTGGGACCGAACGACGGGAGCTCACCCCGCCGCGGGGATTCGAACCGCCGACCATGCGATCGGCAAGTCCTAGGCGCTGAGGTTTTACCCACAGCGCCACCCGCGTCCCCCATATATGGGTAGACGAGTCTAAAAAATTTCATGGCCCTCTAGCAGCTATGGTGGCCCATTTACCATAAGTAATGTACTTTGCGTTAACTCTGGAAGTGTAAGTCTTTGATATTTATTTTGCTCTAGGCGGCTTAGTTTGGTCAGATTCGTGTATACACTTCCAGAGTTAATGGTAGATACATTACTTTTGGTAAATGAGGCACCATAGCTGCTAAGAGGGCCGTGAAAATTTGTGTACCAGGCTTTTTAGGCTCGTCTACCCATATATGATCTGAAACCAAAGGGTTGCCAGATGTAAAAAAAAATTCCAGCTCTCCTACCCCACTATGAGGAGTGTGTGTGTGTACATAACATAACATAACATAACAACATAACATAACAACATAACATAACACACATAAAACATAAAAATGAATATAGTTGGCAACACTGAAACTTCCAGGAGGACTGGGTCACCACCCTGTTAGAGGCAGCTCCACAGCTTATCTTAGTTTTTATTAGTACTTCAAAAGTTTTGTTTTCAAATGCCTGAGTTTGCTGGTTTGCAGTAAGCAGCAGCTACATTTTATCCAGTGCCCCCCCTTTCTCCTTTGAGGATTCAATTAACAGGCGTACTTTGATCTGTTTTAGCTGCCACGAGCCCACACCTATAGTAGGAGTCGCCCTCTGCTTTTAAGTAGTTATATATTTTAGCTGCCTGTGCCTTATGCTTTATTTTATTTTAAAAGCTGTGGAGCTATTTGGTTTCTTCTCCCCCCACCCTTTCTTCTACTCTCTGGCCAATGAACTTAAAAAGCCCCAGAAAAAAGAGTTGTCACCACTCCCTGGAATGTTTACAATCTAAGCTTCACAAAGTATTTACTCCTTTGACTTATAACTATTGAGAACCTACTTGCTGAGACCTGTGGAGGAGGTGGTAAACAGGTGGTCAGAGCTCCAGACTGATGTGTGGATCTGTGGTCCGGTTGAAAAGGAAGAACACACATGTTAAAATCGTTGTGAAAATGCTTTTTAAACAATCGTTTTGAAAAATGCTTTCAATTTGCTATAGCTCACAGTCTCCATCTAGTGTCACAATTGTATATTGCACTTTGCAACACATTCAAAACATTTTACTGTATTTGCAGCTGTATAGCTGAGTCCCCAGTGGGATTAGGACCCAAAATAGGACAATTGGAACCACTCCCTACTCCCTGGTAGCTGGTAACCAGTTAAAGATATCGAACTGAGTTCCATGGATTGTGGTTGCTGCTCTAAAGACTGAGTTGACATCCTGAGCAGGGAAAGACCATGCCTAACTGATTCCTGGGACAGGAAGATGTTAACAGAAATTCAATCTTTGGGGTGAAAGGAAACTTCAAGAAGTTTGGAAGAAGAAAGAACATTCTAGCTTTGAGCCCCCAATGTTTTCTACGGGACTTTCGAACCACTAAGCAGTCTTCTGAAGACAAACACTAGGACTTAAACCCAAACTGGTCAGCTCCATTCAGGCAAAACCACTCCTTTCATATGGTCAGGTCATATAGCCCTGTCTTTTGCATTTATTACTAATTGTTTCTCCTCTGATGGATAGACCTAAGCTGAAGTAACAGACTTAATGCATTTCTTCCTGAACAATTTGTTAGTTTTAAATTTAATTTTTCTAGATATAGCACTTGATTATATGTACCTATATATATATATATGTGTGTGTGTGAATGTATCTGTGAATATATTCTTATTATTATATTATTTTTAGACCCAGTAGGTCAATACCAGATGATAGTAAACCTACAATTCCTATCTTTAATAGATTTGACATTATAGAAATGGAAAGGCCAGAGCCCCAGCAGTTATGTCAGGAATATTAATAACACTAATGATATCAATCATACAAGTTGAAGTGGAGAGGAAGGTTTAAAAAATGCCATCTCTTCTCCAAGTGATAGGGTACTTCTTGCTCCACAATGTAATTTGGTGGCTGCAACAGTCCAAAATATTTTTAAAGATCTTAAACATCTCAAATAATGTAAACAGCCTGCTATCTGTGATAGCTCTACATTCCCTTCCCAAGCCCATTACTGAGAAGTCGGACAGTATTGCAACATCGTATAATAATGCAGTTGGTCAACCTTTCCAAATCTGCATAGTCAATAATTCTTCAGTGGATCCAATCCTACTTCTCCAAGCTAACAAGGTACATCTAACCATTTATCCTCACAGGAATACATTCAGGAAAATTGCTTGCAAAAATGTGTTAATAGTCAAAACCGCATACAAAAATGTGTTAAGAGAAATCTGCACTGAAATGCTGATGAATTTTCATGATGATGATTATTTAATTGCAAATTGCTGGAGAACTGATATGTAAACTAGAAACATTAAAAATGTAGGGAACAGAAACCCTACACATGCAAATTAACAGTTTGTCCATCCCTAGAGCGAAGTTCTACTCTTTAGGGTACCATCCACTTCATTCTTCTGCCAGTCCATTACTCAGTAAGCATTCCATAGCCACTGAGCGTGCTTAGCCCTCATTTGGCTGTTTGTTTGTGTTGTATTATTTCTGGAAACATAGAGATTCCCTCAGACCTGTCTGTTCTTATCTCACTCTTGTTTATGAGTGGTGCCACTCTGGTTACATAAAGAACAGTGCCTTTAGAACATTAGAAACAGAGGATTCCATTCCCGTCCCTGCACTTATTTTTCAAGCATATTCAGACACATTTCATTCTGTTTGGGGCTCCAAAGAATCCAGTCTTATAGAATCAACTTCAAAGGATGGCTTCTGAAGAATTTGCACCCAGTAGAGTATTTCAGCAAAACACAAGGCTGCATCTCCAGAAATCTATCCATTATTTTGTCTCCCCACCATTCCCACTTACAGGGAATCACATGAAAACAGCAACAGGGATATCTGGTGAACAGAGCAAACCTTTTAATCTCTACAATGGTACCTCAGGTTACATACGCTTCAGGTTACATACGCTTCAGGTTACAGACTCCGCTAACCCAGAAATAGTACCTCGGGTTAAGAACTTTGCTTCAGGATGAGAACAGAAATCGCGCGGCAGCAGCGGGGGGGCCCCATTAGCTAAAGTGGTGCTTCAGGTTAAGAACAGTTTCAGGTTAAGAACAGACCAAAAAAAAAAAAAAGAACAGACCTCCAGAACGAATTAAGTACTTAACCCGAGGTACCACTGTATTTGGAGGGAGAAAGCAGGTTATATACATTATTCCATCCTGTTTGGGATGGAAGGCATAGGATTTAAGTTTTCTTCTAAATAAATGACCAAATAGCATCTTCTCTAAATAATGTTTTGTGCCAAATATGGACTTTGAGTGCCTGTGTATGATGAACATGTTGGAAATGGAGAGAAATGTTGCTATGCTACAAATAAAATCATTCAACTGCTAATTTTTATTTTTTTAAAGACGCATGAAATTATAGCACCAACCACTGCCAGGCAACTCTGTTCAGAATGCTAATCTCCACAGCTGGCCAGTGCAAGGGTTCATGTGTGTTGACAGAGGAACCTAATGGCTTGTGTGCGTGCAAAGCAGGAATCAGTAGCCTTGGTAAGCGAAAAAAGCTTTCAGTCACAGAGAAAATGCACTGCTGCTCATAAATCTATTGAAGCCTTGAGTTAACAGCTACAGTAGGTTACATTTGTATTTATTTACTTATTTATATTAAATGACATCAGGCAGGCGTGTAGAATGTGAATGAGTGTTTTAATATGTTCTCAGTTTATTTCTTCTTTCATATTTTGAACGTTTTAAACGGTATTTTTATGTTTGTTTTTTACTGATTTTACTTGGTTGCTTTTGTAAGCTGCTTTGAGCTTCTTCTTCTATTTATTAAATTTGCATACAGCCCTTCATTCGTAGATCTCAGGGCGGTTCACAGCATAAAAATACAAGATTAAAAACACAAAATACATAATAAAAACAACAAGACAATAATCCCTCCCCGCACCCTCCCACAAACACATTTAAAAGGGCATAGGACAGGGGTCAGCAAGGTTTACCTTGCCTGGGCTGGTTCACTCCAGCGGAGATCCCTCCATGGGCCGGATCAGGCATGCGCCTGCAATTTCCAACATCTGCGCAGACGCGATTTCTGGTGCTGTGGAAGCGAGTCTCCATGCCACGCTGCGTCGGTTTAGCACAGCATGCCGAGCAGGCAGCTTGGTTTGGGGGCAGCTCGTGGGTCGGTTAAACGACCCCCATGGGCCACTCGTGGCCATGGGCCTTAGATTGCTGACCTCTGGCACAGGATAACAATCAAGCGGTGTGTGAATTTTATGAAATAAATAAATAAAATAATAAAGCTGTTATACTACCTAAAAGTGGCATACAAAAGAGGCAATTAAAATGTTGGTGAAAATCCCTCAAGAAAATAAAATACAACAAATGTCAAAAGACCAGCAGAAAACAGGAGCAAAACCCTCAACGAAGGATGAGATTAGCTCCCTTAGGGAGGGACTTCCACAGCTTGGGGGCTAAAACCAGTAACGCCTTGTCCTGCATTCCTAACAACTGCACTCCTGACAGTGTTGAGGTGTGAAGCAGGACAGTTCTATAGGTATCTACAGTGAGGCAGGGTGATGTAGAAGCAGGCAGCCATTTACTAAATACCCTAGTCCCAAACCATTTAGGGCACAGTGGCTAGCCTGTGGTCGGGCAGAGGTGACTCAACCAGCACAGATTATCTGAGCATACAGTAACATATCACCACTAAGCTACAGTCCAGGTTAGCCACCCCTGGTTTAGGGCTTAAAAACTGACAAGTAGCACCTTGATTTGGACTATGGAACAAACCAAGAACCAACAGATATCAAATAATAGCAGGATAACACACTCTGATAAACAGTCAGCTGTTATTCTGGCCATATCATTCTGCACCAGTTGCACTTTCACTTCAAAGGCAGTACTTTGATTTTTTAAAAATCTTTTGCAGATAATGTTGGTGTTAAGTTGCAATGATAACCATACTTATTAAGGCATCCTTTTTCAGCATTAGGCCCCCAGATGTTAAGCCTGCAAGAATGGCTTTGCAACAGTGTGAAGCTGGGGTGTGAAATGACAGAGAGAGAGACTGGAATGGAGTATCTTGAAATAAGGCATTGACTAGCTTGCAGACACACCAAACGGAAGCACCTCATCTGGCAACAGTATGTTTCTGTACCACCTTTCTGTTTTATGAATTATTTGTAAATATTATGTGCAACAAAATGAGTCATATACTAACAGCATTGCAAATCTATCCTGAAGGGTTGCTAAACCTTTGGGTGTAGGCTGTGTTGGAATGAAAAACTGTTAAAATACAAGGTAAAAGTTACAAAAAAAATTTTTATGTGACTTGCTTTATGACACTATTTGAGCCAGCGCCCTCTGCTGTCATCTGACACATTATACCTGTTTCATACAAAGGTGTCGTAGTAATTAGAATGCAGGAAATTGTTTTTCCCATGAGTGAAGTCTCTCAACAAAATCACGGCTTGTTGGCTGTATTCTCATGCATTTCATCTTCTCCTCTACAGTACGGTATTGTAAGTTGTGGAAGCTTTGCAGCCACTTTGCAAACCCTTTTAAAAATGCTAATAAACACATTTATCTCCTTTTGAGGCTAGTGCATTTAGCCTGTGCTTCAGTTTGACTGCCCACCCCACTTCTGTTGCTGGAGAGTTATTTCCCTCAGCCACAGTCCAGCTTTGGAGGCAATTACCGGAGGGTACCTTCAGCGGTGGCCCAAGACCTTCTGCTGCTAGAGGCAAAGGCACTGGAGCTGCCCTCCACCCCGTCACCGCCTGGCGGCCACTAAAGGTAAAACAACCCCTGACCATTAGGTCCAGTCATGACCAACTCTGGGGTTGCAGCGCTCATCTCGCTTTACTGGCCGAGGGAGCTGGCGTACAGCTTCCGGGTCATGTGGCCAGCATGACTAAGCCGCTTCTGACGAACCAGAGCAGCACACGGAAATGCTGTTTACCTTCCCGCCGGAGCGGTATCTATTTATCTACTTGCACTTTGATGTGCTTTTGAACTGCTAGGTTGGCAGGAGCAGGGACTGAGCAACGGGAGCTCACCCCGTCGCAGGGATTCGAACCGGCGACCTTCTGATCGGCAAGTCCTCTACCAAGCATTTGCTGCTGCCTGGTGCTCCGCTCCTCCACTGCTACAGCCGCACACCCACCCACCCATGGCTATGCGCCCTTGATGCCAGCACACCAGAGCTTCCCCAAGCAACCTTCATTCATTGAGAAAGCAATGTAGTGGAGGAGCAGCACCTGGCAGTGGAAAAGCAGGGGTGCGCAGCAGCGATCAGCAGTTGGTGGCATGTAGCAGCAGCAATGCCACCCCTGGGAGCCTGCTTTCTTGAGGCCACAGCCTTACCGTGCCTCATGGATGAGCTGGGCCTGAGTGCCTTCACATTTTGTTTCAGGTGCAAAGTTATAAGGCACCAGTGTGCCTGCAGCCTTTTTAGCAAATTGGGCTGGGGAGCTGTTTTGGGTGGGACATTTTTGGGAGTGTAATTGGCCATTTAGAGGTTTGTTTAAGGTTTTTTGCTCCCCCCTTTTGGTACTTTTGGGGTTTGGCAGTTTTGGTAGCAGTTAGCTTGCTAGGGGTTCTAGGACTTACTGTTAGGCGGAAATTTTTTTGTCACCAGGCACTTTTAGTTGTTGCTGGGCAGATATTTAGCATCTTCTGCCCTCTAGGTACTTTTAACAGTTTGTTTCAGGCCTGTGAGTTTTCAGGCTTTCAACATCTGCTTTGTCATTTCCTCTGCAATTTTGAGTTTGGTCCTGCCATTCTTTTTATATTGTCTTACTGTTAATTGTTCTTTGCAGTTGTAATTAACCTTTTGCTTTGGCTCCTCAGAAAAGAGGGCCAGCTCGAGTACAAGCAGCCTCATTTCCCTGTTGACTTTATCGTGGGCTCTATTAATCCCCAAAGGGTTAAAACTATGTGACAGAATTTCTGACCAATTTTAACATCAGTCCAAATGAGCCTGAGTCTGGGTGGACAAACATACTATTGGGCACCAACATCTTTTAAAAGTAGTACTGAATACTAGCACTTACCTGTAGTCAAACTAGGCTCGTACACAGCTGATTCCACACAGTTCTTCCCACCCTTGTGGTACAACCACTCTCTACCTAAGCCTGGTTGAACTGCTACAATATTCAGAGTAAAACCAGCCCCCTTAGAAGTGCTACACATTAATCATGTGCCTTGCAGCTATCTGGATTCTGGAGAAATGCACAAGGTTGCTGCATGCTTTGCAAAGAATTGTAGGCACACCCATTTTCTTCTTAGTAATCATCCTGGTGTTTCTGTGGAGTTTTCAACAAGATGATGATTTCAAATACGCCTTCTCCCCTCAACTAGATGAAATAATTTTTACTGTTAGCAGTTAAACTGCAAGTAATTAGCTTTGTCATCTGTACTACTTCTTGTAGTTTTGTAATTACAGTTCAACTACATGAAAAATTAAGTTTCACTGCTGCCCATCACTGGATAATGGCTGCAAATTCATTTTTCCTTAGTTTTGATGACTTCACATATACATCACTATGATGACTGATACAGCACTTTAAAAATAAAATAAAGGGCTTTCATAGTTGCTGTTCTTCCAATGCTATTTAAAATGTAGATACAACTTAAGAATCTAGTTTTACTTCCTTTTTCAGATATCCTAAACCAGAGGTGGGGAACCTATTCTGCTCCTGACATTACTGGACTGCAACTCACATCAGTTCTAACCATTAACCATGTTGGCTAGGACCAATGGGAGTTGGTTCAGCAATGTCTGAGGGCCACAGGTCCCCTGCCTCTGCCCTAATTGACCAGAGATTGGTTGGCAACACTGGCTGGATGAACCCCAAACTGCACTACCACTGCTAACCTGCACTCCAAATCCAGCTGCAATAATATACCTTCACTGAACTCTGCATGACATTGTTGTTGAATGTTGTAGCACCATGCAGATAGAACATTAACTGGCTGGAAGAACCCAGCCAGATGGGTGGGGTATAAATAATAATAATAATAATTATTATTATTAATCAGAGACCTGCAGAAATCTGGACTGTATTCGCCTAAATGCAGCATCATTGGTACTTAGTGAGGTGGTAAAGAACAGTCCTCAAAGAAGGCCTAGTGAAACTACCATCTAAGCACATAGCAGCCACATTTCCCCCCACCAGGGGTGCAATGGACTGAATTGTCTGTTAACAAAATATATTACACTAAGCATTGGTCAGGAGCTGGTATCCAACTGTCACAACTGAGTAGTTTTGATTGATACTCAAAACACGAATAACCAGCAAACTCGGTCCAAGTTAATACTGTCATAAGTTAGCATGAATAGATGGGGAAAGTGCAGCTGCTATGGGCTCAAATGGTCATGTATGTCCCATCAGATTACATCCAGGTAAACTGGCTAAAGTAGAGCTGTGATTTACTCCACTGATGTGAAAAATCTGCCATCAACCTCCAAGAGCTCAGCCTAATTGTCTTACTGCACTAAGCTGAAGAGCAATCTTTCCAAGGCAGCATTCACTACTCAGAATTGAATACTTGACGAGCTGCAAGTGATCCAGATGCCATTTCAGTTACTGTTCTCTACTGTAGTTCCACATCAAACCTTGGTCACTGCACTGCCCATGAATGGCTCAGTGTAAAAAAAGGGTGTGCTGGCAGAGAGAAAGAGAGAAATTGTTTTAGCAAATCCGTATTTAAAATGTGTTGTAAGACTCTAACACCTTTTGAATGAACACCATGAATTACTGAGAATTACTGCACAGCTGAATAAGAGGATTCTGAGCAAGTGCAGTGAGAAATAAAACACACACATTCAAAGCAATAGATGGTGGCGACAGGGCTCTTGAAAAGAGAAATAATTGAATGCTGCTAACTCAAAACTGCTATCAAGATGAACAGAAAAATGGAAACAACATACCATTTTACTTTCCCAGCTGTTAAATGAGAGGAATAGGTAATAAGCAAGTCAGACCACATTTGTGAATGGTTTTTATCAATGCACACATAAAATGCATATATTTGCACAATCAGAAAAAATTAACATCTTCAGTCAAAACACTGGTGATGGAAAAAGCAGTTCAAGGAAAAAAGGAGAGATCTGTTAAGTCAGCTATCGAAAATGCAAGCAAGTAACTAGCATTATCTCTTCACAGTCACTTTGCTAAGAAAGAACTGAATCTGTATTCATAATTTCAGTTTTAGGCTGAAATTCAATGATTCAGAGGAATGATGTAAAGTCTTAACTTTAAAAATGTTTATAGAACTAAACACACAATGGTCTTCCAAGTCAGTCAAATGAGGGATGCATAAGAGAGAAAGTGAACAATCAGAACTCCTTCAAGATTTCAAGAAATTATTTGGTCTTGGTAATCTTTTTTTTATGAGCTTCTTTTAATGTTCAAGCCAAGCCTATCCTCTCTCATGGCAGTGTCTACTCATCAAATACAGTACTCCACTTTCTGAAGACAGAAAGAAATAAAAGACTAACATTAAGGCATACACAGAGCTACGCTGTCTGCTTTTGTTGAATTAGAATCAGTTTACTTGGACTTGAATACGTGGAATGTTGGCACAAAACTAAAGCAGTAGTGAACACAGCTGCCAATCTCACTGATTCTGTTAGGTCCTTGTGACTTGCATTTCCCTTACACACACACATTCTGAAATGGCTTTTAATTATACAAATTGAAAACTGGATAAATCCTCCAAATAATAAGTAACAGGTAAAATAAGGGGGTTGCTTTATTTGTATGTTATGTACAGAATACACTTCTTGTAGTATGATGGGGCAAGTCAAGACAAGAGCTATAACCTCCAAATTATGCTCTCCCCCCCCCCCGCCACCTGTTGAAGATGATTTCTTTGCTCTGAACCAGATGGACAGAACAGTCTGGATTTCCTAAGTTGGTCACACACAGTTAAAAAGTTTAAAACCCTACAGCCAAGTCAGCATTAACTTATATGTCTTAAGAAAAAAAATATTCTTAAACAAAAAGTTCTAAGAAAAGTCTTACAGTTTTATGAAGATTAATAACAATATAAATAGAATGAACCGAAAAGTTCAGTTGTTGTAAGTATCAATCAAATTAAGCTATTAGGAATAAATGCAACAAGTGCCATTTTAAATTACTATTCTGGAAAAGTGTAGTTACTGAAAACATGCAATTTCCCAAAATATTATTAAAAGAACTACATTCCTCCGTATATTTGATGACTTAAGCAGACCAAAATATCTGACTGACAAGTTGTGAAACAGATGGCTTTTGTAAGTGTATATTAGATTACTTACAACAACTATCAAGTTAAGTGGTTTTCTTCTGTTTGTAAAACAAATTAAGAACTATGTTATAAAGCTGTTTGGCTAAGCGGCATCTGTATATTTCAGCAAATAAGGAAGAAATGAATGCTGTCAATATGGTGTAGCAGCCAACATAGAAAATCCAACTGTCTGCACAAAATTTAGTCCCAAACTACAGCTGAATTAAGATTGTTCATGTAAAGGCCTAGTATCTTGCTCCTCTTCTTCCTCTTCCTCCTCTTCACAATCCTCTTCATCCGTTTGCTGGTCAAGTTCCTCTTTTGTGATCATTTCAAAATCATTTCCATTGCCACTACTGTGCTGGGACCGGTCATCCTCCCGCCTATCACTGTCTGTGTCCGAATTCCGCTCTCCGCCAGAAGCTTCTGATCCCAAGCCTCCCAGTGGATCAGCTTTGCCGTCCTCATCTTCTTTTTTCTCACTATCAGATTTCTCCTCACTGTCGAATTTTGGCTGCTTTTTGGATTCGGACTTCTCATCTTTCTTTGAATCAGCTTTTGGTCCTTTGTACTCATGTGTATACAGGGGCCTGAAGGAGTCAATGAAGCCAACGTCAGCAGTCAGGTTTGGCAAGAACCAGAAGTGATGTCTTCCACCAGTTATCAGCCAGATGATAAGGAAGAGGATGCAGCGGGCTACAAGAAGAAAATGTCCAAATGTCTTAAACAGGATATTTACAGAACACAGAGCTACATTTATGTTTGCAAATGACAAAATGCCTGAACTGGCAATGCAGAAAATTCTGAGTGAGAGAAATTAAGTAAGCCACTGCAATCTTGGGGCCCACACTTAAGAGGCAGCTCAGGAATTTAAAGGGCTCCAGGTTCTCCCACCTCCAATTCTTTTCCAGAAATTGCTTTCCATATCTATTAATTACATTAAGATCAAGGGTTAAAATGCAAACTCAACTGCTGAGTTCTAATTAAGGCCCTAACATTCTTAAACTGTTTCACCACTTGTTGAAAATCTGTATGGTGTACATTCTCTACTGCCAGTTAATGACCAACTTTGGTTGCTGGCTAATAGTTCAAACTACAAGGTAAAGGTTGAAAACATTAAAATATAATAATATTGAGTAAGCATTCCCTTTCGATTCCACCAACAAGCAATACCTAAATGGTTAAGATGCTCATTGGTTTTTGTTTACTTACATTTCTAGACCACACTAAACCTCACAGGGCAGATAACAAAACATGCATTACACATATACCATATAACAAAACATTTAAAATCAAATTGGATCATTACCAAACAATTTTAAGCCCTATTTTTGCTTGGCTGCGGATACTGCAATCTAGCTCCAATGATGTGGCTTAAGCACATTCAAAAGGAGACTGATTGGCAAGTCTCTAGAAGAATGAAATTACACTGCTGTGAGTAAGCCCACAACCACTCTCTACATGCCCTTGAGGAATAGACATATACAACAGAACCAAGAGGGAATTCTGAACAATCACAGTCAACACAACTGGAAATATAATAGTAATAGTAATAGTAATAGTAATATATAAAGGTAAGCAGAGACCAAGACATTTATAAAGATTTATAATCTGAGAGACCTCTATCTGAGAGACTGTAGGTATCTGGAGCAGATGCAGGAATATCTGGAATAAAACCTGATTCTAGAGAACCATTTCAGTTAATTGTACTTACTGTCCTGTCTATGCTCAGTAATTTAATTAATTTGTACACTACAATCTCAAGGGATCTCATTCTGTCTCTTAACCTTTCCCCCTGCCTCATTATACATATATATGTTTCCTTCTAGCTTCCTTTTACTACCAAAAATAGTTTCAGCAGTGAATGCTTTCAAGTAAGTAAATGAACTGCTTGTAGCCAGTGGCAGATAGTTTAGCATAAAGCTGTACAACCAGGTGCCGCCCCATATAAAACATGGTTCCATGAAGTGATCATATGTGCAATAAAGCACAGAATGCCGTTTTTATGCTGTGAATCAAGCCTCACAGCAAAGCCTCACAGAATACCCCTCCTGTAGGTTTAGCACTTCTAACTGTCAGTAAGGAGACAAAAAGTCTCTCATTGAAGCAGTAAAGCTAGAGGGAAATGTTAAGTACAGTCCTAAAACAAGTCATTGCTGCAAGAGCAGTCAGAGGAAATGTAAGCAAGACTACTGTACAGGGACTGGTGCACTTAGCTTCTCCCATGAGACAGAAATGGCAACACAAACATCAGAACTGCTCCCACTGCGTGAAAGCAACCAGAATGAATGCACACTTGCAGTCAGCTTTATTACAAATGGCGCAATGGTGACATATGGTGGCCACCTGGGAAACATTCACATGGTGCAAGGCAAGTCTATGAGATGCTTAAATCTGAACTGTGAGAGATGGAGAGGAAGAGAAGAGAAACACACACTTACCAACAGCCAGGAGGAGAATACTAGCCACAAAACACCCTGCACCTACGCTCAAATAATAAACGCCTACTCGCATCTCTGCAGGCCAGAGTGGGAAGAGAGTTGCAGCTATAACAGCAGTCACTGTTAAAAGAAAGACAGCACAAGCATAAGAAATACTGGGAGCTTTAGGACTGAAATAAATGCAACAGCGCCACTTTAATTTGGGGGGGGGGATGTTTTGAGCCCTCACAATTGTCTTGTAAAAGTGGGTGCTGTGCCTCTACAGAATATGGGTGTAATCCACTGCAGTGTTTGTCCTGCCCAAAACCAATTAACATCTATTGGAACTTAACAAGCCCCATTTATTTCAATGGGAAGGGGGGGGGATTTGCCCGTGAAAGCCACAGATGTGCTAAGAGGCAGACCGTTTGTTGGGTGGGTTGCCAGTTACACCCAACAGTGCTCACTTACTTACCAAGTATGAGTCCCATGGCAAATGTTTTAAAATGAACTGGGTCATAAATCCACACATATACCTGGAAGGAGAATGATTACATAAAAATTAAACCAGGTTCTGAAAACAAAGGTATATGAGGAAGCTGATTGGAAATAATATATTCTGCTTGCAATAGTTCATCACTGTAGCATGTACAGAAGTCTGAACATTTTCTCCGTGACCTGAGGCAGCTTATTAATGGGCTGAGCTAAAGTCTTGTTCTCTGTGCAACAATAAATCTATGTATTTTATCTAAGCATTGCAGGGGGTTGGAACAGATGAGCCTCAGGTCCCTTCCAACTCTACAATTCTATGATTCTATGTCTGGGGCTGTGTCACTTCAGACTGGAGATGGAAGTTTACATCCTTTAATGTTCCTCCATAGAAAAAGTTGCTGGCATGTAGAAAACTGTGCATCAGGAAGAAAACTGCAACCTTTCTCCATGACAGCTAGTGCTCTCCCTCCCTCCCTCCTCCTGTACTAGAGTACTGCAGTGTGAGGGAATGAAACTCAGACACAGGTCTAGTTCCTCAAGGAGAACTAGGTCTAAGTATTTATGGTTATTATCATAGATCTGGGAACCTGATAAGCACTTCTCTGCAAAGTAGGCTGGGGATGGACGTATAGGGGAAAAGCAGGGCTGGGTGAAGATGCTTCTCCTCCCTGCCCATCACTGTTTCTGCACAACACCCATCTACCATTGCTTTCTGCAACAAGAGCAGCAAACATACATCTAGGATCAAAATGGAGGGGGGGGTAGTGTGTAGGGTAGAGAGGTGTCACGTGAAGAGCTACATCTCCCCTGCAAACTGCCTTTCCCTTTGCAGCAGAAAAACAGTGGTGTGGTTCCACCACCAAATGCTCAATTAGCCTTATAACAACATCTGAGATCCCATAAACCCACAATGCACCCGCAATTTGAAGGGCAGGCCTAGAGATGCAATCTATTGAATCCAGCCACAACAGGTAATTCTTGTAATGGCTATGAAGAACAATTGGAAAGTGCTGTTCCTTATTTCAAGCAAGACTAATGGTCCGTCTATGGCAGCAGCTTATGAGGACTTTAAGGCAGAAGTAAACCTGTGCTTTTGAATAAGCGTACACACTTTGGGGAGCAATAACCAACAGTACCAGGACATTGTCCTGTTAAATCAGACCAAAATCTATCTAGCCTTGGTATGAAATTTATGCATGTTGTGATTATGTGATAAGTAAACTAAATATGAAATCTTAACAGAAAAAAGCCCTTAGATTATTACTCCTATTTTATTTAAAAGATTTATATCCTGTTCTTCACCTAATGGTCTCAGAGGAAATTACACTCAAGTAAACTACATCACAACAGTGTCTCCCAACTTAGTACTCTCTAGATGTTTTGGAGTACAATTACCATCCGCCTCAGCGAGCATAGCCAATGGTCAGGGATTTTATTTATTTATTGCATTATTACACCTTTCCTCCAAGAAGTTCAAGGTGACATATTGTAGTCTGAAACAGTTGGGGGCACCAGGTTAGAGAAGACTGCAGTAAAACAACAGAATAGAAAAAAATATATTTTAAAAATAAAAAAATCAAAACCAAGAATTCCCCTATTTTTATTTATTTAACAGAATGTATAAGCCACGTGATTGTAAGAAAATCCCTAAGCAGTTTACAAAAATATATTTTTTAAAAATTACTGATAAAAACAGCTAAAACAGGTATTTTAAAACATTACCAAACATTCATAAAACCAGAGCCAGATGTCTCCAATTCTGACCAACTACATCAAGAAAAATCTAGTTAGACTAGTGGATTTCTCCACATTTTTATTACTGGTAAACATTATAGACAGGAAAACATTTCAGCAACAGAGATTATTCAGATACTGTACCTCATTTCCATCCAGAAAAACCTGATCTTCATGAGGCTCAAGTTTGAATTTTCTCTTTGTCTCCTTCTTCTTAGGTGTGCCAGGAGTCTCATCCTAATGACATATATTGGAAACAATTGCCAGTGAAATTGTGCTCATGAGAACACCTCATGTAGCTGGGATACAAGAGAGCCTTCCCTTCTGCCTTTGTTCCCACATACTGATTCGAAAGCAGCATTGAGGATAAAGACATGGTTCCACCTCAGACCATGGTCTTTGGACTGAGATATAAAGGTTTAACTAGGCATTTCCTCTTGGGGAACCTCCAGTCTGTGGGCCTGTCTGGCAGCACCATTTGCCCCACGGGGCCATGTTGGACAAGCTATGCCAACCTGCCATTCAACCTGATGTCATATATAACATCAGATGGAGAGGCAGGTAAAGGTGGGGTTTGGCCAAATGAGGCTTTGCAGGCACCACCAATCCAAGGTGCCTGCAAAACCCTTTCTGCAGTAGCTCCTAAGCACCTGACAACCAGGAGGTTGTCAGACACTTTGCAAGCAGAGTTTGGAATGCCCCTTGTGCTAGACTTCCCAAGCACTGGGCGCCGAGTACCTGGACAAAGGGGCTATGAAACCTCCCCTAAAAGAAAGAAAAATTGTCCCATAAAGAATTACAACACGTTGACACTTACTCTCCTAGAGATAAATTTGACAGGTGGGTAGGCCCTGCCAGGACTGGAGATACAGAGATCTTATCCACTGAACTGAACAGGTACCCCATACCCGCCTTAAGTCCATTAAAATTCTCCCACTGATTTCGGTTACATGCAACTCAAGGAATACAACATTGACAAAAAGCTAAACATTTTGTTAAAATTTACTATTTAGTATTACTGAGAACTCAGAAAGAAAGATACAGACACCAATTGTTCTGACTGATCCTCTTTTCTTCCTTAGAACACAAAATTCTAGAACAGACTATTTATACTTTAACCTCCTCTTTATTAGACCAATTCCCCCAAAAAATCTTAACTCAAACATGCCTCTATAATATAGGTTATTTAATGTGCATCTTCTCAAATAAATTCTTAAAACTTTATTGCCTGCATGTCTGCCTAGCTTCTTACTCTCCCCCTTCTCACAGTCCTTGCCCTGGCACACCCCTTTGTGATTCCCCAGTAATGTTCCATCACTATGGACTGAAAAGACTGCCGGGGTGCCATGAATTCTTACCTGTGCTATGGAATCTCTCAAGTATGTGTGTTACAAAAATAAGTACACAATGCAGCCAAAATTAAGCCCTTTTTATTTTCACCAATTTCAAAAGGAAATATTTAAGCACCTGTTAAAGTATTTTATTAAAATCAAGGGACTTTTTATATGCTTAGCTATAGCTGAATGCTGTTAATTATAATTTACAGTTGGTAATCGCAGACAAAAAAATGAAGAATGCTCAAAATAACGACAGTTAACTCACAACTTGCACTCATTTAATTTGTGCGCATTCAACTTTACGCGCTTGGCAAATTTTAAAAAATATAAATAAAAAGGGGCTGAAAGTGGGTGGGTTGCCTGGGGGAAAATTATTTTAGGCAATACCACCTGCCATTCCACCCAATGCATTTTGACTACACACAAGTTTGGCTTTATATGCTATCCCCAGAACATAACCCCCACATAAGTTGAGCCTTGCTTGTACAGTATTACAATCTGGTTTCCAGCCTAGCTATAGCCCTGAAACTATCTTGATCATTCTAGCTAATAACCTTCATCAGGAGGGACAGGAGGAGCACAACCCTGTTGATTCTTGATTCTCCAATGTCTTCGATACTGCAGACCATGGCATCCCTCTGAACTGCCTTGTCTGAATGGGGCTTGGAGACACAATGTTACAGTGGCTCTGGTTCTTTCCGGAAGAGTGAGTCTAGAACATGGTGTTGGGAGACTAATCACTGGATGAGCTCTGCCAGAGTTTTGGGCTGGTGTGTTACCAAGATGCAGAGAACACACAGTTCTGCTTCTCAGAAAGGCAGTAGAAATCTTATCAGGTATCTTGGGGCAGTTATGGAACAAATGAGGTCAAACAAATGGAAACTTAATCATGATAAAATGGATATACAGTTTGGGCTCTGCATAGAGGTTTGCAAACAATTTTAGACAGGCTTACCCTGTCTCTAAAGAATCAGGTATGCAGTTTGAAAGTACTCATGGATCCAGTATTACCTATGAAAGTATAGATGGTAGACATGGAGGGGATGGGAGGAGAGGGGGTTATTGGTTTATGGGTTGGTTTGTGTTTTTTTTGTTCTTGTTTTTATTATGCATTTGCTATGTTTATCTTGTATTTTTATGTTGGGAACTACCTTGAGATCAATTGATGAAGGGTGGTATACAAGTTTAATATACAGTAATAATAATAATGCTTTTTACCAGCTGCAATGCTGTCTAGAGAAAGCGTCAGCTACACACACAACATACAGACTGCATTACTGTAACTACATAAGGCTGCCTCTGAAGACAGTCCAGAAACTTCAGCTAGTGAAAAATTCAACCACCAGAATACTTGCCAAGGTGTGGGGTGGGGTAGGCAGTACGGCCACACCACACAAACTTTGCATCAGTTGCATTGGTCAGCCATTCGTTTCCTGGGTCAATTTAATGTGCTGCCATTAACATTCAAAGCATCAAAAGGGTTGGTACCAGATTATTTGACAAATACCCAAACTCACAGAAAGCTGCTCAGGCCCTAAAATCAACCTTAGAGGACCTGTTCTTGCCATTGAAGATAATCAGATTAGTCAGGAACAGGATCCTTTCAGGAATGATCCTACATCTGTGAAATATCCTGCCCTGAAAAGTCTGCTTTGGGCCCCTTTTGTATTAAATGGCCCCTAAAAGTGTCCTTATCCTGTCAAGTTTTCTATTGATTTTCCCGTGACACTCCTACCCCAGATATGATTTTATTTGTTGCTAGTTTATTATACTATTTATTAGTTGGTTTTTTACACATTTTTATTGTAAGGGGCTGTATAACAATCTGCCCTAAAAGGGGTGGGGGGAATAAATAAGATGATGAAAATTAGGTGAATGGGTAATTATTGTACAGTAATTGTGGTTCTTAGGGACGCGGGTGGCGCTGTGGGTTAAACCACAGAGCCTAGGATTTGCCGATCAGAAGGTCGGCGGTTCAAATCCCTGCGACGGGGTGAGCTCCCGTTGCTCGGTCCCAGCTCCTGCCCACCTAGCAGTTTGAAAGCATGTCAGAGTGCAAGTAGATAAATAGGTACCGCTCTGGCGGGAAGGTAAACTGCGTTTCCGTGCACTGCTCTGGTTCGCCAGAAGCAGCTTAGTCATGCTGGCCACATGACCTGGAAGCTGTACGCCGGCTCCCTCGGCCAATAAAGCGAGATGAGCGCCGCAACCCCAGTCGGTCACGACTGGACCTAATGGTCAGGGTTCCCTTTACCTTTACTTAATTGTGGTTCTTATTGGGCCAAACGTTACTCAAGCAGAAGGTTGCTTGATTTCCCGTACCCGCCTCCTTACTGTGCCCCAAAAATGATTCTCTGTAAAATCAGAGAACACCCAAAATAGGGTTCACCCTGGATTGTTGTGCTGGGAGGGAAGACATAGCCAAAAGACAGAGGGAGCTCACAGAAGTGGAACTGCTTTTGTCCAATGTCTGATGATTTCCCCATCTGTAACCTTCCACATAACATCCTAATTCTGAGGGTTCCCTGTCCACAGGAGTAGCTTTTCCAGGACACAGAAAACAGCAGTGAGGAGAAAGGGTATAAGAAAGCTAGGCAGTGCAAAAGGTTTCTTACTCATGAAAATTTGGAGGCTGCTTGTTGTTCTAATACAAGACAAATGGAGTCCAGTTCTCTAAACCTATCTGTCATTTGGTATACCTCTCTGGCTCAAATATAGGTTGTGAGATTCATAACTTGTTACTTGCCAGATTTTAGTTGAATGGTATAAATCCTAAGATATGTTCTCTGAAAGACATTCACAAAATGACGTCTCCTCTCCTCTCCCTTCCCTACCTTGCACCCCCTAAAAAGCTTATCTAGAGAGTTGGTGGGCCCTTCTAAACAATGTAGTTTGTGATGTCTGGGGGGGGGTCTTCTGAGGGAAGGGGAGAATCTGTTGAATGGTCACTTTAAAATGTGAAGGTTCATTATTGTTTCACAAGTTGTGTATGTCTTTAAGGGCCAGGGCCAGGGCAAATAACGAGACCCAGTCTTACAGCTGTGAAACATAGCAGGTGCTGCTGAGTTGTGCTAATCAAGCTGTGTCAGCAATTGGGTATAGTATATAAGGAGCAGCACCTAGCTCTCCCTTTACCCTGGGGGATGGGCTGGTGGTTGGGTCTGGTTTGTTGCTGATGTATTTAATGTATAAGGAGTTTTTGTTTTTGTTATTAAAACCTTGTTTAAGTTATTTTTGAGTCCCTTTTTAATGCATGGTCTCCCCAGCAAGCTCTCTGCAGCGCTACTAAACTGCAAATAGCCAACAGAATTGCCCATAATCCATCTTAGATCCTAGAACAAGTTAACGAAGTTCATGGAAGGAAACCATTTCCAGTAGGATAGCCATGATAGTTGGTTGCAGCAAAAACAACAAAGCCTTAAGGCATTACATCTGCTCTGACCCATCACACAGACTCACAATTTAAGGATTTACACCAGGCATTTCTCAGATTACAATACAAATCCAATGGAGTGAAAGAGCAAATCAGCAAGGTCAGACCAATTTCCAGAAATAATCAACTACAGGACAGATGAGGAAGAGAAAGCAACAGACCACCATTTATAGCCACCTACAGCTCCCAGATATAGCCACTCAAGCATGAATAATCTACAGCCCATCTTGGACAATATTGCTTCCTTCTCACAGGTCTTGGGTAGGAGGACTGTTCTTGCTTACACACAACACCCATAACAACTACTCGCCAACAAGAGCTCATATAACAGAACACAAAAACAGGAACCAGGCCCTGCAACAAACCGAGATGCCAATTCTTTTCCCATACCTTCTCTGGCAACAGTATTACAGGACCTAAAATAACATCAATAGTTCATTCACCTGCTCATCTTCCAATGCATTATGTCATCTGCCAGCAATGCCCTTCTGCATTCTACATAGGACAAACAGGCCCATCCCTACACAAAAGAATCAATGAATACATATCTGACATAAGAAATGGCAATATTCATAGACCAGTACGAGAATGCTTCAATCCACTAGGGCACTTTGCCAATTATCTTAAAGTAGCCATACTTGAACAAAGGAATTTCCAAAGGAGGCCACAGCATGAAACAGCTACATTACAATTCGCATGGTCCTCCAGACAGCTTGGAGGGGGTCTTCTGCACATAGCAGGATGAGCAACTTTCCTTCCTTCCACAAACCTCTTTAGCTGACTTAAGAGTCATGCTATCAATTTTAGGAGCTGAATTTTTTTTCAGCTGACAGTTGCATCTTTTGCAGAAATACAAAACACAAAAAAAACTGTAGGGGGAAATTCTCAGGCCCAATAAGGACTAAGCATTCTCAGTTGCTACAGCACATTGTGTTGAGTGGTGGGGTGGTTGGAATGGGCAACTGGGAGTGGGGGGAGAACAGAGGGAGGACTAGATGAAATGTAGTGTCATGGAAAAGGGCATGGCCTACACCTGAACAGGAAAACTCCAGGACAGGAATATGTGTTTCAAACAAATTGTAAACTCAGTTATTTTATGCATCCTACCTCAGTATATTGTATTTCTAAATAAGAGACCTTGTATTTTTAATGAAACTGATATTCATCTATGGTTAAATTCACCCCAAGGATTTCAGTTTTCCTTAAACTTAAATCTGGAACCAATACTAAAAGAGGTAGTTATCAAAACAGTAACTTTTTTAGAACTTGAAACTGTTTACAGTATGCATATGGTACAATCTTAAGCACATATATTAGTATTTATTCTTGAAATTTTAATATTGAACCTAATGATGAAAAAGAGAGAAGGAAATTATGTCTAACCATGTCTACTGCCTCTTCCCAAATTAGAGTGCCCCGACAGAAACACATTTATTCATACACAAATTGGGATGAAGATTACTGTACACTGCAGAAAATACTTCTCACAAATCTATTTCAGAAATAAGTAATAGAAAGGGCCACTGAAACCTACTGAACACCTTTTGAGCACCCCGAAAAAAATTTACAGAACTATCTCTGTAATACTAATCTTATTATATGTTTTATTAAGCATGTCTATTAATATGACAGCAAAAATGCTAAAACTCTCTTAAGTGTGTACCTTGCACTATGTATTCTTTAATTTCTTTTAGCTTTTTTCACTTCTTCCTGTAAAAACTAGTCCATACTGTTAATGTCCTCCACTGAACATGTACAGTTTTTCTCATGAGGAACTATATTACAAAGACCCCAAAGTATTATGAGAAAAGCTATGGTAAGTAAAGAAATCCAAACTAGAAGTTAATCTTTAATATTAGTTCTTTGCAGTTTTTAATTTTCTCTCACTCTGAATGGAATGCTATTCAATCCACTGTTTATATTATGGTTTCATCTCAGCTGGACTTGGGGATTCACACTGACCTTTTTGCCTTCTTCTTTCTCACCATCCTTCTTCTTTTCCTTCTCTTTCTCCTTCTTAGCTTTTTCTTCTTTTCCGCCATCTTTTTTGCTCTTTTTCTCATCTTCTTTTCCACTTTCAGTCTTTCCTTTCTCTTTTTCCTTTTCTTTCTTTGCATCCTTGTCTGGCTTCATCTTCATCACTTTTAGAGCCCGGTGGAAAAACTGCTTCTTTAAAAGTCTTAGAAGAAAAATTCAGTTCATGCTTAATCTGGGAGTCCACTGCTAAAGTGGAGTCATATGGTAAAATAAACTCAAACTACTACTTTGATCAAATAAGCAATCCATTCTACAACTATGACCAAACCAAGTCTACATCACATTTGGCAGGTTATTAAGAAAGATTGGGGGGGGGGGAATCTCTTAAATAAAAATTGTATTTAAAAAATAGTCATCATTAGAATAGTGCCAGAGCTTGATTACTCCTTGAAATTTTTGTAAGCTGCTCAGGAAATAGGATTGAAGAGCAGTATAAAAATACTTGCCATACATAAACTTATTTTCTTATAAGCACATAAAACATCAATCTTCCCTATCGGTTGCCATTTCACACTTAGATATATGCACATGTTATTAATTAAAAAACAGTGACAAATGGTAAAGGTAATAGATGACGTGAAAATTAGGCCACTGTTTCCAACACATTTTGACAATATACCCTAACCCAAGGGAACTCTTCATAAAATACTGATAATAAAAACCAGCCAACTTTAACAATTATAGGCAGTTTCTTCTATTCCTACAAAGCATAAAACTATAATCTGACAAGATAATAAGGTCTTGTTGCTGAGTTTTTGGAGTTCTGCAAATGCAGAAACAAAGTAATTTTCAACTGAATGTTGTAATTCAACTAGAATAATCCTAGCTACATAGGCTGTTGGGATATGTGGAAAGCCATACAGTAGTAGCAAAGACCAAAGACAACTATGGAGGATCTATGGTTCCATGACTAGTCCCGATATAAAAATAATTTCTGATTACCTGGACATAACACAATGAAAATACATTTTAATTCATTCTGTAACATTATATTTAGGAGTATTCATAGTGTTTACAACAACATTAAAACAACCAGGCCTACCTGTTGCAATAATCAACTACAGACTCTCGAGTGGTAAACAGGGCTTCTTCTCCTTTCTTGGCTTTTGCCCACTTAGAATCCAGAAGGCAATCCACAGCTTTGGAAGCTAAAAAGAAAAACATACCATACCTCTCACAAGAATGCTACACTGGAAAAATGTGACCAGTCCTAAAGAAAATGGAAATTTTGGAACAGTAATAATTTTGTTCCTCATTTGATGACGTGTCTGTCTAAAAAGCTCACCCACAGTAGAACCCAACAATTTTTGAGTCCAAAGAAAACCTAGGAAATGATTTTGATTGATTAAGACATTTTCACTTTTCCTTTTTTCTGGCTTCAGCATGAATAAACCTTGTACACATAAATCCAATGTCTGGAAGTATTTGAAACCTTTTAGGTTTGTCCAAATTTCTATACTCTTGAAGGAATGGGAAGCTGAGGGCCTTTTATTTGAACCACACACTGTTATGTCTACTCAAAAGTAAGTTGCATTGAGTTCAGTAGAGCTTACTCCCAGGTAACGGAGCAAGAAGTGCAGCCCAAAGCTTCCATCTGCTGCAAGTGATTATGAAGATAAACTGCTTAGTGGATTAAGTAGGCCGAGGACATTTTGGCAGAAAGCAGAGTGCCTCCTCCATATCTTTTCTCTTTTTCTAAGATAAAAATGAATTGTTTTACAGACTTGCTGCCCTGTGGTAGTTAGATATTCAGGGTGCTACACAGTGCAGCAGTTCCATAGAAGTACAGCTAGGATATAAATTGGAGTATTAGATACAAGTTGTCACAGTTAATGAGATGGCATCAATGGTTAGTATGGGAGAAGGCAAAACTATCTTGTCAGTTATCACTGCTGTTGTCATAAGGGAACACCAACCATCAGCAATCCATTTTCCACTGGATTATTATGACTAATACCATAGGAATATTATGTTTGTTGTGTTATCATCGCCATCACTCACTCAGGCTTTCAAATCTGAATAAAAATAAACACAGTCTGAACCAGAAACTTCTACACTCTGCAGAAGATAAAGATTCTACTCCTACCCTGGAATTCACTGAGGTGAAGTGCAGACCATAAAATGCTCTTATTAAAAAACAAAAAAATTAGGGAGGGGAGGGGAATCAGGTTGTGATTAGTTTTAATCAGATTCTCATCCCCACTTATCTCCCAGGTAAAAGCAAGAATAAAAACATTTTCCTCCAAGTGCTACAAATATTGACAATCAGATTGCCACATGATTTGGATAATATTTAACCTTACCAATGAAGTAATCCACTCTGTGACCCATCATATTGGTAGACTTGGTTGGACAGTTGAAACGCAGGTATTTAGCAACAGCCTTTTCCTCCTTGAATGGCTCACCCACCTCCTTTAAGAGAAAACAGAGCAAATGCAAATTTAAAGCAGAAAGCTACAGTATTTTCATTTGTACTGAAATTTTACAAAGCTCCTCAACTCACTTTCATAGCATGTGAAACGTGATGCCTTAGATAGTTACACGCTAATATTTTGTAAATACCTCATTATCAACAAAGACTCTTGTGAAATCTTAAAAGACTAACAAATTTATCATAGCATAATCTTTCATGGACTACAGTCCATCAGATGCATGATATAGGAAATATAGGAAATTTACCTCCCAAGACCAAATATTGTTGCCTTGTAGTTTAAAAGTTAAGAATGGGTAACCACATCAGTTGTAATTGGGACACTATTCTAGATTCTTTGCCTCTATCAGCAGGTCAGCATGCTAACACAGAAGCAACCACAAGGTGGGAACAGAGCTGGCAGAATATTTGAACACCACCATGCTTTTTTTTTTTTGACAGTGTTCCATTGCACCAGAATCGTTTTAGTTATGCTGGCCACATGACCCGGAACGCTATCTGTGGACAAATGCCAGCTCTCTCAGCCTGAACCGAGGTGAGGGCCCACCCCATAGTTGCCTTTGACTGGACTTAACTGTCCAGGGGTCCTTTATCTTTACCCTTACTGTTACCTTTTATACTCCCCCTTAATGACAAAGTACATAGTCTGGTCTGGAAATGATCGTAGACTCTTTGGTATTGAGGGCTTCCCAGGTAGTAGTACTAATAACAGGAGGCCATTTTACCAGTTTAACACAGGAGAGCGTATTGAGGCCACTTCTGTCATATAATGCCAATTACAATGTGTTCTATGTGTTCTGGAAAACAGTTCAGAAGTTGCAGGTGGTTTGCAGTTTACCTGACAGGGACACGTTGCAAAAAGAATGTCACTCCTGTCATTGCTCATCTTTACTGGCTGCATTTTTGCTTTGGACATGCTGGTGATTGTTTTTAAGGCCTTAATCTGTCTAGGTTAGGTCCTGCATCTCTTTGGGAGCATTTCCTGCCCTGTTTCTCCATGTTCACAGGGAAAGCTCATTGTCCCCTCCATTTAGAGAACCAAAACTGTGAAGGTGCAGAGCTTGATATTTTCTGTGGGGGAACACAACCTGAACCGCTATTTGGTCCCTATAATGTTGGTCTTTTAGTAGTAAATGAAAACCCCAGCTCTTACAAAACACTTCTGGTGTCAGCTAATTGGGTGTTTTAATTGCAGTTGCTTTTAGTCTGGTTATAAATTCTTTATTTTGCTGCACTGGAAACTCAGCCAGATGGGCAGGTTATAAATAAATTATTGTTATTATTATTATTATTATTATTATCATCATCATCATCATCATCATCGTTTCTATTAACTGCTTCATTACTCCAGATGAGTGTTTTATTTAAATTATTTTATTTGATGATTGTAGCTTTAAATTGGTTTCATACTCTGCTTTGGTGTGTGATCTTTTGGAAGTGATGCAAGCCTATAAATGGCTAATAAATAAATATAAACAGAAAGGGCTGTAGCTAAACATCTGTCAAAAAGTTGTGATTAGGGATTCTTAAAACTAACAAGATTTTAAAACAATGTATTTAGCTCTGTTTTCTACCTTTTAATGTTTCACCTATAACAAGGCAGCTAAGTAGTAAGAAGGAATGGAAAGAACATGCAAGCTGGTTAAAACACATACTCACTTGCTAAATAATATAAAAAAGTTATAGTACTGGACAGTTCCTGTTTGGCTGAACAAACTATTAAAATGAAGCAACCACGCTGAAGCTACAGAACATTCTCCACCTGCTACAAGACAGAAAAATCATGTTGAGCCTGTGAAGCAAGTTTATTGATGACACTGCTGTTTTTTCCCTTTTTGCAAACAGGTTGGAGCGTCCAAAAACAGTCCTGCAAAAACTATACAATGTTAAGAGAGATAAATCCTGGAAATTTTTGCTAATCAAACTAATGGGTAAGAGGTGGGAAGGGTTAGTTTCTAAATTGCTTAATGTAATTTTTGGATCTATGGAACCCCTTAAAAAGATATGGCACACAAATTCTCCCAAATGATTGGAATAAAACTTGGGAATCATTAACCTCAAAATCTGTTTCCAGTTTTCTTGGGGGAAATGCCTTAAAATTATTACACAGATGGTAATAGCACTCCTTTGCAAATGTCTAAAATATTTCCTTCTAGATCACCTAATTGTTGGAAGGGTTGCAATTAAACTTGGTACTTATTACCATTCATGGTGGGAATGTTAGTTGGTACTATTTTTGGAATGTAATTTTGACAGAAATGACAATTATTAATAAAAAACCCAACACTATTGCTTCTTGTCCAAAATTAATGTTACTGAATATTTTTGAAGATACCAATGTAACTATATTGTCAAAAGAATTGGTCTTATACAGTATATGATCTTGGCAGCATGAATAGTAACTGCAACTCAATGGAAAACAGTAAAAAATCTTAAACTGGACACTTCATACCAATCATTCTGGAATATAGTTATAATGGGGGGGGGGGAAATAATGCAGAAGTTGAGATTTGGCATTCTTTTGTGACATATACAGCGGAACCTTCATTTTCAAGACAACCCTTGTCACAAGCCTGGCAAATCTAGTACTATACTTGATGAGCTGATGATCTTTACTTGGGCTTTGTTATTTTAACTTATTCTACGTGCCTACTTTATAGTTTTGTTTTTCATATTTTAATTTTTATCTGTTATAATTGTTTTCTCCGTTTTATATAATTATAAAATGAAATAATAAAAACCAAATAATAATAACAATAACAATAACAAAAAATATTCTTAAGAGAATGTCTACAGTATTGCAAAGAATTAAATATGAACAGCTACAAAAAGCCAATCCCTCCCAATCCCCATAAAATTACTAAAACCAGCACCTCATTTCCACATAAATCAGGAGGAAGCTGCGGGTAGAATGGAGCCGTGTCCTCTGGACTCTCATCTTCATATCCCCACATGAAATCTTTGTGCAGAAATGAACCAGTGGAACAAAGTATGTCCAGATGAAACCTTAACCACTACACTGAGCAAAGAAGGAACGTTTGCTCTGAAGTTGTAGCAAAGACAACAGCAGCAGCTGCTAGAAACTACTTGGGAGCCTATTCTTTTCCCTATGCAAGCCACTGAGGGTAAGGAAGTAATGTTATGCAAATAAGGAAACAATGTCATCATATCTTAAATTCTTACACGTTCACCTTGGTATGTTAAAATCTCTTTTTGCAAGAGGGCTGTTTAGCAATGGTGCAATATGATAGGCTAACTAAAACAATAGTCGTTTCTGTAATTTGCTGTCTCAGACACTTAATTACACTTGCTTGGAAAATACTGTTTGTACGTCAAAGGTAGGCAACTTGTTATGCACAGAGGCTCACATTAGAAAAATACAATTAGCAGTTTTTTCAGCATATTCCAAGTTCATGTAATTAGCATGATAGACTACTAACTACCTACTTAGAGAGCCAGTGCAGTGCAGTGCAGTAATTAGAGTGTCCAACTAGGACCTACAAGACCAGAGTTCAAAGTGGGGGTGGGCTGAAGCTCACTTGAGCATGAAGCTCACTGGGTGTTGGGCCAGTCACTATATCTCAGCCTAGCCTAACTCACAGGGTTGTTGTGGGAGAAATGAGAAGGCGGAGGACCATGTACAACACCTTGAGCTCCTTAGAAAAAAAGGTAGGATATAAATGCAATGAATAAACAAAAAATGAACAAACAAAAAAGAAATGGGTGAGATTGCCTGGATTTGGTATGGAATAGGTTCTAGTTAACAAGTTTAAGCTTGAACTGGTTTGGATCAGGCCCAGAGTAGATCACCACTGCTCATTTGAACATATAACCATATGTAATTAAATTTCATCTCTTGCATTACTCACTAAAGCCCCTATGCAAGCAATTTATTAGATTTCTAGGGTCCAATCAACAACCTATAAAGAATCAACAGAACACAATGTCTGTCCTATATATATATTTCCATATATATTCCATCACAAAGTTGCCTACCATACCACTGCACTAAAAATATAGTTCATCTCACAGAAACTGCATAGAAGGCTGCCTGCACATTTTGCTCCACAACTTAAGTCTAGAGACATTTTTTTAAAAATGAATACTCAGCAACTGGAGGGCCTGCTGACTGAGGGTCCAGTACATCAGTACCTCTGTGCCTGCCTCTCAGCAGCACTGCATATAACAGATTTCGCTTGAATCAGAAAGTGGCTTGCACACGAAAGCACTTGCACACGAATAGCAGTGCTTATGGTAAGCAGCTGAATGTAGGTGATGGTTTAGGGGACATGGTCAACTGCACCAAGGGCACCTGATCACATCTCTAAAATGGAATGCAGAGATAGGAAGAAGAGCATGTAGCTCCCTTCCTTGTCCAAGCAACCACTGCCTACTTTTCCAGGTGACAAGATTTTGGTTCTTTCAGACTAATAAGCACGTGATAACTGCGGAAGTGTTGTGAATTTGAGGCAGAGATCATGCTGCCTTGGCTTCTCCAGTCTCTTATCAACAGAAAATAGCTACCCAATACCAGTGTTGCCTTTGTTTGCCACAGCTGTTTTTACAGTTTCTTCAAAGAAACTTGAAGCAAAGGTCAGTTTAACATAGTTACCCATGCAAGAAGCTGGCACGCACAGTCTGTTCTTAAAGAGCATTTTTTGTACCAACTTCCCCGCTTCTGAGATGAACTGCCTTCCAAGAACCAAATTAACTTAAATGACTTGAGATGTGAGTCAATCATGTTTGTAAATCATATATCCTGTTCTTTCAAGACAGAAATGAAAATGTCTAAAGTTTAAATCTTAAGTGAAGGTGCTCAATATATATGACTACAGTGGTACCTCAGGTTAAGTACTTAATTCGTTCCGGAGGTCTGTACTTAACCTGAAACTGTTCTTAACCTGAAGCACCACTTTAGCTAATGGGGCCTCCTGCTGCTGCTGCCGCGCCGCCGGAGCCCGATTTCTGTTCTCATCTTGAAGCAAAGTGCTTAACCTGAAGCACTATTTCTGGGTTAGTGGAGTCTTTAACCTGAAGCGTATGTAACCTGAGGTACCACTGTAATTTTTGATGGGATGGATTTTTCTACTGTAGTATGTCAATTAATGGCAATGTGGCCACAAATGTGATACAGAGGAAAACTTCAGTTTTCATTAACCAAGACCATCAGAAGTGTATTACGACACCAGTTTTAGTTATACAAATAATTATACTAATACAGAGATCTGAATTTGTTTTACTTCTATGATTCCAATACAGTACATCTCTCAGTCACTGTCCCTCTGGTGCTACTGCTCCAGGTGCAGCTATTAAGAATTTATGATAGTATCATTCATCAGCCTGCTATTCATTATGACACCAAACAAAATATGAAATTGATATATATATATTACAAACCTTGAACAGAGCAACATGACAATCGGGGTGTTTAAACTGAAATATTGTATAGAAATATTAGAAAAGTGGGAAAAGGGAAATGGCGTAATCAGGGGCAAAACTAGGTAGGCTTTATTTCACCCAGGTCAAAGACCTGGTTTGGAACCCCCATGTGTATGTGTGTACACACATGCACAAACAGGCTGGGAGCCTCAATGGCGCTCCTCGGGGGGGGACCCAGCTAGCCCCCCCCCCAATAGCTGTGGCACTGGGCATAATTCAAGAAATAGTGCTACTCTTGAAGAGAAATAATTGCTGTTACTATTTGATATAAACTTATTTGAACTAGTTTTTCCCTCATTAAATAAATTTTAAACCATCCAGCACCCAAACAAAATATATTTAGAAAGAGATGACTGCACAATGTATTGCACACTAAACTAGCATATTACTAATAAAGCATATGCTAAGTATCCAAAGCTGTCAGTAAATGTTTTGCATGAGATCAACGTCCTGGCAATCAAAGATGCAACATATTCACACTGTGACACTCAAAAGCAAAGGTCCATAAACATTTGCAAGAGATTACTCCAGCTTTATCTAGGAACAGTTTGTGAAATGTTATCTCCGCTGGCATGTAAAAACAACAAACAATATTTTAAAGAATCTTTTCCAATACTGAAGAGCTCCTATAATCTAGATAACATACAAGATTATTTTTAGTATTAATTGTGAGTAACTCAGGCTTCAAACTGACCTACAGTTTAAACCTTCTTTAGACTATATATTAATTGGGGAGGTGTTGAGAGAAGCCTCACATTTTGGAGGCAATGAGGGGGAGGGAATTTCAGAATTTTAAAAAAACAGGAGGAAGAGAGGTATATAGTGTGTGTCTGCAGCTCATTCACAATCTTTATGGTTTGGTGAATAGTTTTACCAAAGCCACAATGAGACAGGATGGTAGCTGTCAAGTTGGCCATGAATATTTTAGAATACATTTCTCAAATATTTGTTGGCATAATTATTACAATCAAATAAACATTATGCTTAGGCTGCACAAAATTATAACTGCTAATAATATCATATCTTGTTTTTGCCAAGCGTTGTTAACTGTAAAAACAATGGTCCACCTAGTGTTAATATTCTTTACAGACTTTGCATATTCTTACCCTGAACGCAACATAAGTTAAACTTTTATCAATATTGTCACTATTTGGCCTTTCCACATTTGAACAAGTTTTGGAAGATATTGAATTAAATAACCTTAACAAACATAGCACAGCTTCATTGACACGGATACTTTTAAAGATATATTTGTTCACTACAGAGCACATAACTATGTGGCATACCTAACATATGTCATCTATTGCAGAAGACTTTATAGCATAGCTTTGAAGTGAGAAAAACTTCCCTTCCCTTCTTCTCATAATGAGACTACCAAAAATAATTACTGCAGTTGACTGCAGAAAAAGTGACTCATTCATATGCTGTCACTACATCTGGAACATCCAAGAAGAAACACTCTTCTAGGTGTGTGTGAGGATGCTTGTGAACCTAAGGGCATCACAGAAGATGATAATGAATACAGGTCGTGTAAATGAGTGAGCGTGCTAGAATTAGCAGGATTGAGCAGAAGTGAAAAACTGATATTGTAATGCAACAGGGTGGCATCCACTAGCATGCAACAAGCAAACTCCACATGATGCAGAGGTGATTAAACAGCATTAAGTATAGTGCTCACCAAATAGGAAATTCGTTACAGGTTGTATGTGTGATAACCATGCATGCTAAGACTATATTTTAGATGTATGTGAAGTAGATAGCCTACTATGCTGGTGTAAAGAGAAGACAGTTTATTGGGGAATTCCCTCAGGGTTTCACAGGTACATTTGGCAATGAAGTGGGGTTTTTTTTGGGGGGGGGTAGTTCCATGCCACAACATGGTGCAATAAGGGGTGGGTGTGGGTGTGTAGACAATTAACAGTGGAAAGATGATTGCAAACAGCTGTTGTGATGGTAGAAACGTTTACACTGTTTGTAGGGTGAGCCTGGAAAAGAGTGCCGGGCTGCCTTTTGGGGGAATACTAGGCTTCGAACCACATAGCCCAGAAATGCGAAGGGATGCCCCTCTGCGGAGGGAAAACCACCCAACCGCAGAACAGAAAGGGGGAAAGGATGAGTCGTGGTGGGACTGTAGGTGGGGCACCATCAAGACGCACCCAAAAAGAGCACGGCGGGAGGCGCAGGTGGGAGAGGGGCTCGCGAGTGATAACTCCCTCGGGGCACAGCGCCTGGAGAAGGAGCAGCTGCGTCCTGGCGTTTGGAGCTGGGGTGCCCCACAGTCCTGTGTCACCATTATAGGGACTGCTCTGTGGGGGGGGGAGGTGTTTGGTGGGGTGAAAAGGGCAGATAGACATCCTGGGCTGAGGAGAGACATCTACTCAGTATGGAGCTACTGGAGGGTGGAGTGGGAATGCGGGACTGGAGCGCCCATCGGTCTCCCACTAAGAAAAAAGGCGCGAGTGGAGGGTGGGGAGAGGGAGGGAGAGAGAGAGAGAGATGCCCTGAAGAGAAGGGGAGAGCAGTGACGTGGCTGGCCCTGTGGCGAAAGGAAGATGGGGGGGGGGGCGAGAGAAGAGAGGGAATAAAAGAGGCCGAAAAGAAGGAAGGCGAAACTACCACAAGAGGCACTGAGGGGAGGGGGAGTCCGTGTGGAAGGCGGGGGGGACGGAGATAAAAAGGGAAGCGGTTCCCGCCGGCGGTTGGCGAGGAGAGGAGCGAGCGAGGTACCTGAATCCGCTTCCTGTGTCTCCTCCGCTCCGCCATGTTGTCCCCGTCTGGTCTCCCGGTGACGTGGGGCTGAGGCGAGCGCGGGGAGGGGGGCTGGGAAGAGGAGGAGAAGGGGGGGCAGATTTTGTCTGTGTGTGAGTGAGTGAGAAAGGGAAGCACAGACACAGGGATGGGAGCGGGGAGGGGAGGGACAGCTGGCCGGCAACCTCGCGAGAGGCCGCGCGAGCTATTATGTAACTCGAGGGGAGGGGAGGATAAAGGAGGGCGGCGAGGCGCGTGGCGTCTGCCGGGCTCTTTCCCGCCCTCAGGTTTTCCTCTCGCGCGGGGAGGGGCGCTGAGGGCAGGTGGGGAGCAACGGGGGCGCTGAGGGAGAGTCTTGAAACAAAACACTATGCGGCGCTTCAGAATAAATTGTGTGCGAGAGACTTATTTTCCCCTCACGCTTCTTATTGCATGTGCCGGGATGGCGTGGTGTTGAATATGCCTGAAGGTGTGAATGACCAAGAGGGCGTCTGTCCCTGAGGAGAAGCCGCTGCTCCCCACAGCAACTGCCGCTCGGGGACGCTGGGTCATCGCGTCGCCCTTCGCGGCGTTTTTACTTGTTTCGGTTATTAAACCAAATTTAGATACCGCTGGCTGCTGGAACAAAAGGCTTCGAACAGTCAAAAAAATGCTAATCGAAGGGTCGGTAAAAGCAAACGAATTCAATTAAAATATTAAAGCATAAGTGCTAAAACTAGGCCTCAGAGTTAAAGTTACCATTATTTGGTAGGCTCGCTGGTACAAAAATCCCTGTACACGAGAAGCTGGAATAAAACAGGATGGCGCAATGTACACACCTGATCCTAACTCCTGAAGGAGGGGCTGCTGGTGGCTGAACCTTTAAAATAGCCTTTGACTTGAACACCATCCTTTTCGGCAGATCTAAGGCAGGGCCTGCCCACCCATGAGGCAAGGTGAGGCAACCGCCTTGGGCAGCAAGATCCACAGGGACAGCAGATCCTGATGTAGGATCAGAAGCTCACCCCTTCTTCCCTTGAAAGGAGGGGATGCCATTTTGTGGTTTGTCTCAGGTGCAAAAAATGTGTTTGTCCGGCCCTGAAAAGCTGCTTTCAGCAAGATCTTGTAGAACTTCTGCGAGATCTCGTCGCTGCTGTGGCTTCTCAAGTCTCTCATGGTGTGGGACACTGTCCCCTGCTGCCAGAGCCAGGGAGATGTGGCTTCCAGGTTCCTGCAAGATCGCACTGACCTCTGGCAGGATCTCACCAAGAACCCACAAGCTGCAGCCATGTGACCCCAGTAGGTGGGGGGGGGCACCTTCACATTTCGCCTCGGGAGGCAAAATGGAATGGGCTGCCACTGACACCATAGTACCCAGCTCACATGAACTTCCCACTCTCTGTTCCCAGTGCCACTGAACATCCAGAACACCTTCATGCAGTGCTTATGGCAGCTTAAAATCAGCCAAGGCTTGACTCATCTGAGATGGGGAAAATATGTCAGTGTATCTCTGGCTGAGCCACAGTTAAGGAATTACACCAGCAGAGCCTGGCTACCCCAGAACCTCCCAGCTCAGTCAGAGATCCACTAGATCCTAAACCCTATGTGTCGTAAATCATCTTGGATTTTTAAAGAAAGGGTGGTAAAGAAAAAGTTACAAATAAATTAATATTCATAGAGATGACAGGGTAGTTCTGTTATCCTAGCCATCAGGTTTTTGAACAAAAATCTTGATTTGTCTGTAGAGGTTCTCTACAGCAATAGAATATCTGTCCCATGTAAAAGCTTATTCCTAACCATTGCAGTTTATTGTAGGAATGTTCACATTCTAGAGATGTATTGTTGCTGGGCAGGAAGGAATACAATGCGATAAGAATTGCAGGTTTTTAACTGAAGCAACAGTTGTAACGGGAAGTGGTTACAAGAGCTTACTCAAGTAACTGATTAAAACCCAACAACCTTCTTGAAATATCTGTCTAGGTTAGACAGTGGAAATTTACGTTAAAAAGTACTTGCTCTTGGTAATTCCCCAGAGAATAGCAAACAATATATTGATATTTATTGTTCTCGACTTTGGAGAAACCATAAAATATTCCACAACTATTAAAAATGCACAACTGTGGTGCCTGACAGGTAGCATGTATATAAATAAAGTGTAGTTTGCAGCTTCTGTCTCTTGGTCTTGCTTGACCACTGTATATAATGCTTGCCTTGCTGTTAAAGACGTTAAGGACGGGGCTGTGGTATCTCCTTTAGGGTTATAGCTTTGTGGTAGAGTACCTGCTTTGTATGCAGAAGGTCCCATGTTCAGCCCCCAGCATCTCCAGGTAGGGTTGGGAATGCCCCTAGTCTGAAACGCTGGAGAGCTGCTGCCAGTTAGTGTAAACAAGCCAAGCTAGATGGACCAATAGCCTATCTCAGAATAAGGCAGTTTCCAGTGTTCCTAAGTAAGCCACTTGATGCCCATTCCCTTACTGCAAACTTAATACTTATGACGAATGGAACATGGTTCTTAGCTTTCCTGTATTCTTACTTTTCATGTAGACCTGACGGGCAGAAAATAATTGCATGTCCTTGCACACAACTCCCAAGATTTCTAAATGCAATTCCTCATGAAATGAAAACATTTGAAAAGAAGAATGGAAGATGGGCCTGTTTACACAGGCATTCCTTTGATCTATTGACCTAAGTCACCTGTTTTAATTGATGTATTGTTTCAACTGGATTGTTTTCTTGCATATGTTAAATATGGATGTGTTATGTACTGAGTTGAATAGGATCCAAACTGCAGCAGTCTGATTGGTCCTAGAACAATAGGATCCAAAAGGCAGCAGTCTGATTGGTCCTAGAACAATAGGATTCAGAGCACTTGGCAAGTCTGATTGGTCCTAGAACAATGCAGCAGCTATGATTCAGTTGTAGTCACCAATCCTGCTCAGATAAAGTGAATCCACAACCTGATTGGCTTACAGTAGAATTCAGAATTAGCCAATCATGTACACCCATTGTGTAAATATTATATAAAGCAGATACTGTGAGGGACATTCATTCATTCCTCCTCACCACTATGAGCTGAATAAAGGCATGAAGCGCCCTGACTCTGGTGCTGCTGGCCGACGAAAGTAGGATCACTGGAGCTGACTGCCACACACAGCACCGCAGCACACCGCCAACTGCCGCACCGCTGCCTCGCGTGTATCCAGGCTTCAGCTCAGGACTGGGAGCAGAATGGCAGCCAACAGCAGCTTCGCCACAGCCAGCATCAGGACTGAGCGTCTGCCTCCCGTTTCACCTTCCTCCTAGAAGCCCAAAGGGGTCACGTGAAAGACGCCAGAAGAGGCGATATTCTTCAGCGTCTGCGGAGGCGGTTTAAATACGCGGGCTCTCATTGCTGAAGCGTGGCACTGTTCCATACAAAACAATAATGGAACAGCTGAAGGGAGCACTTTTCGCCGCAGCCCTCAGTGGTGGCTCGTGAAATGCCTTCTACGCTCAAGCGGCAAGCCCCTGGGAAACCATAGCTGGGTTTTGTGACCTCTCAGCCGCCCGGTTCTGCAACTTCTCAGAGCTGGAACATCTTCGCTCTGACCGCCTCGTCGGTGGCCTGAAGGATGGCTACAGCGACCTCTCGCTTCAAGAAGGACCCTTACGTTCCAGGTCGCTCTGGGCCCTGGCAACCCAGAAGCTGCCAGAAGAGCTCGACCCAAGAGCACGGCCCGAGCCTGCCATCCCAACCGAGGTCACCACGAAGACCTCACCAACGACAGGATCCGACAGAGAGGTGCACCGGGTGCAGCAGCGCACTCAGCGCACAGACCACAGCTGCCTCGCGGGGAGGGGAACTCGCGCAAGCTGCGGGAGAGTCACGAGAGGAGGACCTGCCGTTTCCGCCTTAGCGCAGAGTGCAGGCAGTGCAGAAATTCGGGACACATCGCCCGGGTGTGGCGGGCTCGGCGCACCCGACGCCCGGCATCAGATGACCAATCGAAGAGCCCCAGGTCCCGGGGCCCAGCAGAGCAACTCGTGAATACGGACTTCCAGGTATACCAGTTGCCCCACCCCAGCATGCAGAAAATTTGTAGAGAATTTGGAATGGGAGGCCTTGCCGCATGGAGCTTGACACGGGTTCAACTCTATCCATAATCTCGGCAAAGGACCTTGGAAACTGTGGGGTCCCAAACTCAGGTGACCCCATTCACCCTGGGACTTCCAGGAAACATGGAGTCCCCACAATGGGGGTGGGGACCTTCAGATGTACCGAGCGGACGCGGCAAGCTGGACCCCAGCCACACATGGTCAAGAGGCCCCTACATTAGCTTACTGGGATTGGCATGGTTTGGACACTAGGGCTAGCTGTCACCGGGGTGAACCACACTGGCTTACAAGTGGGCGTGGACGCCATATGCAGGAATTTCCAGGGGTTTCGATGCAGGAAGTGGGACAGTATGGTTTCCCCATTGCGCTACAGCTTGACCCCCTTGATACGACCGGTCAGGCTCAAGGCCCGCGGGTCCCGTTCGCCTTGAAACCCCGTATAGGCGAGGGTGGACTGACCTCGTGAGCAAGGGAGTGCATGGAGCCGGTGCCTGGCGCCCCCTGAAACCCCAGCCAGTCACACCCGTCAAGCCTAATGGTTCGGTCCGCATCTGCATGAACTACAAATGGCCACCACGCTCAAGGCCTCCACGGCCCATACATGCCAATTGCCAGTGGTCAGCCATGTCCTTGCCACCCTGGCTGGAGTGAAAGTACAGCAGGCGGACTTGGCCAAACATATCAACAGCTGCAAGTGATGAGGCCACAGCAGAGGCACAGGCGATTGTGGCGCACAGAGGAGCGTTCAGGGTAGCGGCTGTTGGTGTCAGCGTGGCACCAGGCATATTCAGAATCTAATGGACTCTCTCGTAAAGTTCCTGGCGTCACCTTCTTCGATGATGTGTTGATTGCGGGCCCACACCAGAAGAAGGGACCGCCTCCGCCGTTCTGCGTTTCCAGGCGGCGGGTCTCAGGTGGCGGAAAATGTCTGCTAGTGCCTCAGTTGGGACTTATAGGATTTTATGGTGGAGCGCAGAAGGTCCACAACTGGACAAGGTACGGGCCATTTACCAGCGATGCCCCAGCACCCAAGAGCAAGACTGAACTTCAAGGCCTTCTTGGGACTATTGAACCTACCATTCCTTCCCTTCCCCACAAAGGCGGCGGTAGGCAGGCCCCTACAGACTCCTGGACAAGCGGGCCCTTTGGGTGTGGGGCCAGCGCCCGGGAGGCCGCATTCAGGCAGTCAGGAACCTTCGCGCCAAACTCGGTCTTAGCCGCCGACGAAGGCTGCCGGTGGTGCCCCAGCATCGCGACGCCTCACCCTGGCATTGGAGCTGTCCTGGGCTGCTCCCGGATGGAAGGTACCGGTGGCGTAGCACCCCAGCCTCAACACAGCGGCGGAACTACTCGCAAATCGATAAGGAGGTCTGGCAATGTCAAGGGTAAAAAAATTCCATGATTTCTTATGCAGGCGGCCCTTCACCGTGGTGACTGACCACAAGCCGTTGCTTGGCTTGTTTGCCCCAGCAGACCCCCAGTGCTGTCTCCCTCGCGTCCTCAGGTGGTCAATTTTCACACTTCAGCTACCAGTATGCACTGATTCACCGACCTGGGAAGGCGATGGGCCATGCGGACGCCCTCAGCAGGCTACCACTACCGGAAACAGGCCCTGACCCAGCACCTGCACACGAGGTTATGAGCCTGGAGCTGCTTCCCCGGCCGCCCCATTCAGGCACAGAAGTTGCAGATGTTCCAAGAAAGATAGGGTCATCTCCGGGTCCTGGACTGGGTGTGGAGGATGGCCCAGCAGCAGCCCGGGCCAGAATTCGCCGGCTACACAACCCGCAAACATGAACTGTCGGCCCACAAGAATTGCTGTTATGGGAAGCAGAGTCGTTGACCACAGCCCTCCGCAAAAGGGTCCTCACAGCCCTACCGAGACACATCCCAGGGTAGTAAGATGAAAGGCCCTTGCCAGGGGTCCTGTGTGGTGGCCGGGGATCGATGGAGATGAGGCCTGGTCAAACACTGCCAGGCCTGCCAAAACCCGCCCAGTCCCAAAGTTTGGTGTGAGTCCTGGGAGTCCGCCCGAGCACCATGGTCACGCCTGCATGTGGATGGCCCCTTTCAGGGGAAAACATTCTTCATAGTGGTGGACTCCTACACCAAATGGCTGGAAGTCGCACTGGTACCGTCCACTTCCACGTCCGCAGCCATCCGGGTACTACGCAGGCTATTTGCAACCCACGGGCTCCCTGACACTCTCGTCTCAGACAACGGGACTGCATTTACGTCAGGAGAATTCCAAACCTTCACAGCGCAGAACGCCATCCGCCACATCCGTTCGGCGCCGTTCCACCCTGCCACCAATGGCCAAGCAGAACGCATGGTGCGGACCACCAAGGACACCCTTCGCCGCATGACGCAAGGGGACTGGGAGTACCGCCTTGCCACATTCCTTCTAGCACAGCACAGCACCCCCAGCTCAACGACTGGCCGGAGCCCCGCTGAACTACTAATGGGTCGGCGCCTTGCAATCAGATTGGACCGCCTTCACCCCGATAGAGCTCAGGATGAGGTAGTGGTGGGGAAGGCAGGAACCCCGGACCTTCGAGGCCCAGGACCCAGTGTACGCAAAGAATTTTGGGGCAGGCCCAGCATGGGTACCCGCCACAGTCACCAGGGTCACTGGCCCCGTGTCGTACGAGGGGCTCACGGATGGGGGGCAAGGCTGGCGCCGCCACTGCAACCCCCGACGGCGACGAGTCCCGGGAGCAAACCAGGAGGAGGACAGGTCAGAGGAGTCCCAAGGGAACAGCGGGGCAGTGAGGCCCATAGAGCAGGAGGGGCAAGCAGGAGAGGCAGAATCAGTAAATACAGAGAGGACCCGTGAGGCCGAAAGGACACCGGAACCAGAAGCACGACTGAGCGAGCCGGTTGCACCAGACCAAACAGCCCCATCACAGCCAGCATCCTTGGAACACGAGCCAGAACCTGGAGCCCGGACCAGGGAACACCCCAGGCCACAACGCACACGTAGGCCGCCGGCGTACCTTGAGGACTATGAATCGACCTCCCGGGCAGGACTGGAACTTAGAGGGGAGGGTGTTATGTACTGAGTTGAATAGGATCCAAACTGCAGCAGTCTGATTGGTCCTAGAACAATAGGATCCAAAAGGCAGCAGTCTGATTGGTCCTAGAACAATAGGATTCAGAACGCAGCAGTCTGATTGGTCCTAGAACAATGCAGCAGTATGATTGGTTGGCAGGAACCACCCAATCCTGCTCCAGATAGAAGTGAATCCACAACCTGATTGGCTTACAGTAGAATTCCAGAATTAGCCAATCATGTGCAGCCCATTGTGTAAATAATGTATATAAAGCAGATACTGTGAGGGGACATTCATTCATTCCTCCTCACCACTATGAGCTGAATAAAGAGCATGAAATCACTTTGCGACTCTGAGTATATTTCAGGATGTTTAGATGTGAATGTATGTGTAATTGGCTTTATACTTGTAAACCACTTGAAAGCTATTTCCACATTAAGCAGCATACAAATGTAATAATAATAATCTTAAAACTCTTCTTCAGAGAGAAAGAAAAGGTTGTAAGTCAGAGGTGGGAATCCTGTGGCCCTTCAGATGTTGTTAGACTCTAACTCCCATTGGTTCCAGCCAGTATGGGCAGTGGTGATGAACGTTATAGTCCAAAAACATTTTGAGAGCCACAAGGTTTCTTATCCCTGCTGTAAGTAGATCTGTATTCAACCTCCCTTTCCTCATGATTTCATCATTATTTGGAAATAATGAACCAAAAACCTTTCATGAAGCTTTTCCAGATAAAAAAATGTTACTTCAAAAGCAAAGGCATAGGTACTGTTTTGCTCACTCTTCCATGAGGTCACTCTTCTACGAGCAGCACAATAATCAGGTAGCTTTTGTAGTGCCAATTTCCTTTGAAAGAGAGAGCCCATGTTCTGTTTAAAATCCTTGTAATAAAATCGTTTTGTTTATATCAGTTCAGAGGGGGAAATGATTATAGCAGGCCACAAAACAACATTCTTTGAGACCCTCAAGTCCAGCAAGTACAGAAAACATAAGCCACTAACTGTAAGTAGCTCAGCCAGAAGCAAAGAAATAGCATGGTCATGATAGACTGGTAGGGGACTAGCAGAGTCTGAATTCACAACTGAATAAGTGTGTCCTGTTCCTGAACAAAAGCCTTGTGGTGAGCAGCCTAATGAATAATCCTTATTTACAGAGACAAAGGCAAAAAAGGATGTACCACTTGAAATAACAGCATACGGTATATCCACAAACTAAATAAAATATTAGAATTGTCAGTTACAGTAACTTAATAACATATTTACCCATTTTGAGTGAGCAAATGCTCTTACCAATTTGTGTTTAAAACCACAGTGATGTTGCTGGCAGATGCAGTGATGTAAATACAAGGTGGTGGTAGACTGGATTGTTTAAAAGAACAAAGTCTTCATATGTTGTAACGTCTTTTGACAACTCACTTCCAGCAGTTATTCTTAGGCAACTTAAATAATAATAATAATAATTGGAAGATTTTTCTTTTTAGGAAAAAAAAATATGTCTGGACTGCAGTTTAGCTTGCTTTATCCTGATGGGTTTCTGTTCATTTTTCCAATGCCCTTATCCTTCTAAAGCTTGTGGAAAATGCTTGTAAAATACATCATCTTTTTTTTGTTTTGTTTTTATCCTAATTATTTTGCATAGATTCATAGAACTTTTGAATGGCCAGTGACAGGAGGAGGCTGAACCAATTGTTGACACACAGCAACTCTGAACGTGAGTCAAATATTCAGCATAAAAATTGTGGGTTCACCAGACAGAAGGTGTCCTTGTTTGTATCCTTAGAAGGTCCCTTTTGTTTGTGAAAAAGGATGCAGTGTTGTGTAAGGTCCTGCTAACGGGAAGGAGGGAGGGATTTTTTGTCCATTTTTCTCTCTATATTCTTCCAAGCAATCTCCCAAAAGATTCCACATCCTTCTGGAGCAAAGCATCTATTCATTGCTTCAGATGCCTTGTGAAGACTTTTATTTGCCCAGGCTTTCCCTGACCCATAAGACTGGATCTATCGCTTCAAAATTCCAGTTTTTACTTGTTCCTGTTTTTATAATGTTTTGTTTTCCCTGTCGGCAGTCCAACAAAATAGCTAGAGGACCAAGAAGAGAACAAGTACAGTGGTGCCTCGCAAGACGAAATTAATCCGTTCCGCGAGTGTCTTCGTCTAGCGGTTTTTTCGTCTTGCGAAGCAACCCTATTAGCGGATTAGCGCTATTAGCGGTTTAGCGGCTATTAAAGGCTTAGCGGCTTAGCTGCTAAAAGGCTATTAGCGGCTTAGCGGCTTAGAAAAAGGGGGGGGGAGCTAAAAAAAATATCTCAAGACTCGCAAGACATTTTCGCCTTGCGAAGCAAGCCCATAGGGAAATTCGTCCTGCGAAGCAACTCAAAAACGGAAAACCCTTTCGTCTAGCGGGTTTTCCGTCTTGCGAGGCATTCGTCTTGCGGGGCACCACTGTATAATATCTGCAGAGCCTCCTGTCCTTACAGCTGTAACCCACTTGATGGACTATCATCCTGGGAGAATCTATACCTCTTCTGATCTGCCTCCACTTGCCTTTAGCACACACACCCCAGGAATACTAAGGGCAGTAGTGGAGCAGGAGGCCAGCAGTATACAAAGCTTCCCTTACAAAGTCCCTATTGGGGACTTAGGAAAACTCCCTTGATGTATTCATGTTTACGAAATAAATTGCGCAGATTTCAGTTCTTTAAAAAAATAAATTTAATAAACTGTAGTGAACACAGGTTACTTAACATTTCCAAAGTTTAAACTTTTTTTTACAAATCCACTGGCTTCATTATACTGCCTGTTCTACTGTGTCACTTGCTTCAAGTTTTCTGGTAGTTGATCAACTGGAAATCAGTCTGAGCTCCAACTACATCAGATGTATTTCCCCTGCTTTCTGCAACAATTTGTTCAACTGTTTTTGAAGTTTCAGGGTCCTGGGAGCAAGGACTAGTCAGAGCATCGTGAGGACTGTTGCACTGAAGAGGCAATGGCATATCTGGAGGAGGTTCAGAAGTCTTGCCCGCAGCAGATGGAGTAGGCATGGACAAAGGAAGATTCATCATGTAGAATACATTGCCCAGCCGCCGGGACACCTTTAGAGAGATAAGCAATTACAGTAATTACTTTTTAAAAATAATGATTACATTTGATGCCCAGCTTAACTTTACACATACGGTACATCCTATAGCAAATTGTCCACAGGACTGATAAGACATGACATTTGGGCCTTCTGGGTCCGGGTGATCCAGCCATTTCATGGCAGCAAATTGGACTAGTAAATTAATCAGGGATGTCTTCCATTGACTCTCCCTCTCCTCCAAATCTAGGCATGGCTGAAGTGCTTTGGCACAATTTATATTGAAAAAGGAAAAGTGGTACTTAATAGCAGCGGCAGAGCAAGCTGATCTGACGCCTGGAGCAGGACACTTCGTGGGGCCTCCGAGGAGTCTGCCTGCCTCCTCCCACTCAGCTGCCCTACAGCTGAAGGAGAGGTGGCGGGCAAACCGTTTGGGGCAGTGTGGAGCCTGTGGGCACCCAAGCCACCGCTTCACTCCCAGGAGAAATGCGTGCTTGGGCGTGCTGCAGGCCCTGCAGTGAGTGCCACCCGCCATTTTGTCACCCCCCTCAGTGGTGACACCCAGGGCGGACCATCCCCACCGCACCCCCTTCCTCCGCCCCTGCTTAATAGTTCAGTGTTTTCCTTCTCTGCAAGTACTGCCATTTATCATGCTCTGAGCCATCAATAGTGCAAGTCATGGATTTGATCAGATAAGGTTAAAGAGAGGAAGGGAGAGAGAAGCTGAGGAGACAATAAGAGCTGCACAATGATTAAAATGAAAAACAACAGTATTTCAAGACCAATAAGGTTAATTCAAACTGACAGAAGATAGGTATGTAGGATGGACTTGCACTAAATCTTAATTGTTTGTATAGATAAAAGGGAAGTGGATTTTTATTAACCTTTTTTCTTTAAAAGAACAGCCAGAGAAATAAATGCTAAAGTAAACAATATTTTACTAGTCTGGAGAAGGAAGGAAAGGGGGTAGCTGCTTCTTTTAAAAACATTTACACGTCTCTTTTTTGGTTTTGGAAGTCAGTTTAATCATACGCAGGCTACCAAATGTGTGTGCTGCATAAAAGTTAGAGTGCAGTCTTAACACACATGCACACAGCCAGTGTTGATGACATTGGCATATACTGTGCAACATGCACATTGTGTTGTATAGATGGGAGGCATATTGGATTTTCACTCTAAATCCTGTACATCCTGTACCTTTCCCAGTTGTAATAATCTGTTAAACATAGGTTTTATTGTTAACCATGTTGTAAATGGGATTTTTGGTCAATTTTACTGGACTGGACTAATTTTAACTATTCCAGCATTGGCTTTGCAATGCACACTCAGTGATGTTTCAGTCTCTAGGTTAAATGTTTCTAGCTATGCTTGCTATTAAAATTCAGGCAGTTTCAGTCTTATTTTGTGAGTCTTGGAATGCTACTGGATTCTGAACTTCATGTTGTGCTAGTGACTCTCTGGGTCTCTTGTTCCACTTTTGCACTTCCAGTTGGGTGTGGAAACAATGAACCAAGAGCAGAGAAGCTGTTCTTTAATCATATCCTGAAAACCTATTGTGGGGATGCATGCATCTCAGTGTCTCAGCCAGATGTGGATATCACTAAGATACCCTATGTATTCTCAGTAATATCCTAGCCTTTTTAAGCAGACCTATCTAGTCTTATGTCCAGTTACATTTTTAAACAGCAGAGTATGTTGTGAATTTAAAATGTTACAGAAATAATTTCCTACCTATCATTTGGGGTCAGGCAGAGAGCTCAAGACAAGCCACAACAAGAGAGCGAAAATGCTAGACATACACACATTTTCTAGGACACATCTTTCATTCAATATTTTGATTTTCACTATGTCTACTGGCTGTACCTGAGACCGAATCTTTAATGCAGGTCCAAGTTTTAATCCCATTGTTTCCAAAAGATGTTCTTCTGTGAGTAGTGGTAAGGTTTCTCCATCAATGGCATGATCTTTAAATATCTTTAACAAAAACGGAAAATGTGGTTGGTGAAAACACTTTTCAATTTTTCCACATTGTGGCATTTACCAAATCAAAAGTAGCAAACATATGCTCTAAGTAGAGGAAAATATATTTGTTTAATGAAAATCACAGTCAGCAGGATAAATCAACAGCACCCTTTTAATTATTTCATCAGTGTGCCAAATCCAGAGTTTTGGTATTGCAGAAAAGTATTCCAAATGCTGTCCCTATACCTGTGCAACTCTACACTCAGAGATTCACCTGAGTAGAAATAGTGCCAGAACATTTCATTTTGACTGGATTTTGATAGGTAAAGTTCCACTTTTAGATGTGGGAGATCTTAGACCGACAGCCAAAAAGTAACTTAATTTTACTGATTAGTTTATGTTTTGGATTTAAATTGTAACCTGTCCAAATCTCAACAATTAGTTTTCCTGGAGTGTCACTTTGAGAAGTGAGCGAATGGAGGTGGCTAGGCTATGCCACAACTCACAACATCTATTAGAATTGTAGAGTGGGAAGGGGCCACAAGGGTCCAACCCCCTGCAATGCAAGCATCTTATTAGTAGTCAACCAGTACTGTGCATTTTCTTGCCACAGGCATTTCATTCTCTGTGCCTCTTGGTTGGTGTCCATTAGAGGTATCACTCAGAGAGGAATTTAGCCAATGGTTCCCTAGTTACCCCAGAGAGAGCCAATGTAATGCCTTCCAGATATTGTTGTACTGCAACTCCCATGGTCTTTGACCATTGACTATGCTGATGAGAGCCAGAGTCCAACAACATCTGGAGGGTACCAGATTGGCTACCCCAGCCTTTCAATGCTCTTCTTGCATCGAGTTCCCATTAGTCTCCCATTCAAGGTTTTGACCAGGTCTGGACCTGCTTAGCTTTATTAGGGATGCAGCATCAGGTACTCTTTGATCATTTTCTGTGCCAATGTAAATAATGCTTTAGCTTTTCTTCACACTATTGGAACATTTATTCCATGGCAAGTATTTCTAAGTAGTTTTTTTATTATTTAATTTTTAATCAAAATATACAAAAATGTAGGGGCACAACTCCACAAAACCTGAATTAAATTAAGTCCCATAAATTTCAGAGGGCAACTTAAGCCTGTTTCACACTCTCCCACTGAAACCAATGAGACTTAAACATCTTTGTTTTTGGCTGAACCTTAGCCAACAATTTCATATTTTGAAACCATTGATAGATCCCTTTGTAGAATATTAAACAAATATTTAATCTTTATGACTACCTGAATTGAACCTATATTATTACTTTAAGGGGAATGGTTTGGGAAGGAACAGGCCAAAAGGAAATATCTTTTTTGTAACTCCCATTGAGTCTTATGAGAACTGAATGCAACTGGATTTTCCTATGCTTTTCTTCCTTTTCCTTACAGTTCTTACACCAGAGTTCTTTTTGTTGTTAGTGAAGTTTGTTGGTTAAATAAAAGAAGTCAAGCCTCCAAGAACCATCATTCTCATTAAGAAAACCTCAACTGTTGCAATAACCTGTGCATAGTCTGAACATCCTGGAAGGCTGATGATAAAACTGTATACGTCTTCAACAGTCCATTTGCGGATATCTTCAATGGCAGAAATGTCTTCTCCATTCAGAATCAGGCTGGAAGTGGCTATGGGAATGGAAGCAAAAAATAGTTTTTGCATTCAGTGAGTGGCAAGCAAATCAAATCTTAACGTGCAGGTTTTGAATTTATGTTGTATGCTAGGGGTTAAATTAGATATTACACTAAAGCTGTGTGTAAAGTAACCACAACAGCCATTTCTCCTCTTCAGAGAAATCTTGGAACAAGATGATTTGCAGCAGAGCATGAGAACGGGGAGGGGGACTTAGTTCTTCTCCTGACTTCTGTTTCTGACCCCCTCAGGGTTCCAGGGTTCTGCTTTCCCTTTTCTGGTCATGCTTTGAATAAAATGGGTCACTGCACACAGTTTCGATGCAGCTTTTAGTTTAGCCATGACAATACTCTGTATCACCATTGTTCCTTATTACCTATGATTCCATGCATATGGATTTCACAGCCTATATGTAACACAGACTTTAGATTTCCTGAAAAAAATAGATTACTTTTTTAAAAAGAAAGCTTCCTGTAGTTATTGTAAAAAGCTTAGTTCTTGAAGTGGCAGAATTGCACTGCATGTAGCTACCTGTCTTCCTCCTACGTCTCCAGCCATTCCCTTCTACATCCCACACTCCAGAGATTATGAACCTCTGGCCTGGAGGTCAAATGCTGCCCTCCAGGCCTCTCTGCCTGACCCTTGGGCCACCTGTTTCCCCAGCTGCCGCCGCCACCACTTGCTTCTCCCCAGGTCATTCTCCTTGAGAGTTTATGCCTGGCTGGAACATGTTCTTAAATTAGGATAATACCCACTGCTTGCCTGGATGGGGGACAGAGAGGGATGTGTGAGTGTGTGGAAAAACTGACCTACTGTAAAAGGTAAAATTTACATTTATTGCTCTGCCTACCTTTTGTCTCTGCTCTCATCCACCACTAGCACCCCCCCATCAAAGTTGTTCAGAAGGGAATGCAGCCTATGGGTGGAAAAATGTTCCTCACCCTTCATTACCCATACTTCTACTGTCACCACTGTCCAAAAAAATCATTTCCTAAGGCTTTCACATTGGGCATAGCCGGGGGGTGGGGGTGGGGTGAGCAGCTGCTATTTTATCAAATAGATAAAAATACTTAACTAAAAGTAGAAATTGTAGAAAGATTTTGACAGGTATTTATGAGCACTTGAGGTCAAAAGAAAATTTAAAACAGCTGTTGTTGAGACATTTCATTCTGAATCTGCAAGACAGAGGAGGATGATAGGTGGGTGATCCTGCCCCCCCCCAACTTAAATCCTGGCTATGTCCACAGCTTTCAGGTGAGGTTTTGAAAAAGCAGGCCCATGTACAGCTCAGTGCTAAACACGGGTGCATTTTTGCCGTTTCACTTTTTAAAGAAGGACTCCAAAGTGTGATATGCAGGTAGATTTAACTTACCTGACGGTAGCAGTGGGTTGCTGGGTACAGAGAAGCCATATGGCAGAGCAGAGAATGTGAACGCTGACGGATAAGTGTACTTCTCATCAAAGGCTGTGCAAGAACTGTTGGAATCTTTCTCATTTCCGTTGCTGCACCCATTTGCTTCGCTGGGCATTTCATGGCTGCCAGAGTGTTTTCTCAAGCCATGCTCGTATTCCTTGTCATTTTTGGTGGCTGCAGCAGAAGGCTCTGCTTGGACCTTGTTCTGTTCATGCTTGCTAAGCATCTCCGCTTCTGTTTCTTTTTTGTCGTCTTTCTCTTCTTCAGCGGTTGCGGAGGAAGGGTCTATGCTCTTGTCCTCTGCTTGGCTCTTGATGCCATTGGTGTTACACTCGGTGGCTTTGTGATTCCCAGCTCTTCTGCCAGGCCGACGGCCTCGCTCTCTTTGCAGAGTGCTGACGGGTGGGTACGGGCTGGTGGCCATCACCATGGTGTTGCCGTGAAGTTCGTCAAGAGTAGTACGATGAATGTACAAGTCATTAGGAAGATGGCCTTCGGGTACCCTGTGCCTCCCTCGGAAAGCAACTGGGCTAGCCGGCATGCCGTGATAAAGAAAGTGGCCTTCCAGCCCCAACAATCCCTTGCGGTGAGCTTTCTCTATTTCTTTTTGTTGGAAAATGGCATTCATTTCCATCTCCATCCTATGCAATGAACATGGTATAAGTAATGAGGAATGCATAAAAGGAGATGAACTATTTAGCCTTCTCTGTCTGAGGCCTTGAGGGAGCCACTTTATATAATGCAGCTGTTCATGTGAGCTCAGCATATGGTTAGGCAATCACATGATCACTTCACCAAAGCAGGAAAACAAAGAGTAGCTCTCATGCTTGAACATTGACCCAACTTATATGCCTCCTTCCCAACTGAGCATAGTTCATTTCCCCACGGAGGAAGCTCAGTGTGCATAGGGCCCCCTTCAGATTAATGCAGACCATGTCGGCCAGGGAGCATGGCTGATATATGCTTCAGCGTCTAGGGGGCAGGCTCACCCAGTTATGCCTGAGAGCACCTTCATGGATTCATACTGAATGCCTGAAGAGGAGTCATGTTGAAACTCTTAACCAGTTCCAGCCCACAAACCCAATAATACTGCTTAGCTGACTTCATACTGAGGATAGACTGCCACTACTTTTGTAGGAGGGATACAAGTCCATACTGGAACTTTAGGGTTGTGCAGTTAAAGTGTGCTGTCACTGTAAGAACAACAAATTCACTTAACAAAAAAAGGCCAGGAAAGTGTTGGGGAAATGCTCAGAAATGTGTGGGATGAACAAATGAGTAACAAGAAGGCATGTAAGCACCCAACAAGCAAATCAAGATGAATAACTGCCCCGTGAACAAATCAGAAGAAATATTCAGTAAAGACAAGACATAGTCTAAACACCATGTAAACTTTGTGCAAGCAAACCAGGATAAATACTGAACAAACAGGTTACAAGGAGAACATAAGAAAGCCTGCTGGATCAGGCCAATGGCCCATTTAGTCCAGCATCTTGTTCTCACAGCGGCCAACCAGATAACCGTGGGAAACCTGCCAGGAGGCCCCAAGTGTGAAGCATGAGTAAGTGTCAAAATGTTATAGGTGCCCACTATCTTAATTCACTCTAGTAGGACAGTGAAGAAAACTAGCAGAAAAACTAAGAGGCCTGCCTTTCCCCGTTATTATTCCAAGTTCTATTGAAATTACTCTACCTGGCAATATTTTGTTTCTGAACCAATTCCTGCCGTCTGGTTACAGCTTCCATGGATTCTGGTTGGAGGAAACTATAGCCTAAAAAAAAAAAATATGGGTAGGGGGTTAAATAGTATTAGTTGAATAGTTATGTCATGTAAAGGCAGATTAATGCACGCAAAACAAACAAAGGGGCAGCTATTGGAGAGAAGAATAGCTACAACATGTAATCATGCAGTGATGTGCATTTTTTAAAAAAACCTCAAGGGTTTCTGCAAAAGAAATAGGGCAAGTGAATTTCAGTTGCAGACTCGTTCACTATCTAGCAAACTTCCTGGCACTTTGCTGCCAAGGGCTGTGTCACACCACAGTTTCCCTAGCATTGCTGTTTAAGCCTGCACCTCATCTCATGCAGTGCCCTAGATGAGGTCTTCATTCCTGGGCTTCGCAATGGGGAAATCTTAAAACTTAAAAAAGTTAAAATTTTAAAAAGCTCTGCTGTCTTCCTCTCAAAGGCCTGACCCAGTCATTGGTGAGGAGCATTTTCCCTGGCCACTAAATACCAGTTGCTGGGATTCACCGGTGGGCAGAATGCTGTTGTGCTCATGTCTGGCTTGCAGGCTTCCCACAGGCATCTGGTTGGCCACTGTGAGAACGGGATGCTGGACTAGGTGTGCCACTAGCCTCACCCAGCAGGGCTCTTCTGATGTTCTTATGTTCCTCACTTCCTGGAGAACCAGATCGACATTATTAACAGGCACCACAATCTGAAGTTTATTTTACTTGTAAAGAAGTCCCACTGATTTCCAATAGAACTTGCTTCCAAGTTAAGTGCTTGTTTGGATTGTACCATTTAAACACAAAAGTTAAGTGGTTTTTCCTACCCTTACCCCCACTTAATATTGTGAATTTTGCGGTGCATAAAATAATTTAGTGGAGCACACTGGCCACCAGATTCCACAGTTGAGGTCTGCATGCATTGCCAGTTTTCAATCCAAATCTTGCAACAGATAACTATTTGGAAAATGTTACATGGCATAAAAATGTTTGCTAAGAGGAAGAGTGAATGTATATTTTGTATTGCATCGAGGAAAAGTGAAAGATGCATATGTGTTCTGCAATCTGTCTGACAGTTGAAGAATTCCAAGCATGTGAATGGACTGTCTCAATGACCCAGATTCTGATTGCTTGTTAACATGGCACATCCTTTCCCCACAGCCTGTAATAAAGATTATGGTGTATTCAATATCCCTACCCATAGATGGCAGTCTAGCCTTTTCACATGGTCCAACCCATCATGGTTCCTACCTTTCAGGGTGTGTTTCTGGTTGTTGGACAGTGTGTTCTTAATATTTCATTGTATCTGCTAATGTTATTTACAAATGGGATCTGCAGCAAAATGTTGCACTATGGTGTGGTCCTGTTCAGTGTTCCAGCCAGCCTCCTCTATTCCATTCCATTCCCCCTCCCACCTAGGTTTCTGAACCACCCCCACCCCACCCCCCCGCAACTGTCAGTCAGTAGTGCATATCCACTGAGCATGCTCAGTCATTGGGCATACTACCTGCAGATGGGTGGACAAGCAACAACTGATTGGAGGGCTAGTGGTTTTTTTCTCTAAAAAAATTGTACTTCTGCAAATTATGGTGCTTTGCTGGGCCCACTGGCACCTCCCACTTGTGCATGGGAAGTACCATGTGGGGTACATAAGCTGATTAACTAATTGCATAGCTTTGCAGCTATGTATTAAACAGTAGCTCTGAATCACAGAATCATAGAGTTGAAGCAAGATGTAAGCTGCCTTCATTTTCATTTTTACATGTAGCAATAGCTGGTTTTCCTTACAAGTTTGTTTTTTCAGTCTTGATCCCCCAATGTAGAGGAAGATATGGGCAGGAAGGAACTGTTTCAGGGCTTGTGTCACCTTGCCATAGTCCTTGGATTCGCAGCCAGCATGGCCAGTGACCAGAGGTAATTCAGCATCTGGAAGGCCACAAGTTCCCCAGCCAAGCACTATGACAACCGTTATTGATGGGTGAGAATGCTCCAGCCATCATTGTCTCTTACCTGCCCCTTGGTAAACACGGTTGGATAAAAGGTTTGGCATGGTGGCATGCTGTGGAACCGAAGGGCCAAGGTGGGAAGCTACGTGAATCTGCCTGGGATCAGCTGGTGCCAACATCTCAGTTGAAGGTAACAAATCTCTAGGATGGTAGAGAAGTATCTGGTTAAGGCAGGGACATCTTTGCAGCAGTTACTATAGAGGAAAGCTGTTCAGTTGATAAATTTATCTAACATTAATAAAAGTTGAATAAAAACAGGATGGCAAAATATTTTGCTGCCATATAAATGGCACACTAATTGGCAAAATAGACCAGACAGCCTATGGTTACTCATTCGGTATCCAGAGCCCTGGAATACAGCTATAATAAACATTTGGCAGAGCCACTGCCCCTACTGATGAGCAGATTGCCTGCCGATGGACAGAGCATGATAAGAGTAGAAAGAGACAGTGCCACAGCTTGCAAAGTGTGGGGAGTCGGGGGGAAAGCTTAAAGCATTTTTAGAACTGCCAATCAAATATATGCTATTTTATGCTTAGACATTATGCAACTAATACAATAACTTGTGGGTATCAAACAAGACTGTTCTTTTACCATCCAGTGCTTATACTCTGTAGAAAACCAATGCATATTTAAAGGCTAATTTATGTTAAGTATGCCAGACTCACATTTCTTACCCACCACTAATAAAGGGCAAGTTCAGTAACAATTACACAAAAACCACCACTAGCATTGAGTTGTTAGAATACCCCTGCTCCCTTCACAGAGCTTCCAATCCTAGCATTTCCTGCGAAGAGGGATTCACTGTTAAACAATTTTGAGAATTGTAGCTTTATAAGAGAAATTGTGGGGAGGAGGTTTCCTGACAACTCTTAGTAACAAACTACAGTTCCCATGATTCCTTGGATAAGCCAATGCTTTTTAAAGTAGTATGATACCACCGTAAATATATGGTGCAGATGGGACCTTAGTTTAGTCTTCAGGTTAGCTTTTTCCATCCAGGTGTTCTCCAGATGTTTTGGATGACAGTTCTCATAATCCATAACTAGTATAATCATTCTTTAAGCATTATGATAGTTGCAGGCAGAGGATGTGTTTTTTCCTTCATAATTAAACTGTTAAAGCCTCTTTAACAGTTGAAAGAGAAATACCTTTCCATGAACCGAGGCTCAAACTGTGCAGGAATGGCTTGGATTCTCTGCTGACCTGCTCCCATTAGTTGTGGATTTACTGCCATCATCTGGTTTCTCATTATAATCTCTTGTCGCTGTCGCAATTCTAACACAAATCAGACCATGTATCTTTGAGTAAATATACATCATAGATGGCAGGAGTCCAAACAGAAAATTATCTGAAATAGTATCTTCACCCCCTTATTTCAAGGTTCTAAGAATTCCATTGCTAAATTCAGTTGATAAATTTATCTAACATTAATAAAAGTTGAAGAAAAGCAGGAGAACAAAATATTTTGCTGCCATATAAATGGTATTTTATGGGATTAATTGCAATCAGTAAAAGAATTTGCAATTTTCCCCACTTTTCCACTTAGATATTGTTCTTGTGCAACAGATATCAGTGTGATACCACACATAAATTACACATATAATTTAAAAACAAAGTGAATTTATAATGAAATGTGGAGAAACTTTTAATTAGGTGGAGTAGTATGGTAGCCATTGCTCTCAATATCAACCTGCCAAAGTTCTCTTATTATATCACTATCTATTCTATTCTATTCTATCTAATCTCTCTCTCCCTCCCTCTCTCCCTCTCTCCCTCTCTCTCTCTCTCTCTCTCTCCCTCCCTCTCTCCCCCTTCTATTTTTTATCCACTCTTCACCATTAGGTCCCAGGACAATAGTTTGAACTTAAATATTGAAAACTGAAACAAGTCACAGAATTAGAGTGGGTCCTGAAAACATGTATCTCATGTGTTAAAAGCCAGGGTAAAGATGTTTGTCTTCAACATATGATAGCATACCCCTCAACTGTTCTGATTTGAGTGGGACATCCCAGAATTACAGAAGCCATCATCACTTCTGATTGGATCCTGGAATGTTCCGTTTTTTGGTCTCATGCTCTCGTACAAATCACCTGCCTCATGCCAGAGTGCTGGACCAAATGGTGCTAATTTTTTGGTTATCTAATGTGAATCAGCTGGCTCCCACAAGCGTCCCAGTGTTGACCAGTAGGATGTTGGAGGGTATGCAACAGAAACTACATAATGAGGGCACATCTTTGGGGAGGGAATTTCACAACCTAGGAGCTGCCCCTTCCCAGGCCACTGCCTCCCCTCACTTCTAGGGGTGGTAGAACTTCCAAAAGGGGCCCTTCTGCTGATCTTAACACACAAGAGGATCGCTAGAGAAATGGGTGGTCTTTGATATATTTTGGGCCGAAATGTTGGTCGGTATTCCATCTTACCGCCTGCTGCCATACCACTTGCTAACCGGTATAAATGCTTGTCTTCCAAGGTTCCCTGTTCCCCAAGGACTGACATTTTTCTCATGTGATCTCGAGGAGTCATGTTATGGAGGGATGCAGATGGCTTTTCCACTAGTTATTGGTGAAACTGGTACGAGCTGAGAGAAAAATAAAGAGCATGATTTATAATAGAACAGATATGTTGTAAATATCAATGATACATGAGAGGAATATAAAACTGTACAGGTCCTGCTTATCTGAAGGACTACCTCCCAGGCCCTGCCAGAATGAAATCAGCTAAGAATACTGGCGGTACCATCTATATATGAAAAGTTATTTTCAGACCCAGTGTGCTTGTCATGGTAAGAGGAAGTATAACAGCTTGAACAAACAAGCAGGCTGGCATTGCACACTGGTCAAATTGCATGCATTAGACTGCTCCTTTTTCCAAAGCTGTGAAGAAACAAATGAGAGGCTGGCTTAGTGTTACATATAAACCAGCGCTTATGGTTTGTTCCTCTCCAAGCTTTGTACTTGCCATAGGCCTCAGGTTGGCAACTGTGGGAAACAGGATGCCGGACTATATGGTGCCAATCCACTGGGCCATCTAGCCCAACAGGCAGCAACTACCTAAGGTCTCAGGCAAGGGTCTCTTGTAGACCTCCAGTTTTTGGAGGTCCTTTCCGGTACAGATGGTAGGTACTGAAAATGGAACCTTACGCATGCAGACGAGGGAATCTTCCCTGAGCTATGGCCCCTCCAGATAAGGACTGTGAAATAGCTAAGAACCTTGAAGCTGGGTTTGTGTAAAAGAATATGCACCAGCTGTCCAAGACTGCATTTGTGTAGGACTCTCTGCTGATCCTATTCTGTAAATCCGGACTGTACAGCACATTATAGGGATGAAGACAAGTTAATCTCTGCTTTTAGAGTTTTACCCTCAGCAAACCCTTCTTGGCAGCAGGCAGAACCACTCACCTAGTGCTAATTCTGTCTCGGTTTATTAGGCAAAGGGTGGAAGGGCAGAATCTTTATGGACTAAAAGCACTTCCATACAGTTAATCATGTTATGAGAGCCCAAAAGTGTGTGTGTCCATTCTGCAACTACAACTCCCATCAGCCCTGGTGTAATGTAAGTACAGTGGAGGCATTAGTAGTAGTAGTAGAAGAAGTAGTAGTAGTAGTAGTTTTGGCAAAGAAACCTTGCTGTGAACAAGATAATGAATTCGGTATGTTCCCAGAACAAAAGGGAGCTAATGCTGATCAAAGACAGGAAGTAGAAGATAAAGGGCAGATCCACATTTAAAGAACATGGCTCCTCCTCAAAGAATTCTTGAAACTGTAGTTTTCTCCTCCCAGAACTACAAATCGCATATACTTACCAAGCCTCCACTACCAGGATTCTTTAAGGGAAGTCATGTGCTTTAAATGTGTATTGGATGTGCTTTAAATGTATGGTGTGGATCTGTCCAAAGACAGAAAGCGAGTGAGTGAAGCCAAGAATCAACACATGCTATAGTAGATTAGGTAAGAGAGGTTCAGAGTAATTTTTCTTGTGTTTAGATTGATGGGAAAGAGATTTTAAGTAGCTTCTTCAGCAAATTCCCTGTAAGATAATGGGGATCAACAGAGAATACGCTGCCTTTAACAAAAGCTCCAGAACTTACTTCTGCACCTATCCCAACCTCATTCATGCCTTCTCTCAGAAAAATACTTGAATTATTATGATGCGTATTCACATACAGTCCTATAACAAAGTGCTCAGGGTGGTTTACAATAAAAAACAGGGAAAAATACAATTCATACAAACTGATCCTCAAGCCATAAGCTGGAGTTCTTAGTTTTAAATGGCTTCTGTAGTTGGTAAAGTTACATTGGTTTAAATTAATTTGGTTGAATCCAGACTTGAATAATGCTTACAGTAGACACATCACAATCAATGGGATTGTCATGATCCAGTCCAAGGATTCAAAATTAACTGACTTGTGGAAAGGTTGCTTGTCTTGCACCCCACTAATAGCATCACCATGTAGAGATAATTACAGCATTGCTAAAAATTAAAAATATAAATTCAACAAGCTATTATTTTATTTGTTTAAAACATCTGTGCCCTGCCTTTCCACATTTGGCCAACCCCATTTATAAGATTAAAAATAACTCAAACACAATTAAAACAAATAACAATTTTAAATTAATGTCAATTATTCATAAATATTAGATGATTATCTGAACATTACTTCTGGCACCAGGTTCCATATGTAAAGCAACCACTTTCTCAACAGGCAACATTAAAACAACTGGCATTTTTATTACCCTGATGTTCCATATAGGTTACGATCATTAGCCATTGTATATACTTACAGCAATTGCCAAGACCTCAGTTTTGAAACTGGGCAAGATTGTATGAATATCCAAGAGCTTGTGACTTCGCTGTGGATCTTTTCTTCAGGCTGGTTGTGTCGCTTGGTTGGCTTTTAAGACACATTGGGATTAGCCCATCAAAAAACTCTTAACTAACGATGACTTTGCTTTAAATACAAACTCAATTTATCTTGATTAGCCTTCATCCCTGCGTTTAAGCCCTCCCCACTCGTGACATCACAGGCCCTTCTCCCAGACCATCTCTCAGGAGGGCTGTAAAAAAACAACACATAATTACTTACAAGTAGCACATTCCACTGAGCTGATAAACCTATTTTAACATTTAACCTGTTAAGCTGGTGTTAGTCTTTAAGGCAATTGGTGCATCCTCTGAAAATCTGAATCGTTCCTGAAATTATGCACTTGGCAACAGAAAAATGATCAGAATTGTTCTGACTGTTATCAGTCCACAATTGATTTTTTAAGAAGCTGTTTACTTCTGCCACATGACAGGTCTGTTGCCCCATAATTACTTATCCTGTTGGGCTGGAAAGATTAAAGTGCTGTTAAGCACACTGTGAGGCTAACAGGCGGATCAGATGGTTATACTGCTCAAGCTCACAGTTTACTCTTTAATTCTCCCTGTCAGTTAGTTAACACCTCTCAGGCTGAACTGAGATGCTAAGGGCCTCTTCACAAGTTATCCATTTCTTAGTGAGATGTAGGGACAGGTCAAATTACCTGTTCCAGGTAGCCTGACACATTACAATTAGAACTGGAGTGATTAATACTGACAACACCCCCTTGTCTGGTTTCAGAGAAGCACTCCCTTGCCAAGGACCTATAACTGGAGGCTGCAGTCAGTTGAAGACAACTTGGCCCAGCCCACGCAAGGCTAACTCTGCCCTGATCTCCCTTTTCTCAGTACAGTATTCACTAACTGAAGTCTGGCTTTGACCTTCCCCAGAAAAGAGCTGCATACCTTGTTATATGCCACTTCCTACTATTACTGTACTTGCTCAAACTTCTTTTGCGTGCACCAGATTTGCATGGGAATGATGCTTACTGCTTCACTGTCTGTACCTTGGATTTGTAATCAAACATTCTGTAATGAGAAGATTAATCTACTGGGTCACCTGTTATACCAGATGATGCTGAGCCTGCCCTCAATTTTTGACATCATGTGCCCCAGACTCCCTAAAGCAGGGGAGGGAAATGTCAGGCCTGGAAGCCAGATTCAGCCCTCCAGACCTCTCTGCCTGGCAACGCCCCTCACTGGCTCTGCACCATGCCCTCTTCAGGAGTTTTTACCTGGCTGGAAGTGCTGCTGAAATGTCATCATGTCTATTGCTTGGTCACTTGGAGGATGGACAGGTGTTTGGGTGTAAAATGTAAATTACTGTATGCGTCTGTAAGAGTAACAACCATTGCTCAGCCTTCTTTTTCCTTTGGCCTCTCCCGCCAATGCCATGTGGCACTCAAAAGATTGCCCACATGAGAATGTGGCCCTTGAGCTGATAATTGGTTCCCTGTCCTAAAAGGCCTCTATGCAAATTTGGGCCCCGTAGATTGATGCAGGAGAACGTAGTTGCTGGTATAATAATGCGGTCCTAAGCGTGCTCCATGCATACATGCCATCTTGGAATGCATCTAACTGAACCACAAGGTGGCATTCAATGAAATTTTGCCCTACATAGACCCATTGAAATCAATGGACCTACTGTAACTTAGTTGCATTCATTAATTTTAACAGGTATACCATGGGTAAAACTTAATAGGGTTGCCATATTTCAAAAAGCTTTTTTTTTTAATGAAAATGCCAAAAGATCCAGGGCTAACTGTCGCCTTCAGGAAATTCCCCCTGGCCGTCACTTATGTCTTTGAAATCCTGGTAGTGTCCAGGAAAATCTGGACATATGGCAGCCCTAGAATACTACCCATTGAGCTCAGGGACTGCGGTGGCATTCCTGGTATGGGTCTGACGTTTTGCACATCCTGAGGAGAGTGCAGGGATTGGGAGGGCAATGAGAGCGAGGAACTCATCACATCAGCAGGCACTGAGGCCTAGCTCCAGCACAGATTGATGACTCTGGCCTGGTAAAACAGGGAACTTAGGCTGGTTCCTGATAGAAACTCTCATGAAATTCAGCAAGAGGCATTACCCTTCCACTATCCTATATGTTTAGAATTAAAACAGGTTCCACACACATAATATTTGCTGCAATTGGGGGCACAGGGACTAAATAATAAATAATAAAGTGAAGTCAGTAGTTTTGCAAACCCACCACTATATACTGGCAGGCAGAGTGGAACCAAAAGCAGTTCTTTCAATACTAGGGAGATACACTTCCAATTGATCCCAGTCAATAGCCTGGCTCCGGGGTATGAAGCTTCTGGCCTTCCAGGCGTTATTGGGCTCCAACTTCCAACTAGCTCAGCCAGCATGATCAAAAGTCAGGGGTGGTTGGAATTGTAACCCAGCAGGAGGGCCACAGATTAGCCACCCCTGGCCTAGTGGCCACTTTTTGAACAAACCAAAGTTTCTGAATGGTCTTCAAAGGCAGTCCCATGTACTGTACAACAAATTACAGCAGTCAACCCTAGATTATACTGGTGCATGTATGACTGTGGACAGGTTATCTCTACCCGGGAGAGGATGCAAGTGGTTCTTTGTTGCAGAGGCTACCAAGCTTACCTAGGCTTCCAGTGTCAAAGCTGGATCCAGGAGTACGCCCAGCCCTATTACCTGATACTTTAGGGAAAGTGCAGTCCCATCTAAGACATCTTGAACACCACCTTCCTGAACAAATAGCTACCAACAAAATCCTCATCTTCTTGGGACTGAGTTTCAGTTTACTGCCCTGCTTCCACCCCCATTACTGATTCCAGTCACCTTATTTAATTCTAGATGGTGCTTGGATCTGATACAATGGGTAAGCTTTGTCAAGCTGCTTGGCAACAGTGACCACAATGCTCTTAAGTTCAAACATACATGTGGGTGGGAATGTCAGACAGATGAGCTTTTCTGGAGACCTGAATTAATTGCTTCTTAACAGCCCAGCAGGACTTGCGTGCTTTTCTGTTTCTTTTTTACACTCCCGAGGTTAATTCTTGTCTGCCTTAATTGTGGCATTCTGGTTGGCATGTGCAACAGAGTTGCTGCAAAAGAGCTTAAAATCCAGTTTTTATCATTCTTGGATCTTTCCTGTGGCTATTTTTTTTTTAAAGGTTACTTTATTCAAACATCCTCTTCTGACTATCTGTACTGAGACACCAGCCTTTGTCCGAAGATCTGGTCATTGCACTTTATTGCTGTGCCAGACCTGCTTTCCATATACCGTATTTTTCGCTCTATAAGACACACTTTTTCCCTCCTAAAAAGTAAGGGGAAATGTGTGCGCGTCTTATGGAGCGAATGCAGGCTGCGTTGCTTTTGCTGAAGCCAGAACAGCAAGAGGGATTGCTGTGCAGCAATCCCTCTTGCTGTTCTGGCTTCAGCAAAAGCAACGCAAAGCCTCTTCAACAACATTTGGTTCAGATTATTTTTTGGTTTGTTTTCCTCCTCTAAAAACTAGGTGCGTCTTACGGTCGGGTGCGTCTTATAGAGCAAAAAATACGGTATTTGCATTTGCTTCCTTAACGTTTATCTTTCAAAAGTGCCAAGGCATTTTCTTAGTTTCTAGGGACACTTGGAGAAAACATTCACATTTCACTTGAAACTATGGAAAGGGACAGCATCTGATATCTGCTCAGCACAATCACTAAAACCTAGTTCAAATCACTAAACCTGCTTAAACCCTTTCTCAAAAAGTTCAACAAAATCTTTAGCCTTCTGCTTCATTGGTGAAAAAGAAGGATCAGTTTCTCTGCTCTACAATACTGCCCAGGGCACTTCCTGCTAAGGGAGCAAAAGAGGAATGTCAACTTCATGCTTGGCTTGTGTGCTCCCAGCTGCATCTGGCAGGCAGCTCTTGAGAAAAGGATGCTAAACTAGGTAGATCTGTGGGCCCACTCCAGCTGGGTTCCTTTTATGTCAGGGGTGGGGAACCTCAGGCCTGAGAGCAAAATATGGCCCTTCAAGCCTCAGGACTCTCCCTCATCCACAATGTGCATTGGGGGGGAGGGAGACCAGGGCCACAGCTAGTGGCTAAGGGCTAAAGCCCCCTAAACCCAATCAAAGGATTCAGATCTGGATATGCCTTGCTGGACTATCTATTTTGGGAGGGAAGGGATCATGCACTCAAGTCAAACCTTGTGATTCATGTCACATGCAGTCTGGTCCTTAAGAGCTTAAGTCAGGGGCATCCAATATTTTAAAACAATTCAGTGTTAACACTACAAAGTTAGAATAATTCTCTAGTACTGTATTATCTCTGTATTTTTACTGTGATCTGTAAATCCATATATTAATTATATTTAATATTGCTCTATTTAGTTAATGATTCATGAACTGGAAATAAAGTGATGCTGGCATTAATATTCATCATAAGTAATATTTAAAATGTGACCTATTAAACAGCCATGGCAGTGGAGTTCTCCTTAATCAAGCCAAACATCTGTATTCCAGATGGAAGCATCAGTGATCCTTAGTCATGATGATTTTAATTAGCCTCTGGCAATTAATGTAGTTTGCAGGCCTTAATTGAACTCATCAGATTACTTATTCATGCAAATGCTTCAGTGCAAGGGGATTACTTTTGATATATTAAGGGCTAATGTAGTGTAGGAACTAACAGGCTGAGCAATGAAGCTGGAAATAAGCTCTTTCAAAGCTTGCCTTGACTGTAAACTCAAGATATGAACCCCCAAAACACCCTCAATGGAGGTAATAATATTGACCTACTTTACACGGTCGTCGTAAGGATTAGTGAAATAATGACTCAGTTCAAATCATGGCATAGCACAAACACATATGAGAGCGCAGGTTCCTGGAGAGGAGATCGTGGGCACTGTGTTCCTTCTCTGGTTCTCCCACTACCTCACAAAATATGTTGTAGTTTGGCTTAGCATATCATCCAAACTCGTGGTTTGTCCCCTCCGGACAAATCATGAACTTGTAAACCAAGAAGAAACCTTGGTTACAGCTTGTGGTTTGTTTGGTATGAGGCAAACCATGAGCCTGGGTTCAGATGGCACATCAATCCAAACCATAGCTTAGATTCAGTTAATGGAGCAGAAACAGGACTGATGAAGAGTACAGTGGCCTTGAGCTTCCCTTTGAGAACCCACACACTCACACTGAGCCATAGCTTGGCTTAGTGCAAACCAGGAAATTAATACTCTAGGAAATGCTATAGTAATTCCAAGCAGTTGTGTGGAAATCATGGTTTTGACCAACTAATAATAATAATGATGATGATGATGATAATAAATTATTTTTATTTGTACCCCGCCCTCCCTGGCCAGAGCCAGGCTCAGGGCGGCTAACATCATAAAACTAACACAGTATACAAAGAACATGAAAACAGGCAATCAGTTAATTAAAATACATCTAAAAATTAGTTCAGAGCAAATTAAAATCTGGACAAATGGCAGTCCATGGGTAAAATTGAGAGTAATGTATTCTGTGGAAAATATTTTCTAGCCACCAATTTATTTATTTATCAGATCTGTTTTAGATGTATCGCTTGGAAACAGTGTATGTACAGTGGGTCACCATCTCCATGCTCACATTCTCCAGCACATTCTCCAGCACAGATTTGATGGCATGCAAGGTAAGACAAAGTACGATGTGCATAATGCCTCCATTTCCTCAGCCCTTTTATTCGTTAAGGCGAATGAAGGAGCACCTGTGGGCAACAAAATCTTCCTTGTTCTTTTCATGGGTGGCGAGACCCATAGGTACAAATCAATACATGACTGGAGCAGCTGTCTCCACATTGAGGTACCTTTGCACAGGAACTATATATGTGCATCAGATCAAACCCTTCAAGTTTCCCTATAGTCCCAGATTTACAGAAGCCATCCCAGTTTCTGATTTGATCCCAGAATGTCCTACTTTTCCTTAAGACATCCCTATTTTCATCAGAGACATGTTGGAGGGTATGGAGTTATTTGACTCCCAAGCCATCTGAAGGCAGCCCTATATAAGAAAGTTTTTTTAAATGTTTAATGATTTTTTAAAATATGTTGGAAGCCACCCGAAGTGGCTGGGGCAACCCAGACAGATGGGCAGGGTATAAATAGTAAAATTATTATTATAGAATAGGACGTCCCTATTTTCCTCAGAGAAATGTTGGAGGGTATGTCTGATACTATAGAGGGCTCTTTGCCTTTGAGCTGTAAACTTTTATGTTGAGATGGCAGAATTGAGTGTCTTCTTGCGAAGTACCACCTAGGCTGGGCTAGACTCACTACTAAACTGAAAAGGAAATCCTCAAAATAATACTTCATGATTAAGTGCATGCAATATAGGATTTTGGTGTTTGCAAATCCTTTTTTTCAAATCAACTTGTGGCATTAATCCTCTAATGGCATTATTCCCTTAGACTATATGCCGGATTAAGGAGTCATGATGAGGCAAAGTACAAAAATCCACGCTAATCTTTCAAAGGAGGATGCTGCGTGGGATGCAGCTAACGAGGTTGTCCCCATTAAGGGTTGGTCCTTCTTCTGTCCACCTAGTCCCTTCCCCTTCTGGCATATCATGGTGACGAAGTGGAAGGAATATATTTGTAGATGGTGTGTACACAAGAAACACCCAAGCAGTTCCGTGGCCATAATCTGCCCTCCTTGAAATCAGTCATTAGTAACTTGATAACTTCCATTGTAAAGGCTTCTGTGCTTTGTACGATGTGAATGCAAGACAACTTATGAAACCTGTTTCCTTGTGCATTTGGAAGCTAGGTTTTCTTCCGAAAATCACACAAGAAAGCACAAGACCTTATCATAGTCGCAAAGTTCAGCACCTGAGTAAAACATGCTTTCGGAAAAGAATGTCCTGCATGTCTTTGAGAAAGGAAAATAGTCACTAGCATTCCCTTTCTGACTATATTATTCCTACAAAAGCATGGCCTGATAACCCAGATATACCCCCAGTCCTGTCCCTCTGTAGTGTAAGCAGAGGTGAGTGCTGCAATGCCTAGACCACTATGCTATCTCTAGCTTGTAGAACACACCATATAGAGTCAGACCATTGTTCTATTGAACTCAGTGTCATCCACAGCTGATGGTTGGAGCTTCCAAGCACAGTACAATACTAGCCTCAATTTTTAGGTTTGGGGCAGGTGTGCTTGGCCCAAACAGTGTCATGGGCCAAGTGGGTAGGCATCGATGCTTCTGAATACTAGCTGCTGGAAACCACAAGAGGGGAGAGTAGTAATGTGTGTGTCATGCTCTGCTCACTGGCTTCCCATAGGCATCTGGGTGGCCACTGTGAGAACAGGATGCTGGACCGGATGGGCCATTGGACTGATCCAGCAGGTTGTTCTTATGTCTGGCAGGCTTTCAGATGGGGTCTCCACCAGCCCCACTTGGAGATGCCAAGGATTGAACTCAGGACCTTCTGCATGCAAAGCAGAAGCTCTACCTGTGTGCTACAGCCCGTCCTCAACAACTACGCCAACAACGGCTGCTTTTTAAAGGTTCCACAATTATATGGGGAAACAGCTCCCTCATCATGATTTCATTTCTGGGGCTGGAGCATCTCCTCTTGGACAGCTCAATACTAACCGAAGCCATGGGAAGGGGCAGTTAACTTCATTGCCTTCCCACCGCACCATTGCTGGAGCTACAGGCTAACCAGGCAGTGCCTCCTCAACCAGAGATTAAAAGGTCTCGTGCTGCGTGAACCTGGTGGCCAGGTAGCTCACTTCCAGTGATTAGGTACCCATTTTCACATGCGAAAGAGGAAGAGCCGTAGCTCAGAACAGGTGCAAGCAAAAGGTCAATCCCTGGCATCTCCAGATAGGACTGGAAATGAAATTCCTGGTCTCAAACTCTGGGGAGACACTGCCAATCAGTGCAGACAATATTGTGCTGGCTGGACCAATGGTCCATTGTGTTTCTGGATTACTGCGATATCATATAAGGCTGCACATTTTAGTATTGCTGCACATCTCATCTTTCAAATGGTAAAGTTCTGGAGATTTTAACATACATACTAGCAAAGTTGTGTGATCACCATTTCTATGTGAAATGCAGAAGATGATACCAGCTGAATGAATACAGTATCCGCCACAAAACTGGAGGCATCAGAAAATAAAGAAAATAAGTACATCATCTATTAACCAGGCCTGTTTGGAAGGAATGGGGTCTCTTGGAGATTCTTGCAAGAGACTAAGCCAAGCTTGAGGTTCTGAAGACCAAATACAGCTGCCCACTGCCTTCGGTATTTTGCTATTCCATAACTCTGTACATCACCAGAGTTAACTTTTTCTTGTCCTGTGTGTTCACACCCTTTGTATATTTGCAGAATGATGTATTTACCCAACATTACCCGTCTTTCAACCAGTGTGCTATGTACACACTCCTTCATCAATCCATCACCTCTTGGTTGCTCTGCACTGAAATCTCTGCAATACTTTGGTGTGTTCCTTGACTTTCTGGCACTTCATCTCATGGGTGTGCAGTGGAAAAGTGAGTATCCAATGAGTTCATCTGATGTGCTACTCCCATTTTTTCCTGAATCTTCAACTAGTACCGTATTTTTCGCTCTATAAGACGCACCAGACCACAAGACGCACCTAGTTTTTGGAGGAGGAAAACAAGAAGAAAAAAAAATTCTGAGTCTCAGAAGCCAGAACAGCAAGAGGGATCGCTGCGCAGTGAAAGCAGCAATCCCTCTTGCTGTTCTGGCTTCTGGGGTAGCTGCGCAGCCTGCATTCGCTCCATAAGACGCACACACATTTCCCCTTACTTTTTAGGAGGGAAAAGGTGAGTCTTATAGAGCAAAAAATACGGTAATTCTTACTTTTTATTCTTAGATTCAAAGACAGATACATTTTTGCATTGCTATTATTAACAATTCAATTTATTAGGCATTTGCTATGTAAAAAGTTTCTAAGCAGCTTACAAAGATTTAAAAACATAAGGCATAACACGAAATCAAAAAGAAATGAAGGGTGTACCCAATATATTACAATAAAACCATACAAAAAGCCCTAAAGACATGTTAAAACTGCAAAAGCTTTGGCAACAAAAAATGTCATCCAATAAATCATCTCTCAAATGCATGGGAGAAGAGATAAGTAAATACCTGGCACCAAAAGGATGTTTATCCAGGCACCAGGTGGATCTCACTGGGGAAAGCATTCCACAAGCAGAGGGCTACAACTGAAAAGGCCCTTGTCACCACCCTCCAAACCTTCCTCAGAGAGGGCGCCCAGAGAAGGGCCACAGATTAACATCTGTGGGTCTGGGAGGGGACATAACAGGACAGATGCTCCAACAGATTTTGCCTTCTAAAGCACCAGTTGGGCAAGAATTGTGCCTTTGTCTTTGAAAAAGCACTGAGTTTAGATACCATATGTCTTGGCCCTTGGACAAGTCACTCATTTCTCAGCCTCAATTCTGAATCTGTAAAATGGAATGATAGTGATCTGCTTAATAGGAATTTTGTCATTGCAGTGATATGGGAAGTCACAGAAGAATAAGACTGGTAACATATGATGTTCTTAAGATGTTTTGCTTGAAAACCTAATGGAAAAAAAATTAAATGAATTTTGTCCGTGCAAACATAGTAGAAATGACAAAGACCTTTGTAAATTTTCAAATAAATAATGTGCTACATTAATGGCAGAAGTAATTGTGGCCAGAAGAAACAGAGCATTTTTCTGGCAGATCACTCTCTTCAAAAGATTTTGGCAGCTTTCATTATGAATCCTACCATAACTATGAGGACTAACTGTGAAGACTAAATCACAATAGGTATAAGATATTTTTGGGAAATGAAAACACTGTAGTAATATTGCTTCATAGCTTTATCTTCACAGAAGTATGCTAGCTATTTGATCTCTCAGCTTTTCCCAGACTCCATCAGTGTTACTTTTAAAAGGGAACACAACGATCCTTTTTTTCTTCAGGTAGTCTTGTAATTTGAGCTATAAAGTGACTCAGCCTTCCCAGCTGCCAGCAATCCGTCACATGTAAGAGGCTCCGGTATCAAAGTCTACACAACTACTTCCTCTTTTCTCTTCAAATGATCCTACCCCACTGCACAAAAAATGCTGACCAGACTGTTCAAATGAAATGTTCAAGGAGGCAGTTGGGCAAAACCGTTGAAAAGACGCACCAAAGAAAAAGTTACGGTAATGCTTTCCACCAGACCATCATCTCCCTTGAAAATACTTTTGAACTCTGCAGTTCTTCTGAAAAGTGTATGTCCCTGCTTCACCATCACACCAAATCAAGAATATTGCATGAGAAAGCTAATATAAGAACAGAAAGTGTCTGAAGACAAGCAATAAAGCAACTGGAACTGAATCAAGAGCAAACTCAAAGGATGATCAGCATCAAAGCTGATTTGTTTCATAAGCCATGAAAATACTTGGAAAGGTAAAACAACCCTTCGATTAAAAAAAAAATGGAAGCTGAAGGTAGGTTGTTTTACTGTATCTCTTAAAAACCTCTGGCAATGCTTATTCTGTATTATGTATTTTAAGCTTTAGCATGCTCTGTCCCAAGAACTCAGGGAGCAATGCTTAAAAACAGGTGCAACCGACAGATCAAAATGCTCAGTAGTTAACAAGCATAAATATTGTATGATGGGGTGGGGAACCTTTGGCTTTTATGCCAGATTTGGTCTCCAAACCATGCCCACCTCCCTCACACCTGATGCCATATGTGATTTCAGGTTTGCTATGGGTATTGCAAAGGAAGAATCAGGAGCTTAAAGTGAGCTCTTGATTGTTCCTTTGCCAGAACAAGGTGTGCTCCCACCACCCTTCAGCTGGTTTTCAGAGCCTTAAAGAGCAGTTTGGGGCTGTTTGCAACAGGGCTTTCAATCAACCCTGCATTGCAATTTGAAGTCCCAACAACCCAGGCTTCAAAGCACAGTATCACACACCCCACAAAGTAAAAAATTCCCAAACTTAAAGGTAAGTTTGCCTTTAAATACAAACTGGATTTCTCCCTGTCCTTGGTGCCCGTGCTTTTATTTTGGTTATATTGATATGGTTTCCATGAATGTTTTGTTGTGATTAAATGTATTTTTGTTTGTGAACGGCCCAGAGGACCATGATGATTGGACAGTGTAGAAATACAGAAAAATAAGAAGAGATGGCTAGGAAGTAATAACTATGTACATACCATGGCAGGAGTTGCAATACATTCTGAACTTTCTCTTACGATGAAATTGTGTGGGCGTACATAGTACACAGTGCATAGCCTTCTTTGCCTTGTTTTTAAGGCAGGCTCAAGAGCAAGTGCTATCCGAAACACAATTTCTGCCTCTCTTTCTCTCTCTCCTCGGAAAGGCGCAAAGTGGACAAGCACAGAAAAGGGTGCAGATGGCTTTTTTCAGAGATCCCCATTCAACTTCTTTAGAAGTCAGATCCAGAAGAAGAAACCCTCTGCTGAGAAAGGGGGATGTGAACAGTACCAGGGCTCAGACCACGAGGAATCCAAAGAGGAAAGTGGAAAAGGAAGCAGAGGACACAAAATGAACGATTCCTGTTTAGAAACTCAAATGGTGGAGCAGATTTTCCCTGCACCAGGTAATAGTGATAAGAAAGAGCACTTGAAGAACAGGGACTATCTGCCCAGGGGGGCTGTGCTCCAAGAGTAGCTCTCTGTGAGTGAAGACAGATGTAGCATTTTCACCCACCATGTTGTCCCAATGTTTTGCAAACGGGATTGTGAGGAACTCCAAACTGGGTGAATGGGCAGTCAATGGACAAATGCAACTTAAGGGGTGATATGATAGCCATGTTCAAATATATAAAAGGATGTCACATAGAGGAGGGAGAAAGGTTGTTTTCTGCTGCTCCAGAGAAGCGGACACGGAGCAATGGATCCAAACTACAAGAAAGAAGATTCCACCTAAACATTAGGAAGAACTTCCTGACAGTAAGAGCTGTTCGACAGTGGAATTTGCTGCCAAGGAGTGTGGTGGAGTCTCCTTCTTTGGAGGTCTTTAAGCAGAGGCTTGACAACCATATGTCAGGAGTGCTCTGATGGTGTTTCCTGCTTGGCAGGGGGTTGGACTCGTTGGCCCTTGTGGTCTCTTCCAACTCTATGATTCTATGATTCTATGAACTCCATGTAAGCAAGTGTACAGTGGTGCACATTGGGGCAAAAAGTCATTTCACATATATACTAATAGAGTGTGAACTGGCAGTAACTGACCAGAACAAGATTTTGGACTCATCAGGTGAAGATGTAGAACTGCTGTGCAGCAGCTGTGAAGGCATTTTGCATGTTAACAATGATTACGAGAAATATGTTCATGATCTGCCAGGAGAGAGTCTCCTGCATGATCAGAAGCATGGTTTGGTTGGTTTTCAGCAAATGTTGGGATTGTTGAAAACCATTCAGGTCACTACATTTCCATTGTCTTGGTTCCACAGACTCAATGCTGTGTCCGCAAAGAGTCCAGAATTTCCTGGGGAAATTGGGCAAACAGCCCTCTAGCAAGGTTTTGGACTTAAATAATTGTGCATTAAGTACAACAGATATAATGGAGCTGGGTGAGTATACATTTTGATACGTATTTTTTCACTCTAGTAATGGCTTCAGAGGCATTGTTAAATACTTGAGTGCACAGGCCTATGGCACAAATTTACATAAAATCTACATGTGATCATTTGTATGCATAGATGAAAATTTAGGCTCACTTGCAAAAGGGAAAGCAAGCTTCGGCAGTCAGGGATTTACTCTGAGCTGTGGTGTGCCAAAAGGATTTTGTGAGCTCAATGCACAGTGTGTGGAGACGGCCCTCTGCCCTAATCACAATCTGTTGGCCACAGCTATGTGTGTTTATTTATTTAAAAATATAGCCCCTTAATATAATCAAAATATCTAAACAATTACAAAAGTTTGTAGCCCCTGCAAAGCCTCTTTCAGCCAAGTCCTGGCCATATCTGCCCCCCACAACACACATGGCATTATATAAGAGTTAAGCTGGATGGGTGCGACTTGCTTCAGTTGACCTCACGGACCAAATGAGGAGGGCTGGTGGGTGAAGTTTGGTCTGCAGGCTGGAGGTTCTCTTCTTTGGTCACCTCTCTGCTGCCACCTGACTTCCCAGGCTCATGGAGGAGATGAATGGATTGGAGCCATCTTAGTCTTAAAATATCAACCCTCCACCCCCTTATTTGCAGATGTAGGAACAGAGCTACACAGAGTTACTTGTAGTACCAATAGTACCTTGCAGCTTTTCGTCTCTGCCTCAATAAACCTTAATGTGCACGCACAGTTCGGTCATATATCAGCGCTTATATCAGCAGTGGTTTATCTCTCACTCTGCTTTCTCCCCTAGTTGCCATAATACATTTGCTGCCAGGCCTGGAAGAGATTGATCTTTCTTGGAATGATTTAATAGGAGGGACATTAAAGTCTCTTACCCTTCCGTTCAAATGTCTGCAAGAGCTGAAAGTCCTCCGACTGAACAACTGCAGACTCACAGCCATGGATCTTTCGTTTTTAGGTATCATCCAGTAATTGCATAACTTACTCCGAGAGGTTATTACAGTGGGTTATTTCATTAGAGATATAGGTAAATTCTAATCTGGATTGCGGGGACCTAGTCCTGCAATTCCATTTCAGACACAGGGCTTGTCCACACTTACCTTTTGCCCCGCTCTTTCCAGGCACAGATCCACGCTTAAAGCACCGTGCCCAGGTGTGTTGATGTTTTTGCCCTGGAGTTTTCCCAGCAAAACCCCTCTTCAGCCCTCAGTTGGAGTAAGTGTCAGTTCTGGTTAACTGTGGATTGACGTTTGTTCCTACTGAGTGTTAAAAGAGTGGGTTTTTGTGGGGAAAGCTCTGGAGCAAAAAGGGGGAGCACTCAAACACTTTAAAGTGCAGAGCTTTAAAGAGCTTTAACGTGCAGACTGTGCCTGGAAAGAGCAGAGGAAAGGTAAATGTGGATAAGCCCTAAGGCTGCATCCGGACTATGCAAATATGAGCTTGCTGAAGTAGGGCTGTAATTGGGTACACAAACCTGTGTATGTATGTTCCTGAAATTATTACATTCTTGCATGTTCTTAAACCAAAGTTTAAATAGTGAAAAAGTATGATGCAATCATTATTGTCTTCTGCTTCTTCAAATCAATGTATAAAATAGTATCAAATGCTTATTTACAGGGGAAGCACTTGAAGTAATTCCTCACCTTGAAACACTAGATTTATCATGGAATACCAACATTGGTGGGAAGCTTTTTCTTCTAATCCAAAAAATCCCCAAAGACCATAAACTCAAAACACTAAAAGTGATGGATTGCAGTCTAACTTCTGAAGATGGTGAATCACTAGGTAAGAGCCCATGGCATAGTGATGTAGCAGCTTTGAATACTGTTTTAGCATTTTATTTAGCTATCAGACCAAATACCACTTTGTATGGAATCAAGATTTTAAACCTGCTGCACTTGAATGCGTTAAAGAATTTGTGTGAAAACTGGCAGGTTGTGCCCTGTGATTTATGAGTTAGGGGGCTTCAAATATGGTTTGTATTGTGCCTGCCCAAATTTTCCCATACGGTCATTATTGTGGCTTTCAGCAAGTAACTTATTTCATTGGTTTCTTGCACTAGTGATTGAGATGAAAACATTGTTTATTTATTTGATAAACTCTACAAACTGCTTGATTATAGTATGGTGTAAAACCTCGAAGCACTTTGCAAGAAATATTAATATTATAAATAAGAACCTGTTAAAAACAATTTAAAACATTTTAATGTCATGAAAATGAATAGCACGATATAAACGACAAATGGCTAGGGAGGTGTATCAAAAGATATAGTTAGTTCGATCAAATCAACATTTGAAAATTTTCCCCTTACTGGTTCAACATTTAAATGAGTTTAAGCTCCCTTTGTTCGGTCCCAGCTCCTGCCAACCTAGCAGTTCGAAAGCATGTCAAAGTGCAAGTAGATAAATAGGTACTGCTCTGGTGGGAAGGTAAATGGCGTTTCCGTGTGCAGCTCTGGTTTCAACAGAAGCGGCTTAGTAATGCTGGCCACATTACCTGGAAAAACTGTCTGCGGACAAATGCCGGCTCCCTTGGCCAGTAAAGCGAGATGAGCACTGCAACCCCAGAGTCGTTCGTGACTGGACTTAGCTGTCAGGGGTCCTTTACCTTTACCTTTAAGGCAAATTAACATTCATTAGCATGAGGAAGGAAACTTCATAATTGGCATATGTTGTCTGATTGGCTTTTGAGAAGCATGGGCAGTCTCTCAAGATGTGTGAGGTATTGACTGGTTCATGTTTGTTACAGAAGGATAACCTTTTTCAAATCCTAAAGGGGTTAAATTTTAAAATGAGATATGTGTAGTATCTCTTCCTCCCTCCCTCCCTCTGCCCACCTCCCATTAAGAGAGATGCATACATAAAGGTTATGTGGTTATTCTGGGGAGTCCAGACAACATCCAGATAACAACTACATCTTGGACATGACCTTAAAAAGAATATTTAGAAACTGGATAAATGAAATTATTGCCCATTTATTTATCATGAGGCAAATAATATTTCCTTTTTCGATTGGATTTAGAACTACCTTCTTGTTTTGTTTTAAATTCCAAGTACCCTGATTTCCTAATAATAAACCTATTTTAAATTTATTACATTTCTCTTCCATTATCTGCTCTGAATATGTTGTGACCAGTTCATCCCTTGGCTTCTTTTCAGCTCGGCAGCTCTACAAAATCCACAGCCTTGAAGTACTGGATTTGTCAATTAACAAAAAGATAGGATATAGCCTGGAGAGTATTGCCCAGGAATTAAAGCATGTCTCAGGACTGAAAGTACTTAATCTGAACAGGTGTGGGTTAAAACTAGATGGATTCAAGTGTTTAGGTAAGTTGGTTGGCATCTGTCAAGGGTGTGTCTTCGGGGGTGAAGTGCAGGTGATGATTTGGTAGCTGGGACTTGTAATAATGATACTTAGCATGTGCACAGAATTTCTGACTGTTCAGATGCATTATCTTCTTGCAATCCTTACAGCAACCCTGTAAGGTACATGAATATTATTCTGCATTGCAGGGGGTTAGACTAGCTGACCCTTGAGTCCCTTCCAACTCTGAGGTTCTATGATTATACCTCTATTGCAGATGGGAAACTGAAGCTGTGTTCACAGTAGACCTTTAAAGTACTTGAAGAACATTTCCGCCCTCAAAGAGTTCGCCCCTCACAGAGCTACAATTCCCTGCAACGCTTAACAAACTACAGTACTCAGAATTCTTTGAATGTGCTTTAAATATATTCTGCGTATGCATTTGTCAACATCTATAACTGGAAATTTTGAATTAAATGTGAATTAGAAATGTATGCACACCTACAAATCCAAATTAGGGCAAAAATGCTAAAAAATATTTTCCCAAATGTGCTTCAGGTCTACTTATCAATCAGATTTTGGGCAGTATTATAAGTGTAATTTGAAAACATTTGTAATTAAAAATATCAAATTTGAATTTTCAAATTGCCAAATTTCAACATCATTTGATTTGATATTTTTTTTTTGCCAGCCTCTGCCAATGAAGAGAAGGAATGTGCAAAAGGACTAAAGGAGGCTAACAACAGATTTCCTTGATGGCAAATTGATTATTGACAAGTTGTCTTCCTGTGCCTATTTTATTTCAGCTAGTGCCTTGCAGCACCTGCTGGAACTAAGAGAATTAGATCTGTCATGTAATAAAGAGATTGGAGGAGGTTTCAAGTACTTAGCAGCTCATTTGGCCGAGCTAAGGAACCTAGAAGTCCTGAATCTTCATCAGTGCTGTATTACAGAAGAGGACACGACTGTTTTAAGTAAGATATTGCAGAATCATTTAATCGTAGAATCGTTTTTGCAAAATCATTATGTGGAATATTTAATTGGAAGATTATCATATCTTCAATCAATCAATCAATCAATCATCTCTCCCACTAGCTCAGAAATACCTCTGGCCCTCCAGATGTTGCTGGACTACAAATCCCATAATATCAGAATGTTCATTAGCTATGTTTGCATGCGCTGATGTGAGCTGGAGTCCAACAATATCTAGAGGACCACATAAGGAGCACATCCTTGGGGATCCATTCTGTGGACATGACCAAACCAGCAATGTCTTTGATTAAAGTTACAGCAAGTTTAGCCAACAAGGTGCCCTCCAGCTGATGTTGGTTAACAACTCACATTGTCCCTGACTGTTGGCAATGCTACATGGGAGTGATGGCAGCTGAAGTCCCATAATATCTGGAAGGCTACTACTTGGCAAAATAATAGGTATTATAATAGGCAATATAAGCAGCCCAGCCCAGTATTGTCAGGCACCAGCTCCCCGGGTTCTCCAACATATTTTCTAACTTGCTGCTATGCCTAGGTACAACTTAGTCTTCCCCTTCCCCACTGCATTTCAAGTCACATTTGCACTTGGGTGTGTTCACATTGCCACCTTGGATCACACTGACATTGGCTTTTTTGGTGCGTTCCACAGTGCTTGCCCACTGCGTTCCACAATGCTGTTTCCATCAACATGGCTTAATTAGTGTCAGGATTTCTGTTTTGTGTACAAACCAGGAGGCCACAATTCTTTAAGTTCCCTGAGGAGAGTTTGGGGGAAGCTGTGACTGTTTAAAGTGGTATGATGCTGCCTTAAATGTATAATGCAGATGGGGCCTAAGTGTATGCTTGGTGGTGGGAGCAGGGTTGGCCACTCGTGCGTGTGTATATATAGATATACACACAAACACTTCTGCAAACTTCAGAGTTCACCCAAACATTACGATATCCACTTCTTGCTTCTTGGTGGGACTGTTTTGCTACAAAGCTGTTGGCACAGTCTGATGAAGTTCATCATCCAACGAAATGTAAATAGTACTTCTAAAATACGGAGGCAGCAGGTGGCATCTGTGAAAAAGTAGTGCCCGTTCTAAGCTTGTGGCTGCTGCAACATGTGGGTGCATGATCTGAAAACAGCAGCAAAATTCTTTTTGATTCAAAAGTATATTCATATTCAAATTTATGCATATTTAATCAATCAATTGGTTAATATACTAAAACTGACAGTTTATTGGCTAAGGTTTATTTAATTTAGTGGCATCACTGGATTTGATGGAATTTGATCGTTCTTCAGTTTTCAGATAACATAGTACAGTGGTGCCTCGCAAGACGAAAAGAATCCGTTCCGCGAGTCTCTTCGTCTTGCGGGTTTTTTCGTCTTGCGAAGCAAGCCCATTAGAGGTTTAGCGGCTTAGCGCTACAGTATTAGCGGCTTAGCCGGCTTAAAGATCAGCTGATAAGCGGCTTAGCATCAGCTGTTAAGCGGCTTAAAGATCAGTTGATAAGCGGCTTAGCCATCAGCTGTTAAGCGGCTTAAAGATCAGCTGATAAGCAGCTTAGCATCAGCTGTTAAGCGGCTTAAAGATCAGCTGATAAGCGGCTTAGCCATCAGCTGATAAGCGGTTTAGCGGCTTGGGAAAAGGGGGGGGGAGGAAAAACCCCCCGCAGGAACTCGCAAGACATTTTTGTCTTGCGAAGCAAGCACATAGGAAATTGCTTTATGGTTAGCACCTCCAAAACGGAAAACCCTTTCGTCTAGCGGGTTTTCCGTCTTGCGAGGCATTCGTCTTGCGGGGCACCACTGTATATTAATATCCAAGAAAAGGGAGTGATAGAGATGAGCGGAAGGAAGGGACATACTTGAATATTTTCAGCTCCTTTAGGTTGATTGTGGAGTTGATGTTTACGATGTTGCAGCTGTACTATCCTTTGATCTTTTTGCAGCCCATGTAATTCCCCTTTTGTCGAGTCTTCAGGACCTGGATTTATCATTAAATAAAAGCATCGGGAAGTCTTCCGACCACCTTCTTAGCAGACTCCGTTTTTTACCAAAACTGAAATCTGTGCTTCTCAGCAATTGTTCTTTAAAGCATGATTCATTTGCATCTTTAGGTAAGAATATGCCTTAAAATGATTCTAGCTTTCCTTATCTATGTCTCCATCTTACCAATCCACAGGGCTAGTATATCAATTGGGCATGAATGTCAAATGGAAACAGACAGTAATTTGAATAAACATTCCTGGGAATATTTATCAGGAGGTGCATTACAGAGCCATCTACTTTCATTAGGTCTGATATAATGAAATGTATGGAAAGGGGAACAGAAGTTCAATTTCTATGCAGAGAATACATTTCATTGAAGGGCTTCTCAGTACTGAAATAACCACCTTCCATTAAAGATCTTTTGCTAGACATAGAGCAGTATAAGATAATACTTAATTGTAGTATTCTCATTCCCTCATTCTCATTCTCTCTTTCCCAGATGGCTTTGCTATTTTTTTGTTTATTCATTATTCAGACATTCACTCAAGAAATTATATCCAACTCTTCAAATAGGTTTCTAGTGGCAGCTCAGAGTACTAAATCAAAAGCACAATGAAAGCTTTGAAAAACGTAAAACACTACAAACCAAGAGCAGCAGCATGCTTTGCCACTGTCCAAAGAATCTCTTTCAACCCCTTTCTTCTAGTCTCCAGACATCAAGAGCTATATTTTTTGTGATCTCGAGTCCTGCTGACAGTTAATTATAGAAGTTGGCAACTTCTTTTCTTTTTCTTCGTTTAACTGTGTCCTGTAAAGCAATATGAGCTCTTTCTTAAGACATAATTGCATCGTTTATTGATTCCCAAATTAACAAAAACATTGCTCCTTTGTCAGAAACACTGTAGGCTTGTTCCTATCTTTGTTTCACCTACAAGGCTGATTCTTTTTGATCTTCCTATAACAAAGCTATAATAAAGTTGTTCTCTTATCCAAATATCTGTACTGTGGAAAAGGAGCAACACAGAGTGAAAATTAGGCACATCCAAGTCCCATTAAAATCAGTGGAACTTTATGCACATAGGTAATGCTTATCTGTGATGCAGTTTAACACATGCACACGTAGCTTCCTCTAGATTATGTCCATGATGTGCACTTCATATGGTGGTCACTTGAAACTGCACCCTTGGCAGCTACAGTATCTACAGAGAAGCTTGTCATACAAACTGGGATATTTTCTCTGCATCCTTTGACATTTGATGCAATAAAGAGAAAATCCCTTGGCCTGTGTGACAACCTGCAGCTGGATGGAGACTGCTAATACAGATGCAGTCTTTACACTGACCTTTGACACCTGAGATGTGTGTTTTCAAGACCCTCCCTATTCTTTTGACTGTAATCTGATTTAACGTTCTGAATTCTGAATTTTAAATTTTTGTAACCCTTGCCGGGACCTCCGCATTGTGGACACTTCCATATGTTTGTAGAAATCTTAATTTCAAGGAAAAAAAATATGCAGTTGTTTCTATCAGAAAGATTTTAGCACACTTGTGGCCAAAGCCCTGTGCACTCTTCCTTGAGGATAACTCCCATTGAGGGCTCAGTGGGACAGTTCCATGCGCACACATATATGGTTAGGTTGCACATCCCTCACTGAAAGTAATTGGAGGTTGAATGTACTCAACATTGGATGGATTGTATCCCATGTGTTTTTTCTCAATGTTTGAACATGGTTTAGGGGAGGTCCCTCTTAGAAAAGTATAGGAAAAGCACATTTCTGATTGCCAATACAGAGCCCAAATCGCCAGGGAGGTTTGCTGCATAAGCAGCTGTGCATAAGCAGTTGTGTTGCTGCTCAGCTCCCATTAATTTCACATAACTTTTGCAGGTAGGCCTCCTGGTTGTGAACAGAGAATGCTTGGAGGTACATTGTGCAGCTCCTCTTGGCACCCTTCCTGCACGATTTCTTTCAGGAAAAGCTCAGTCACATAGATTTGCTTTAACCACAACCATGTGCCCCAGTACAGCACTCTGCTTTTCCACTGGAATAAATGACAACCATTTATATGCATGGGAGAATTGCATTCAATGATTCCAGGGGGAAAGGAGTCAAACCTGCCCTTTAGGGGGACTCCTAGCTGCTGGGACTCAAGTCACTTGAACTTCACAGACCCATTCTGGGTTTTGTTTCTTGGTAGCACTGAAGTGTGATAGAACGTTGGAAAGAATGTTGTATACGGTCTGATCTATTTTGAAGATACGCAGCTGGGTGCAGAGGGTTGAATGGCATTGGACCAGGCCTATTTATTTCAGTAAGCACAAGATGTTGTTGCTAATCTTTTCAGCTGATGCTGCCCTTCACCTTCCTGAACTGGAGATATTAGACCTTTCTTGGAATAAATGCGTTGGCGGGAACCTAAAGCTGATTTTGAAAGCGCTAAACCTTGGAGCTGAGATCAAAGTGTTAAGACTAAGCAGCTGCAGCTTGGTGGATGAGGACCTGGGTGGCCTTGGTTGGTATAAAATTGTATTTCCCTTCTCCTTAGTACTCCTTGTTTTCAGACCACACGTCAGAGCTGATTTGTTCATTGGACATGAGAGACCTTTCCACAAATGGAAGGAAATCTGGCCAGTAGTATATTTTCAAATGGGATATTTCACCATGCCTATTTGCTTTATAGTGGACTCAACTCAGTGGACTATTGATCATGGACCAAGGTGGGAGATATGAAATAAATGTATTTTACCAATGCTTATGCAGAGCAAATAATGCCAGGTGATACTCACTATAGGCTTATGTATTATTTATTAAATTTTTAAGTCTCCCTGTCTTGCCCAAGGCAACCCAAAGCAACTTACAACCAAACAACCCCACATAGGTACATACATTAAAACCAAGTGGTGGAAGAAATACATTAAAAACATCCTACTTCTAAAAGGCCAGAGATAGTTACAGAGGCAAGTTTTTGCCTGGCACCTAAAGATATACAGCCATACCTTGGTACTCGAATGGCTTGGCTCCTGAACAAAGCAGCTCCCAAACGCCGCGAAGTAAGTGTTCCAGTTTGCAAACGTTTCTCAGAAGCCGAACTTCTGACGCGGCTTCTACTTGAGTGCAGGAAGCTCCTGCAGCCAATCGGAAGCCGCGCCTTGGTTTTCGAACGGTTTCAGGAGTCGAACGGACTCCCAGAACTGATGAAGTTCGAGAACAAGGTACCACTGTATAACAATGGCGCCAGGCCGGGCAAGCATCCCTGGGGAGAGCATTTCACAATCTGGGAGCCACTGCAGAAAAGCCTGTTCTTGTGCTGTCACTCTCAGGACCCTCTGGCTTGTCCACACAATGCACTGAACATATATACAAGCTGTCTATGCATGTACAGATGTTTATGTGATAATGTGTACACTTGTTAATTTGTACTGCTGTAACTTTGTACATACGTACACAGACTCTACACCCATTGAACATTTCATGTGAATAAGTACAGTGGTACCTCGGGTTACATACGCTTCAGGTTACATACGCTTCAGGTTACAGACTCCGCTAACCCAGAAATAGTGCTTCAGGTTAAGAACTTTGCTTCAGGATGAGAACAGAGATCATGCTCCGGCGGCGCAGCAGCAGCAGCAGGAGGCCCCATTAGCTAAAGTGGTGCTTCAGGTTAAGAACAGTTTCAAGTTAAGTACGGACCTCCGGAACGAATTAAGTACTTAACCTGAGGTACCATTGTATGAGTGTACAACTTACCTTTGGTGAACACAGGTACACAGGCTTTACACTCATCCAATGTAATGCATGAACACCCCAATCTCATTTTTCTCTATGATTTTTCTCCTTCCAAAGTACCACTCCCTTTTTTTCTGATACAGAAGTCCCTTCACCACTTGAAAGCATGTACAGTATATTTTGAAAACCAATGTTACCTACAATGATGAACTGGTTGCTTCTTTCAGGCCTGGTCATCCAAGCTGGGCATCTGGCTCAACTACAAGAACTGGACCTTAGTTATAACAACCAGATCTCTGACCAAGGATGGGCAATGTTCTATCAAGACATAGTTGGCCTTGAGCAGCTTTCTGAACTGGATGTCAGCCGCCGTCCGTCGTCACGTGGCAACTGTGGCGAATGGTTGGGCAAACTTTTGGCAGCACTGCTGAAGCTGCCCCAGTTCACGGAGCTCGGGCTGCAAGGCTGGGTTCTTTCCGAAGTTCAGCAAAAGCAACTGGAACATTTTAATCGGGACAATGAACGAAACGTTCGCTTTGATGTTTGGTATGGAGCATGATGTCTTGTGCCAGTGTAACAATCTATAGCTGGTGGCCCAGAGGCTCAGCACGCAGTTCCTATAGCCTTACCTGACAGAATGCAGTGGGGTAGAGAGAGAAGAGCGCCAGAATTGAGAAACTGAAGCCCTGATCTCAGTGAAAATCCTACTCAGCCCCACCTTGTGAGTAATTTTTCACCACACAGGATGCAAGACTTGCCATGCTGGACCATTTCTCCCCACTAAGAGGAGTTTGTGACTTGAGCAGTAGAAAATACTATCTTGATCTGAGAAAATGACTTTCTATGAGTCCTTTTCTTTTCTTGCTTGTATTTATTCCCCTGGCCCTTTGAGGTATCACAGAATGCAGTTATTTCTTCTTGCCCTTGCCTTTGTCCTTTTCCTTGCCCTTGTCTTTTCCTTTTCCTTTGTCTTTTCCCTTTTTGTCTTTCTCCTTCTTCTTCTCTTTCTTCTCTTTCTTGCCTCTCCTGATCATTTTCAGGATCTCGCCAAAGGCTCCAATCCCTCTGCGCACCATCAAGCCACGCCACCAAGCCTGGACCTTTGAGGGGAGGGAGAAACAACCATATAAGCATTAAAATGAAAAGAAAAAGAAAAAGCAGCTGTTTGTAGGGATGGGAGAAGAATTAGCTCATTTTGTTCTTACAGCAGACAGACCAATTTGATGGCTGCAAACTTGCTACCAGATTGGAGCACAACTCTGCTTCTCTGGATTTTACAATGCAGTTTTGGTGTGCGAAAAAAGGGCACACAGAAATAGGTATTTTACTGCCAAAATGCATGTTATGGAGACATGCATTGAAAAAATATCTATTTTAGGGGAAAGACATACAATAAGGCATACAATTTAAACTGAACTTTTCATACATTCTTTTTAAAAATGCACAATATGGGATGGAAGAGACCCAGGGCTTTTTTCCAGCTGGAGCTCACCAGAGCTCAGCTCAGGCACCTCTCAGGTGGGCACCATGGCCGCTCTAAGAGAACAAGGGAGAAGTTCATGCTGAACAGGCCTACGATTAAATAATGAAACTGAAATGGGACAGACCTAGGCTTCGCTGTCCATTCCTAGCTATTTGTTTTTCAGATTTCAAATGTTGGCACATAAAATGGATGCTGTGTTCCCGCTTTCCTCCCAAGGCTCAGTCATGTGGACAAAAAATCTCTTGCAGGAATTCTTCTGGCACCACTCCCCCTTCTGCTACTCCCTCATACAGTACCCCATTAGGACTCCTGAATTAGGAGCTCTCCAGAGTCAGTAACCTCTGTGCCTGTCCTCTCCAAAGAACAGTCCTCCTCAACATCATGGACCCTACACATCACTATGTTGGGCCATCAGCAGAGCCCTGAGGGAATTAACCAAGAGGAGGAGGTATGCTGGCTTATATGCCAGGGGGCTGCCTCTTTAAAAGTGCTCCTAGAGTTTGTAGGAGCCAGTAGGCGGTGTTTGCCAGCCTCGTGCCCTCCATGCTTTGGGCTAGAACTCCCATCAGGTTGTCCAAAACACCAGATTAGCAAAAGCTGCCATGTTCACTTGGAGCTCTCAAAGGTTCTGCTAATGCCTGTCTACCTTGTCCCACCAGCTTCTTCTCAAAGTCAGGAGGAAAATACTCTCCTACCTGACCAGACCTGCTCCTTTTCCCCTTGTTCTTTTCTCTGTTCTCTAATACCAAGTCATACCAATGTACCGGGAGATAATGCACCCTAATCAGAATATTTTCCGGTGGGGGTATCTGCTACTTTGCTTCCACTATTTAAAATCCTGTGGCCCACCCACAGTTCCACTGAATTGTCACTACAACGTGCTGCAGACCCATGTGGCTTTTTGTGTGTGTTCTCTGTACCGTTATGGTCAAGGCCTTTTCGTATCTTTCATCTCGCAAGTACTGCATGGTGACTTGCAACCCTTGGCTAAAGATTTCCACCGCTGGGAACATCAGAGGGTTTCCTTCAAGTGTCAGAACCTGCAGTTTCTCTAGCTTATCCAGATTCTCCGGGACTTGAAATAACTGATTGGAATGAAGAAATAGCTTTTGCAACTCTAAACACAAGAGAATGATAAAGGTGAATATGATGCATAAGCAACATCCATTTCATGTTTATTTGTAAGCTAAATGTTTGGGTATTATTAATATTAATATTACAAGTGCCAACCTGCCAAAATTTTTCTTTTTTTCTTTGGTTGACAATAAAAATAGGCTCAATTGAAGTAAGGACTCTAGATTCCTTATGTACCAAGTAGCTTAGAGGACAGCTAGGGAAGCTGTGTTCCCTCCAGGTGTTGCTGGACTTCAACTCCCATCAGCTCTAACCAACAAAGCCAATGCTTAGGGATGATGGTGGTTCTACAGCAACATCTGGAGTGCCAAAGATTGCATAGGAGGACAATCCCTGCTGTGAAGAGGGGCAGAAACAGGAGCATGGTAGCCCATGAACACCACGCACTAAATGAGACACGGTCAGCATGGCTGAGAGAAACAGTTGGCTCAGGATCAAACTACAAAAGGGCCAAAGCTAAGTGGTAGAGCATCTGCTTTGAACTCAGAAGGTCCCAGGTTCAATCCTCTGCATCTCCAGATTGGATGGGAAAAACCCTTGTCTGAAAATCCAGGAGAATCACTGCCAGTCAGTGCAGACAATACTGAGTTAGATCAGTGGATCAGTGGTCTGATGGTATAAGATGGTGACCTGTGCTTCCTATGGCTTGTATCTCCCAATTACTTTTGATTTTACAAAAAGCAGGTTCAGGGCCCGCCAACCAAGTTTGGGAGAGTTAACGTGGGGGGGGGGAGGGGTTAATCCTTTCCCCCCAACAATTTTCTTGTTAATAATCAACTCCTGACCTAAAGCTGTCATTTGTCCTGATTGGAAAAATGCAAACACAATTGTGTGTGTAAGGCCCACCACCCTATTCCCAGTTGTGGCAAATAGTAGGTTGGGGGGGGGGGCACTGATTTCCAGCAGAAAAATTCAACAATAAATGGTTAACCCACTTCTGCTGTGATCCTAGTCTGGACTGAACCTGCTTTTTGTAGAAGAAAAAGATGCTGGGAGTCACTGAGTTTGGCCTTCATATAGACTGCATCCTGCCTTGGGGGAAAGCACTCTGGTCTTTGTTCCCTCTGGGCACCTCCGAACTGTCAGTATTTTGTGGGAGGGATTCAGGTGCATCCCGGGAAATCGAGGTTTGCACAGTTAAAAGTGATTAAAGTGCTCAGTCATCCTGGCACAACAAACCCACTTTTTACAAAGTGCAGTGCCATCCTAGCACAACAAACCCACTTAAAAGTGTTACGTAATCCTAGCACAACAAATCCCCTTTTTTTACAATTAGGCTAGTGACAGGGAAATGCGCTGAATAGTGTGAGATGAATGTATGATTAACTGGAAGACGTATAAAAACAGTCCAAGCAAATCGGAAGGAATGCTCAATAAAGACCTACAGAGATCCCTTCCTGCATGTACACAACATCTGGACGGGTCGTGTTCCATCCACATGGGAATGGACCTTTCTCGTTACGGTACAGAAGACTGGCTAGCAAGTGTGTGTGCAATGCCTGGAGGGATTTCAGGATGCAGAGGTGAGGGGAGCAAGGGGTGAACAAAACCCCAGTGGTCGAGGAGCTTCAGTGGTCTGTATAGGTCCTACACAAGTAGTCCAGCAGAGGAATCCTAGCCCCAGGCAAAGGGGTGTGTGTGACAGGGCAGCCTATTCACCACCCAGACACATGCCAGCTAGGAGAGAAGGTGTTTGATGGGAGGCAAAACCTTGTTTTATGCCAGCCTGGAGCTGATGGAGCTATCAGAATCAGATTGGGTTTGATGTCAAGTGACAGCCGTGGAGTTCTCCCCTGGAACACCCCTTTTTGAGGCTTTCTGTAGGCCTACCACCAGTGGGAATCCTATGAAGGGTACTTCTTCTTGCCCACACTTTTGGCAGGTGGAACAGGGAGTTGTGCACCGGAGGGGTGACCCCAACTGAGCTGTTTTGGGCTGGCGGAGGGAGGTCTCTGCCCCACTGAAACCTCACTCTCCACCCGCAGCAAGGCAAATCAGGAGTATGAATTGCAGCCTAAATTATGCAAAGCAAGAATGTATTTTAAATTTAGCTTTGGAGGAAATTGGGACTTGAAAGACATTATAAGGGGTTGACAAGAGGTACCCTTGGCAAAGGAAGCTATGGCTGTGAGTTCTGCCTTCATGCAGAGCCTGCTTTTATCTATGCTTTTACCTTGTAGTTCGCATATGTGATCAGGTAGCTCTATGAGATAGTTGTTGTGAAGGTCAAGTACTTCCAACTTATGCAGCGAGCCTATGCTTGGGGGAAGATACTCCAAATCGTTGTTCTCAAGGTACAATTCTTTCAGGTTCTGGGGGAGGAAAATACACATAATTTGCATTTTGAATATATATTTGTGTAGAGACTCACCTGTGTTCTCTGTAAGGTAACTTATAATTTATGGAATATAACCTACCACTCTGTTAGACGGAGAAGGCGTCTCCAATCTTTTTTCTTCTCCATTATTTTTTCAGGGGAAGGGGCTGTAGCTCAGTGGTAGAGAATCTGCTTTGCATGCAAAGGCTCCAGAATCCATTGCCAGCAACTCCAGGTATGGTTAACTATTTTCCCTGCCTGAAACCCTGGAAAACCTCTGGTGGTCACTGTAGACAATACTGAACTAGTAGATGGACCAATGGGTCTGATTCAGTATAAAGCAAATTCTGATATTCCTGAAGAGTCTCACCAAAAGCACAACAGGATCAAAAAATAAGCAAATGTTCCTTTTAAGGTGCTGGCCCCACTGCTTAAAATTTTTGGTCCTCGCCAGTTTATTACTTATTGTGATGATTTTAAATGCCATTAACCATAATAAACATCAGTTTGCCATTATTCTAACAATTTAAACTTGCAACCATGAACAGTGCATACACTATACCTTTAAAGAACATTCAAAGCACTTTCTTTCCCTCAAAGAATTCTGGGCACTGTAGTTAAAGCATTACTGTGAATTTCAAATATGCATTCTAGTGTATACAGAGCATCTCTACTAGAAAATGCAGTTTGTGTTCTTCAAGCATAGATCCAAATCGGCTATTGGACAAATCCTCTCAAATCCAACAGCCCAGCCCCCTACTTATGTTTTCATAGAATCATAGAGTTAGAAGGGACCCTGAGAATCATCTAGGCCAACCGCCTGCAATGTAGGAATACGCTTTTGGCTTGACTTGGTAAGTTCTGCAGTGCTGGCCTCTATTATGTGGCAAAAATTTGCATCCCATATTTTGACAGCTAGCTGTACCAATGCCTCAATTTTTAAAGACCTTGCAAATAGGCAGTGTTGTGGGCAGGGCCAGCGTGAGGACTGCCTGGCTCGCTGCTGCCGTGCCTCCGCCATGGGCACACCCTACCTCTTCTGCTACCATGGGTGCCCCTGCCGACTCAGGGGCTCCTCTGCTGCCTCTGCCTCAGGTTTGCCCCACCCTCAGCTCCTCTGCCATGGAGGAGGCAGCCAGGGTGTGACAGTGGTGAGCTGCATCAAATGGCGAAGCGTCCCAGGCCGGCCCTATTTGTGAGATATGTGTGTACCAGATTGCAGGTTTCTGCATGGCATAGAAGTCTTTCTAATCTTTCTGGCTTCAGCCAGACAAAGTGAGGCGGCTGCCTCAGGCAGCAAATTCTGAGGGGCAGAAAGTGGTTGCAAAAGGCATGTCATGTGTTCTACCCTGCAGCTCCTAAGCTAACTTGCTGCCCTGGGGTGAACTGGGGGACTCTGCTCCATCATCAGTGCTGAAGTAAGACTCAACTACCAGTCTAGTCAGTTTTTGTGGAGAATGTGCCACTTTGTTCTTCGCCTCAGGCAGCAAATAGGCTTTGGCTGCTCCTGTCCTGGAGGAATGCTTTATATCCCGTTTCTAACATCTCTGGGCCAATCTAGACATAATACCACCAATAACAATTGCACAAATTGCTTTTTAAAAAGTAAATTGCAGATAGAGTAGGACTGTGTGCTGATCTGGATCAGAAACCTGACGTGGGGTAGGTGGAACTCCTACTTCCAACATGATTGGCTGTCTAAACTTCCAAGCTGCAAATCATAACTCAGAGTTTAAGGGCCAATGGCAGAGGCCCAAATCCTGAAATGTTCTGTGACTGGATATCATGTATTGAACCAGAACATAGGAGCTCAGAATCCTTAGTCCAGACTCAAGCTCAGGCAAACACAGACCACTGAATGCATAACACTATGGAAGTGCCATTAACCAATTTTGCGTTACGCCACACCCCCATGGCAGCCCTTTTCTGTTATATCACACATCCCATGGCAACCATTTTATGACTCACTCCCACAGCGCATTCTTGAAATCTCAAATGCGCCCACTGGTCCGAAAAGGTTTTACGTTATATGTTGTCTGTGTATTCACATACATATAGGTTTCTTTGGGCGACAAGGGAAGGCTACTTTTGAGATCCAAACCTTGCTCATTTTCTTACCTCTAACTTACTGATGCCTTCTGGTATTACTGTAAGCTTGGTTCCCTGGTCTTGCCCCATGTACAGTTTCTCCAGCGATCCAATTGCAAATATTTCTTCCGGGAACGAGGTGAACTTGTTGCCGGTCAGACTGAGGCATTTCAGCTTACAAAGCCTGAGCACTGCTGGAGATAGCTTCACACACAATTTATTGAAACATATAAATATAGAGATTTCTCAAACTGCAACACTCCACTACAAGTCAAAGAAATGAGCATTATTATCCTCCCATAGCAGGGTACAGAAAGCTGGGTGCAAATCTTCTTGTGACAAAACCCCAAACTCCTTTTAGGACAAGAAGTGGGAGTTCTGCTGTTTGGGATTCCACCTGCAAAACTACACACACACCCAACTGTCAGTATATTCCATGCCCACTGGGCTAGTTTTGCGGGATGAGTGTCTCCCCAGATGGCTTCTCCACCACCACAAGACATTTGATTGCAATTGGGCAAACCTTGAGTTTCCCCACATTTCCCTAATTCTTATTGTTTTATTATCTGCATGATTTATTTTTATGTACACCACTAATCATAAAGCGATAAATATATAAATAAGAATGGCTGCTGATAGCGGGACCAGCAATGGGGGAACTTAGATCACTATTAGTATGCTGAAGTGGGACATGCAACAAAATGTTACAAAATGGACTGCTCCTGTACAGAATTCCAGCTAGCCAGCTGTCTCCCTTTTCCCCCATTATTGGCTCCCCCTGAACTTATACACATGCATGCACGCAAGGAGTGCCAGCTTGGCCCCGCCATTGGGGTACCTGGGGGCATTGGTACCATGAGCATGCATGGCCCTTGCACAGAAATTTGTGGGTGCCCAGCCCCTTCAGGGAGTTGGTACCTGTGATGCACACACACTACCAACTGTCAAGTCCAGGGGTCGGCAACCTAAGGCCCATGGGCCACAATCAGTCCACAGGGGTCGTTTAACAAGACCACGAACCGCCACTGAACCGAGCCGCCCGCTCGGCGAGTCCCCGCACACTGCACTAAACTGGCGCAGCACAGCACGGCGCCGGAAATCGCCCAAGCCTGCAAATCCTTAACTCTGTGAAGATGAAGGTTGGGAAGGGCTCACCTGAATCTCTATGAGGAGCCCCTCCCACATAGATGGTGCTGTAATAATAGAGTATCTCAGAGTCTAATTGCCTGCTTAGAAAGCCAAGACTGACAGAAGTTCAGGAAGTGGATTACCTGGATTCAGGTAATCCGGAAAATAAACAGGCATGCAAACATTAAAGAGAGATTTCTAAAAGCAGTTTACAATTTTTAAATTATAAACTCCTTGGTGTAAGGCTTTTTCTTCTTCTTTTTGCTTGTATCACTCTGCAACACTGCTCCAGGGATGCTAGCATAATGGCTCCACCCATCCCAGTGAGTGACATCTGGACATTTGTCTGCTGCCAACATGTGTAGTTTTGCCCTGGTGCCCCTGCTTTTTAAAATAAGGTTTTAACTGAATTTCAATTACCTCACATAGTAAGTTGTCATCAAGTAACAACACTTCCAGATTTTCCAACGAACAAATCTCTATTGGAAACACTTCTAGGAGATTTTCACTTAGATCTAGTATTATTAAGCTGGTTAGCTTGGCAAAAGAAGGATGCAGCGCTTCCAGGGCACAATTTTTCAAGTAAACCACAATGAGCGACCTCCAGCGGCGAATCTGGCGCGGGAAAGTTGCCAGGCTATTCCGAGACATTGAAAATTCCTTCATCTCTGTCAGTTCCTTAAAAGATCGTGGAAGTTTGCGCAGGAGGTTACTGGACAAATCAAGCACAGATAGGTTTGGGCATTTACTCATTGTATCGGGTAAAGATGCTAGGCTGTTAACTGCAACAAAGAACTGGGATAATTTTTGCAGGGAGGAAATCTCTTCTGGAATGAGGCTCAGACTATTTTCTTCTAGATCTACTATTTCTAAATTAGAGAGTTGAAAAAGTTCTGGTGGGAAATTTTCAAATTTGTTCTTCTTTAGATAAATCTCTTTCAGTTTGGTCAAATTGACAATTTCCTTGGGAAGGCAATTCAGATTGTTACTAGAGAGTCCCAGCAATTCTAGATGATGGAGGTGTTTGCAGATTTCCACTGGAAATTCATCCAGGTTGACATCATATAATCTAAGCTGGCAAAGTGCCCTCAATTTACTAATGATATTCAGTGAACTCAGAGGGAGTGGATTACTGCTTAAATCCAAGCTCTGAAGACTTTTCAGTTCTCCAAGTTCCTCACATAGGTCTTGTATGTTGTTCTTATTCAAATAAAGGACTTTCACATTTCTAAGCCGATTTATACTTTCTGGGATACTATTGATTATATTTCTCTCCAGATGCAATTCCTCCAAGTCTTCCAGTTCAAAAACCTGCCATGGGATGGTTTCCAGTTTTTTGTTGGCCAAATCAAGAAAAAAGATGCGGTCTGTGATCTGCACTGGCACAACCACCTCCTCTTTGGGTTCTTCATCTGCCAACCTTTCCTCTATTACCTCTTCAACACCAACATCAGCACGAACATCAACATTAACCTCTTCTTCTGTCTCTTCTGCGTCATCCTCTTCCGGAATGGTGGCCCATTTTTCAGAGAGTTGGGACACTATTTCAGCGGTAACAAAACTCTTAGAGGTAGCAATCATTGTAAACCTAGTTTTGGCTGCAAAAAAAAAAGTGGAATGATATTGGAGAAATTCCTTTAAACCACATTTTATGAAGAATAAACAAAATATGTTGTTTTCATTCATAAATCCCAACTATTTCTTTAGTAAGGGGCAGTATAAATGACGTTTAGGATATGCCGCTGAATCCAGGAAGATTCAGGTAGGATTTGAATCTCTTCCCAAATTCTGGGGATGTTGTGCTTGAACTAGTGTTGTTGTGGGGAAATGGTTCTGCGAGAAATGTAGGAGGAATTTTTGGCACTTAACCTACTCTTGAGCTGAAGTAAAAGAATCTAATCATGTGAACTTAACCAAATCAAGATTTTGGGGTTATATTATTACATGCTCCCTACTTTGCCTAGCAGTGAAAAGTTCCAAACTCCCTGAGTTTTTGTTTCCTTGAGAAGGGAGCATTTTTGTAACATTGGATGCCCCTCCAGGTGTCCTGTTTATAGTGCACTCATGATAATTTGTGGTCATGAAGCCATTGAGGTAGTTATATGCAATCCTACTTTCAATATCGTCTGTCCCTACAAGAGTTTCAGGGTGGATATATTCTGCTTTATTTCCGGTCAGTGCAGGTCCTATAGCTTCCTGCTGAAATTCTGTAAACATTTCATACCACAAATGTGTGTGTTTTGTCTTGCTTTTGTTGCATAATAGTGCAAGAGTTCCCCTCCAGACAGCAATAATCCAGTAACATTGGGGAAACATCACAGATCCCAAAAGGAGAGATGTATATACCCCACAATGCCTCAACTTTCAGCTAATCTCCAAATATCTCCTAACCATTCGCTCACTATCACTGAGGAAATGTCAGCCAACCATTCTGAACCATTAACTAACAAAGGAAGGCCAACAGTAATATTTAGTAGGTTTGTTCCACATTGTGACTAGCAGAAGAGGATAAATTATAAAGTATATCCAAACAAACGAGCAAATAAATAAATATTTTTTCTTTACTGATATTGTGAATGATGAGAACTTGAATCAAGAAAAAAGAAAGTGGCTTCTGAAGCAGTATACCTACTTTTGAGCCACCCTACTGTATAAACATAGGGACGCAGGGGGCACTGTGGTCTAAACCACAGAGCCTAGGGCTTGCCGATCAGAAGGTCGGCAGTTCGAATCCCCGTGATGGGGTCAGCTCCCATTGTTCGGTCCCAGCTCCTGCCAACCTAGCAGTTCGAAAGCACGTCAAAGTGCAAGTAGATAAATAGGTACCTCTCCGGCGGGAAGGTAAACGGCGTTTCTGTGCGCTGCTCTGGTTCACCAGAAGTGGCTTAGTCATGCTGGCCACATGACCCAGAAGCTGTCTGTGGACAAATGCTGGCTCCCTCGGCCTATAGAGCAAGATGAGTGCTGCAACCCCAGAGTCATCCGCAACTGGACCTAACGGTCAGGGGTACCTTTACCTTTACTGTATAAAACAGCAAACAATGGCAAGAAGGAGGAGGAGGGAGCATGGCTGATTGCAAACTTGGAATGATCTTCAAATAAATTTTGCTCGGAGTAGACCCCACTGAAATTAATGACCCTGACTGGGATCCATTAATGTTAATAGGTCTTTTCTGAGTAAAACTTAAGTTGAATGCCACCCTTTTTTGATTGGGAACTGCAGTTTGTTAAGGGTGCTGGGAACTGTAGCTCTGTGAGGGTTAAACTATAGTTCCCAGGATTCTTTTTGGGGGGGGGAAGCCATGTGTTTTAAATGTCTGATATGGATGCGACGCTGGGAATCGCTGGCAGTAGCATCCAGAGGTTGTATTCCACCCCAGTTTCCCCTAACGGCAGAGTTTCTTCCTGAATTCTGACCCAACTGTCAAAATTCAAACGGAGCGAATGTGATTCGTTCACGTACCTCTGATGTCATAAAAGTACTTGGGACGGATGGCTGTGTCTGATATTCAATAGGCAGGCTCCGATATGAGAGGAAAGGAGAGCTGTGAGGAGGAGAGGCTGATGAGCTCACATTTACCTCAGATATCATAATAATACCACCACCACCACCATGGACAGCTTCCTCTTGGAGTTGGCCTCAACCTCCCAGGTAACAGTAAAAGCAGGGGCGGGGTGGGGAGCTGTAGGGTCGGAGAAAAATTAATATATAGCAACCAAATTGCATCCTGGCGGCGGCATAATGACTGGCAGTATGGTGCAGTGGGTAGGGCCTTGGCCCACGGAGACATTGTCTAGATCCTGAAACTCACTGTGGCATTATGTAAAGTTGTGTTCTCCTAGCCTAATCTACTTCACAGGTTGGTTTTGAGGTATATGTACCACATTCATTTCCTGGGAGGAATGGGAGAATAACCCTCCATAATGAGAAGGCGTAATCTTGTTGTTGTTTTTGCCTGAATTCCTTGCTTGTACAAAGCCTCCAAGCAGCCTTGCATCTAGCACCTTGAAAACAGGTCCAGTTATTACAAACATGAAAGAAAGTTTTACATGATTTAATGTGATCTTTTAACAGCTGACAATGTATTACACGGGATGCGGGTGGCGCTGTGGGTTAAACCACCGAGCCTAGGACTTGCTGATCGGTCGGTGGTTCGAATCCCCGCAGCAGGGTGAGCTCCTGTTGCTCAGTCCCTGCTCCTGCCAACCTAGCAGTTCAAAAGCATGTCAAAGTGCAAGTAAATAAAGAGGTACCGCTCCGGCGGGAAGGTAAACGGCGTTTCCGTGCACTGCTCTGGTTCACCAGAAGCAGCTTAGTCATGCTGGCCACATGACCCGGAAGCTGCATGCCAGCTCCCTCGGCCAATAAAGTGAGATGAGCGACTTTTGTTGGCTATTTTATACCTCTTGTCCAGGTTGTCTCAAGGGCAGGTTCCTCTGTTTACCCAAACCTAATCATACTACTGAACACAAATAATTAATTAGCATACCGTTTAATGCCAATACAGGTCCATGTTGGAGGCACAAACGGATCTGTAGCAGATCCACTCCATACATTTAAAGCATATCCAATTCACATTTTAAATACATGGCTTCCCCCAAAGAATCCTGTGAACTGTACCTTTCTGCTCACACAGCTTTAAGCCCCAGCACACTTAACAAACCAGAGCCCCCAGGAATCTTTGAGGGAAGTTGTGTGCTTTAAATGTGTGTTGGATGTGCTTTAAATGTATGGTAGGAATCTGTGCCCTGGTGGCTGGCTTTCATAGCTTTGCAGAGGAAGAGTCCCCAATCAGGAAGATACATCCTGTGTCCAAAGTTTTGTTGTTTACCAGCTTCATAGTATGTCTTCAGATTCATACTACCTTGCAAGCATCTCCTGCTGTTTTGTCTAGATTTGCCTGGAATTTTATATTAACAGCTACAAGCTAGGGCAAGGGAAAGAGGAAAAATTATTCAGTGGCCAAGAATAAGTGGCTGCAGTGGCTTGCACATCATTTCACTCCTGCTTCCCAACAAACAGAAGCATCATTAATAGTGCCAAATAAAGAAATATGGACAAACGTGTTAAATTGGCATAACTTACAAGGGGGTGCAGTATTCAGCTTTGGACTTGAAAGCACAGCCTGTAACCATCCTCGGTTGTCTTTGCACAGCAGACCCCCATCTAAAACAGGGCAATAGTCTGCAACAGTGGGTTTCAAACTTTTCCAGAGGACTGACTTCTTTGAATGTTTATCATAGAATCATAGAATTGTGTGTTGGAAGGGGTCCCAAGGGTCACCTGGTCCAGCCTCCTGCAATGCAGAATTCCTGCCCACAGCCATCCCAGGGTGGGCTCAAACCGCCAACCTTCTGGTTAAGAGCCAGACATACTAGCCCACTGCACAACCCAGGATCTCTATGGTTCCTCAATTTGAAAATAAGTAACTGTGGACAAACTTCATGATGGGCACCTCGTCTGTCGTTACTGATATTCCCTTGCAAGTGATGCTTAGCCCCAGTGCATGAATTCAATGTGCTCTGTGGGAATAGTTCACAGAACCTTCTGAAGAATGTAGGGTAGACAGAGGTTGCTGTACTTCAACTTCCCTCAGCCCCAGCTGGCATGGCCAATGGTCAGAGGGATAAGGAGAGCTGTAGCCATACTGGTGCCAAATGTATTGCTTTGATTTCCTTTGGACCACATCAGCCAGGCTGGCAGCAGGGTCTTGTTGTCTAGGGCTAGGCAACCCAGGGCCTCCATACGCACTGCCCAGGCTTGCACTCCACACAGGTCACTTCAGGCGCTGTGATTCTCCTGCAGTTCGACTTCCCTCCCATGGTTTCCAGAGACAGACGGGTGCCAACAAAGAATGTTCAACAGCATCTGGAGGGCAACAGGGTTCCAGTCCCAGGTGCTGGGGCTCAAAATCCAGCCCTTTCAGCCTTGCTATCTGGTCCTTGGGGTTCTACCCATTCTACACTTCCTCCCGAGCCACACCGCTCACCTGCCCTGCTTTGCACAATCAAGTATATTTGACTGCTTGGAATATTTATTTAGGGGATAGAGAAGGGCATGCAAGCTTGAAGAAACTAGCCTACTGGGTAAAAATCACATTTGCTGCTTTGCCCACTTTTCCATCTCATCCTACCCCACCCCCTGCTACGTGCCCCCCCAACCCCGGAGGGAATAGGGTACACAGCGAGAAAAAGGCTAGTCACCCCTGCCCTTGAAAGTCTTAAGGGCATGGCCCCAGCCCTTTAGGCGTTTTATAGCATGAGTAGTTTGGAGGTCATCCTCTCTCTCAACCTCACATGAGCACTTCTTGCTAACCTCATCTGCGTGGGCACTAGCTGTAAGGTAAAGGTAAAGGGACCCCTGACCATTAGGTCCAGTTGTGGCCGACTCTGGGATTGCGGCGCTCATCTCTTTCTTGGCCAAGGGAGCCGGCATACAGCTTCCGGGTCATGTGGCCAGCATGACTAAGCCGCTTGTGGCGAACCAGAGCAGCACACGGAAACGCCATTTACCTTCCCGCCGGAGTGGTACCTATTGATCTACTTGCACTATGACGTGCTTTCGAACTGCTAGGTTGACAGGAGGGGCACTAGCTGTACTAACTCACTAATAAAGGAAAGGCGCCCTTGTACATGTTCAGGGACACCATTTAGCTTTGCTTTCCATGTGCTCAGATGCCACCAACCTTTGCCAAAGGAAATGCATTATGAAGGAAAGACGTCTCGGATCAATGAACATAAGAAGCTGCCTTGTAATGAAACAAATGGTAGATCTGCCCCAGTATTGCTTGCCTTGGCTGGCAGCAGATCTACCATGTTCCATACAACGAACATTTCCAAGCCCTACCTGGAGATGCCCGGGATTGAACCTGGGATCCTCTGCATGCAAAGCAGATGCTCTACCCACTGAGCTATGCCGCTTTCTCATTATTTTGCTAATACTTTGCATGCTTTGCAAAGGAGACCCGGGGTGTAGGCGCGCTGTGGTGCTTTACTGAGTTCCAACGGAGCCCGAAATCAGGCGGTCGCGAGGCCCTCTTACTAGTTGCCTTTGTAGGGAAAGGCGGGTGGCGCGAGGTCCCTTCTTACCCGGGATCTTGTACGCTGAAACTGTAGGGGCGCAGGCGCATTCAGGAATCCCCCGGGACTCAGGCGAAAAAAGAAGCGCGTGCCCAGTCACTATAGCAACCGCGATCGGGGCGGAGTTGGTTGTCTTGGCGCGCGCGCTCTGCAAAAAATAAGAAAATAAAAAATAAATAAAAAGCGTCTCGGTGGCAACAGCAGCAGGAGGTAAGTGGCGCAATTGGAGAGGGTTGCGGTCTTAATCCTGGGGTTTCACGGATCCCCAAAGGCGCGATGGGTGCAAGGCTCTAGGCAGCGGTGCCCTCACTTTTTGCCCTACGATCGACAAAGCGGAATTGGATTTACAAAAAGGGATTATTTTCCTTCAAGCAGTGTCGGTGTGCAAAATCTGTGCGAGTTTACTTAGAAGTACTGTACTGCTTTTAGTGGGGTTTGCTCACAAGCAACTGTGCAAAGGATTGGCTCCTGTGGGATTAATCTGAAAATCGTTGCCACGCGGAATTCCAGTGAAGTACTGTATTAGAACGCAGGGCAATGTTTTTAGTTGGGAGCTGCTGTAAATTTATTTTCAGGTTTTGGGTGGGGATTAAGGAGAGGAGATGATGGGGGTGTCTGTCATCCTGTGGGTGGCATCAGCTGACAGAAAGTGACCTGGTCCTCCCTCCCTCCCTGACATTTAAACGATGGGTGCATGGTGAAAGGGTATTCCCACTGCTTCTGTGTACAGATAGGGCAAATCCTGATTGAATGGGGAAGGATACAAGCTGGTATCCTGATGCTGAAGACGTTATTGTGTGGATGCTGGGAGAAAACTTGTGTGCATGAGCAGCACCTGTACCACAATGAACATTTGTCTGGAAAAATCCTTTGTCAACAGGGTATATACTCCAATTGAGCCCAGGGCAGGCAGGCAGCCTGAGCCTTTTGCTTGGAAGCAAGTACTACTCAGCTCAAAGGGATTAACTGGTATCATATGACCCCCCCAGTAGTGTTCCTCCCGCTCCTCCTCCTTCCATGCTCTAGGTGTAACCCTGAACAAAACTACTTAGAAAAAAATTCCACTGGAACCAGCTTATGTGCTTCCAAACAATTGTGTTTAGAATTGGTCTGTTAGCGTTTTGTTTTGATGGATGAAGAAGCAGGAGTTCCAACTTGAAAAAAATATGGGGGGGGGAACAAGTAAGCCCCACCCCACTTAATTGATCCCATGACACAGTAGACACACGCTGTTTGAATGGCAATACCCATCAACTTTGATGGGGGGGCAGCCCCTTAAAATATTTTATTGAGGGGGGAGGAAGGGACCTTGGCTCCTATGTGAAGAAGGATTGGTAACTGGAAGCAGCATTTGCCTGGTCAGCTTCAGGGTTACCCAACACGGTGCCCTCCAGGTGTTGGTGACTACAACTCCCATCATCCCTGGTTATTGACCAGGCTGACTGGGACCCACAAGGTATGGATGGCACCATCTTGGCTACCCCATGCTTACTTCCTCTGGGGTGATTATGCCCCTGGGTGAAGCAGTGGGCGTGCACACAAAATAACTCTGCCGCCAGGACTTTAATGCCCAATTTGTATGGGAGAGATGGCACTAATTGGGCTGCATAGAAAAGCAACTCCCTTGTTACGTCTTAGGGAAGGGAGGGAAACTGCATTCTCTGTTGGAGGCCGCATGTTGGCATGGGCAGGGCCACTGCATTCTCTCTCTCTCTCTCTCTCTCTCTCTCTCTCTCTCTCTCTTTCTCTCTCTCTCTCTGAAAGCGCCTCCTAATTTGTCTTTCTCTCTGCCACTCACCAGCCTCCTTTTGCCTGGCTGGAATGTAGCCTTGAACTGTGATAATACCTCTTGCTCCCCTGGATGTAGAACAGAGAGGGGTGTGTGAGCATGTGTAAAAATTAGCCTACTGTACAAAGGTAAAATGTACATTCATTGCTCCACCTACTTTTGCTGCCACATGTGGCCTTTGGAAACTTGTGCAGAAGGAAATGAGGCCCTGAGGCTGACAGACGTTTTCTCCTGCTGCTGTATGCATTGTTATTATTCTCTTCATACATGATGTGTAGTCAATTGTCTCCCCCCCCCTCAGGTAGATACTATGCCAAAATACATAAGCCTTGACCAGCAATATTCTCTAACGTGTGAAGAACTAAAACACCCTGAGAACCCCTTCATAGTCCGCATTCTCCAAGAAGTGAAGCAGGACGAAGAAACGTAAGCGAATAGTTACGTTGTGGAGACTAAACCAATATGATTTTGAACTGTTAAGTTGGGCTTTTATATGCTGTGCTTTAAAATGCAAACATTATATGCTGAGATAAAACCAAATTCTGCAGCAATTAAGCTGGCTTCTGCAGTCAGTAAGTTGTTATTATTATTATTATTATTATTATTATTTAATTTATTGGTTGCTTTATGTTGCCCAAGGCAACCCAAAGCGACTTACTACCAACCAACCAAGCAAAACAAAAAAACCATATAGATACATTATAGAGTATGCAAATCCACATTGTCATTATATAAATCAATCACTGTCTACTAAAAGTTTTATTGAAGAGGAGCTTTTATGAGTCCAGAAGTACCGTATTTTTCGCTCCATAGGGCGCACCTAGTTTTTTTGGGGGGGGAATAAAGAAAAAAAAATTATTTCCCCCTCCAGCCCCAAAGAGCATAGAAGCCAAGACAGCCAGCGGGATCCATCCCGCTGACTGTCTTGGCTTCCTCTTTAGCCACGCACAACCTCTCCAGCCAAGAGAGGCTGCGCGCGGCTTCGTTTTTAGCCGCGGGGCTGGGACAGGGGAAGCCCGAGCTTCCCCCGACCCCAGCCCCCAGAACAGGTCCAGGAGAGGAGGCAAGGTTGCGCAGCCTTGCCGCCGCTCCCGGAGCTTGCGGGCTGGGGGAGTGCTCCAAAGGTTTGCGGATAGCTGCCTGAAGCCCGGGGAGCGCAGTGGGAGTTGGCACTGCGCTCCCCGGGCTTCAGGCTGCAGGCTGCTATCCACAAGCCTTCAGAGCCCGGTGGGAACTCCCGCCGCGCTCCGAAGGCTTGCGGATAGCTTCTTGCTCTCTAGGCTTCAGCGAAAGCCTGCATTCGCTCCATAGGACGCACACACATTTCCCCTTCATTTTTGGAGGGAAAACGACAGATAGCTAAAGAAGAGAAATAAATTGATTCCAATGTTGCCTTCGGCATTCTAAAGAAACAGAATATCTGAAAAACGAAAGTAATTTTCCTTTGTTGGACTTGCTTTAAAAAAAATGGATACAAACAGAAATTGTCTCCTCTAGAGGGAGCTTGCTAAATTGTTGCTGCAGTCTACTTGAGGACTCTACAGCTGTCAGATTAAGATCGTGGGACCAGGCCTTTTTGACCTTGACTAAATATGAGCTGGGAGGAAGTTTTGGTGCTTGCTTTATGCAAGACAAGTGCCTTGCTGGAACAGATGCATGAGAAGATGGATTTGATGAATGAGAAAATGGATTTGATGACTGTTGTGGCTAATAACTGTGGACAAACAGGGAATATTGATACAGAAACTATTCAGGGACCAACTCAGGAACCTGCACTGATTGGGCAAGTGCAGAAGATAATGGAGGAGGTTGCGGTTGCACCTCAAATAATACAAATGGAGAGACCCGAGGCCCTACAGGAGCATAAGCCGCTGTCTTTGAAGTTGGAGTCGGCCAGGGGGAGTCTGGAGCTGAGGAGATTCTTAACTTTGGAGAGACCTCGAAATATGTTCTTAAATATTTTTTGGACTACATTGATGACTGTGGGGAGTGGGACTCTGGGGAATGGGCTGGTTGGATGAAGGGAGACGAAGATAATTTTGGGTTGGAATCCCCCAGAGACCTACTCCCCAACGAGAAAGGAAAGAAACTAAGAAAGAGACCAACAAAAGACAAGGAAAAGTGTAAGTATAAACAACAAGAAGAAGATCTGCAGAAGGGACATAGAAGAGACTTAAGGGCCTCGGACATTAGATTACCAGGTTGATGGACTAGATGGAATGGACAGTAAGGACTGACACGATCCGAGACCAGGAAGAAGAGACGCTGGATGAAGATTGGAAGAAAATTTATAAAGAAAAATTTTTTTTCTAGGGAATTAGCCTAAAATTAATGAACATTAGGGAAAATGTTGGAATGAAACTATGTGGAGGCGTAGTGTGGCCCCATAGATGCGAAAATATGTCTTTGGAGGAAAGTGCGATGGCGAAAAATATGGTAATTTTTGAAGCACTAAGAGAAACCAAACCACAACAACAATCAACTTTCCCATTTACCTCGTAACAGGTTGAAAAAGAAAATCACTATAAAAATTGCTGGAAATAACCGCTTGATACCTGTGCAGAAGGTGACAGATGACGATTTTCAAATCCTGGCTACAATTTTTACAAATAATATGTTTCTTACAGGTATGTCTTGTTTTTATTTAAGCCTTTGAAAAGCAGACCAATTGATAGTTTTAGTTCCATTCTCTGCCCACTTCCTTTGTCTGTCTTTTCATATGTGCATATTGACAAATATTCAGCCTTCCAGGGGGTAAGCTACTAACTACCTTAAGCTACTAATATAGGCATTTTTTCTCTGTTGCTTATTCTGTTCTGTGGGTGAGCACTGAAAACATTCCTTATCACACCCATGCCTGCACTTAGCCCAGGGTGGAGGACTGAGCAAACAAAGAACCATCAAGAATCTTTATTTTGGATTTGCAACCTGATCCACAGAGCAGTTTTTGTGCACAAGATCCACTATAGAAACTGCCTTTCAGACTCACATACCCCGCTTTCTCTAAGCCAGGGTTAGGGAACCTTTTTCTTTTTTCCCCTCAAATTTTTTTATTGATTTTCCAAAAAGAATTTTAACAAACAAACAGACAGACATAAATCTCAGCTGTATTTGAACCAATCTTAGTGACATTGTTAAGTGACTTCCTCGAATCCCCCTAGTTGAATTTCAGTGTATATCATTTTAACAGTTTTCCAAAACCAATTTTCTCATAAAATTAACTCAATCACTTAACATCTTTCTTTCTTTCTATTTTAGCTTTAAACATATTAATTCCTAACATTACATATTTAAAGCCTAAGCCTATCTGATAATTACAAGCTTTTCCAATTAAGTTATCTTAACATATTTTACTAAATAGTCTTTAAATTTCATCCATTCCTCCTGGTACTCCTCCTCCTTCTGGTCGCAGACTCTTCCAGTGAGGACGGCTAGCTCCGAAAAGTTCATCATTTTCATCTGCCATTCTTCCACTGTTGGAACTTCTTGTGTTTTCCAATTCTTAGCTAAAAAAATTCTTGCTGCAGTTGTGGCATACAAAAATAATTGAACATCTTTCTTGGGCAATTCCAAACGTGTTATTCCAAGAAGAAAGGCCTCTGGTTTCTTAATAAATGTATATTTCAACATTTTTTTCAGTTCATTACAAATCTTCACCCAGAAGTCTTTCACCGGGATAGGGAACCTTTTTCAGCACCTTCTGAGGGCCACTTTCCAAGCCTCTGTTTTTAGCGCTAATGGATCTTCCAAGCCACACCACTTACTGGCCTTGCTTTGCATCCTCCTTGGGTGATTTTGCCTGGCTGGAATATGCCCTTGAATTCTGATAATGCCTCACGCTTCCCTGGGTGGAGAGTAGAAGAGGCCATGCAAGCGTGTGGAGCATGTGGGTGGAGCAATGAGCATAAATGTTACCGTTGAACATTTATATTCCTTGCTCCTCCCACTGTTGCTTCTGGGCATGCAGCCCCTGGAAAATTTCCCAGAAGCACATGTGGCGCTCAGGTGAGAAATGGTTCCTTACCCCCTGCCCAAAAAAGGAAGAAAAGAGTATTACCTCTTGTGCAATCGGGGCTTTTTTCAGCCGGAAATTGCTGGAACTCAGGTGGGCGCCAATACCATTTTAAGAGAAGAAGGGAAGTGTTCATGGTGAGCTCTGCTGCCTCTTCTTCTAGGATGTAATTAATAATAATAATAATAGTAATAAATTTTATATACTGAAATGAAACGTGGTGCAGACACAACCTAAGCGGCAAATTTCATTATGAAATAGCTCATTGCATGGTATCCAGAGCCTTGGATACTGAGAGTTGGTTTTCTTCCTATGAATTCTCTACAGAACAAACCCAGGGCTGGAGCAAAAGCCAGCTTTTGTGCAAACAGGACATGGGGCATTTTGCCAAGGGAGGCTTAAATCACCTTTGAGTCTTTCCCATCGTTACTTATATTAGCTGCAGGCATTATTTCATGCTGAATAGACAAAGAGAGAAGAGCCACCTGCCGCATGAATGAGTGTTCTTCCCTGGAGAAGGTTTTGCCTTCAGTTGACAAGCCCAACTGAAGCAGGAAGGGTGGACTTTTTTGGCATTAACTTGTAACCTCGATTTTCTGTGTCAATTGCTCCGTTTGTGGGTGGCACAAAACGCAGGGTTTGCGGCACAAAATGGCACTAAACGAGCACTAAACTTTGGCATCAGGTTTTTTGGGGGGCAATCCAGAATTTCAGGGTCACACGATAATGAAGCTCTGTTTTTTGTCCTCCAGTGACAGTGTCCAACCTATGAGGGTTGCATAAGTGGAAGCAAAAGAGAGGTTAGGTTTTATATTCACGTTAGAAAACTAAAGGAAGCAAGAGCCACTTTAAGGGCACTTACAGACCGTCACTATTTTCGGGTGGGATTCAGTCACATCACGCCAAATTCAGCGCATGCAATTACAGTTGGTTTGGAGGTACTGTGCAACAAACCTGCTTCTTTAAAAGACGACTTTTGTACTCACCATGCATTTAAAGCATATCCCCCCCCCAAAAAAAAGAATATCGGAAAGTGTAGTTTATTAAAGGTGCTGGTAATTGTAGCTCTTTGAAAGGTAAACTACGGTTCCCAGGATTCTTTCTTTGACAGTTATCCTAAGTCTCATGTATGGAAATGCAATTACAGTAGATGAAAAGGTGCAGAGAATTTGATGGCTAAGATAAAAGGACTGGGCGAAAAGTGATCCATTAAGTTTAACATGGAGCCTGCTTATTTCTGTATTCCTCGGCTCTTTCAGGACTTGACCTGAGATATAACCTTTTGAGTGATGCTGGCGCAGTACACATTGCAGCTTTCCTTCAGGTACTTCTTGCGGGGGTGGGGGGTGGGGCTAAATGATATTTGTGAATTTTGTAGCTGCAATTTGTTAAGGTGACCTTCTTCCAAAAGTGAGCTTTATACATGTAACTTTCTCCTGCGTTCCTTCCAGGACATCGTTTTGGGGGGGGGGGTTTGTAAATCGTTTTTTAAAAATTTATTTTAAATAAGAAAAGCGAGAGAAATACAAACCGTTCAGGTATTATAAAGAACTTAACAGAGTTTAGCGAAATGCAGGGCGACTTAATCAATGTCATTGGTACGGCATTGCTATGCGCATCTCAGACTCAGAGCACGGAGAGGTTTCTGGGGTCCCGCTGCCTGCCTGGAGTTTGGTGTCCTTGGAATGAAGTGTACATCCACTTGGGAAGGGCAGGCTTTGCAGTTTTCAGATGACAAGGCTTTGGGTAGAATGGGAAGGAAGGGTCTGGCGGAACCCACACATTGACAGCAAGGTGAATTTCCTTGTATTCTAGGATAATCATACTCTGCTGTACCTGAACCTGATGTTTAATGACATTGGTACCATGGGAGCAGAATTCATAGCTAAATCATTGCATGTAAGTATTGTTCAGCTGGATAAGAAAGAACACTACACGAGTTTCCCCTTTGAAGCAAAATACTTTGGAACTCATAAATCAGCTTGCAGAACTACCGGTAAATTGTAATGCTTAAAGCTGCAGTCAGAAGCATATTTATTTAGAATTGCCACTGAGAGCAGTGCTTTGGGTGTAGGCTGTCTTGGTTTAAGAAAATGGGGATCAATTAGGTAAACCACAGGCTCCCTCCCAGGTGTGGGATTATTTAACACTAGTACTCCCCCCACCACTCGGCCCCTGCTGCCCAGATATGATTCTTAAGCATGTTACAGGATTGTAGCAGTAGCAGGTTATTTTTTTCATAGCAATAAACAGTATTCTAGGAGATAACCTATTTCTGTGAGTTTAGATTACGGTTATATTGGAAATAATTGACTTTTCACACCTAGAGGAATGAAACACTGCTTCACCTAAGAATGACTGGCAACAAGATTGACAACAAGGGAGGAATGTATTTTGCAGCAATGTTGCAAGTTAACAACACTTTACAGAAGTTAGATTTGGGAGACACAGATCTGGTGAGTAAAATTGCCATTTTAGGACATGTCTACATGCACAGAAATGTAAGCCTGTTTCAAACATATCATTGTGAGTTTGGGGGGACAAAATGTAATCTTGCTTGTAGATGGAGGGTTTACTCAGTGGGAGCTAAATGCACCTGCCTTACTCTGGATTGTGTCTTTTGTCTTTTATTTCCAGCGCACACAGAGTCTCATAGCATTAGCAACAGTTTTGAATTACAATAGTGCAATCAAAGCCATAAATCTAAATCGGCCAATACTCTACAGCGAAGAGGTGAGCAACATTTTGCATTCTTTCCCTTGAAATGGGGAGCCAAGAGCCAGGAATGATGCATCAAAAACAAGCCTAGGGAATAAGAATAAGCATTGACAAAGCTTTTCAACACTTTTAACAATAACAGCTAAAATTCTCTTTCTCTCTGTGGCTGCTGAAATGAAGAAAACTTGGCAGGGATGGGAACAAGGAATAGATTTTTGTGTGAGATGGCTGAGAGCTCAGTTGATATTAAAGACAAATTCTCAGAGGCATCCTTTATCCTTCTGTTTGAAGTGTATATCTGCCCCACTGTGCAAACTCTTGGCTCTAATGGGTGGATCTTAGAGATCTAGAAACACACACACATCCATCCCACTAGCCTGACATCCGTCCACCCTTACTGTAAGGTAAATGGCAGAAAGCACATTTCCAAAAGGTTAAACTAGGCAGCAGAATTTTCAAACCCTATTGTCTGTAAGTAGTCTCCAGTTCTGCTTTTCCCCATTCCTTAATATAGATGTTATTGTTAATCTCAGCAAGAGTTGTTTTGTATGCTCAGGTGCAGTGCAAGGGGATGCCTTCACATTCAATTAAATTAGCCTTGGTTCAGCATAAAGCAGGATCCTAGAGTTAGGTGTATTTGAATTTAAACACAGGGCAACTCCACCTCCAAATACCTTCATGCTGTGGGTAGCTAGTTATAAACAGAGCTGGTTTGCACATACTGTAATGCTATGCCAAACTGGCTTAGCAGAGATGTGCAACCATGCAGGCTCCTGGAAAGGAGATTTCGGCTGCTTGGCTTCTTCTCTGGCCCTACTGATGCTATTCTGCTTTGAACTAAGCCATGGTTTGTCTAAGTGTGCCCTCTGAACCCAGGTTCATGGTTTGTCTCACGGGCCGTCATCAAGGTTTGTTCTATTATCATGGTTTATCTGGAGCAACAGAATACATGAGCCCTGGTTCAGATGACGCACTAAGCCAAACCATGGCTTAGCTCAGAACAGTGTGAGAGCACAAGGACTGGGGAAGGGGCACAGCTGCCACAAGCTCCTCTCTGGGAATCTTCACACATTCAAGCTAAGCAATGGTTTGGCTTAGCATTACATGCTACATGTTCACACAATAGAATTTGGTGGATGGAACATACCTGTCCTGTGGAGTAAAGCAAATGATAATGTGCATCACATCTGCATTTATCCCCATAGAAGTGACCAGATGTATTTTGTAATGTGAGCAGGGTACACATCCCCACTGGCTCTAGAACATCTTATGTTCAAGTTGTAATTCAATAATACGGAACTTTAGGAAGAGACCACGGTCCACACAGCCCTCATGTTGAAAGTCAACTGCACTCTTGTTGAACTGCATTTGTGTAAACACGAAATGAAGAACTTTGGCATGGAACGACTGTGTGATGCATTGTATGAAAACAGCACCCTGCGGTATCTTGATCTCAGCTGGTAAGAGAAGCTTGAGTTATAAAGATAGCATTTTAGCTATTAGAATGATATGCAGTGTATGAAAACTGATGCACTTGATACCTACTTCTCAAAATAAGCTAAGATCAATTTTTAACTGTTTCAAACAAATGTACTTGTATATACAGTCATACCTCAGAAGTTGAATGGAATCCGTTCCGGAAGTCTGTTCGACTTCCAAAACATTCGGAAACCAAGGCGCAGCTTCTGATTGGCTGCATGATGCTCCTGCAGCCAATTGGAAGCCACATAAGCCGTGTCAGACGTTCGGGTTCCAAAGAATGTTCGCAAACCAGAACACTCACTTCTGGATTTGTGGTGTTTGGGAGCCAAAACGTTCAACTTGCAAGGCGTTTGTCAACCAAGGTACGACTGTACAATGTTTAATAATAATGCTTAAGATTTAGATCATGCAGTTTAAATATGCAAAGTGCTTCACATACATTTTTCTGGTACTTCTTGCAGCAGGCCATTTTGCAGAATGGAGGGAGCAGGGTGAGGCTGAGAGAATAATGGATTGCCTAATGCAGGGGTGGGGAACCTTTGGCTCTCCATATGTCTCTAAATTACAATTCCATCAGCCCTAGCAAGCGAGGCCAATGGCCAGGGATGATGGGAGCTTGTAGTTCAGCAACATCTGGAGGGCCAAAGGTTTTCCACACCTGGTCTAAGGCCACCTCATGTATTCATGACAGTAACAGGATTGAACTGGCAGCTCCCCAGCACATGCTCTTAATTAAGATCTGGTTTTAAGTCCCTGTAATGTGGTTGGTGGTTTTATTGTAAATATTTGATGACTGTTCTTGCTCAGTGCTACACATACATAGTATTTTATTTTGCATTTGGGTTTTTATGCCAGTTGTCTCTTAAGTTTATTGTGGCTTTAGTATGCTTTTATTGTCATGTTTTTATTCACATTATTTGTACAATGACTTCAGCATTTATTTTACAAGGCGACTGATAAATATAATAAAAAGTAATGCCCCTTAACAGTTATAAGAAACAAGAGTTTTGTGGCACGGCGAAGACTAGCTCACTTATAGCAACCTAAGTTTTTGTAGAACAAAGTCCACTTTGTCCTCTGAATGATGTTTCTGAACAAAAACAAATGTGTACGCTTGTCTCTTTTCAGCAACAAAATTACTCGGGATGGTATTAAATTTTTGGGAAAGCTGTTAAAACACAACGCCACCCTGGAAATCCTGGACCTTAATTTTAACAGGATAGAGGACGATGGTGCTTTCTATCTGAGTGAGGCCCTTACTACACATAATCGGACTCTTCAAGCGTTAGTATACAGAACTCCTAACTCCCGTAATGCATTACTGTGAGCGCAGGCATTTGGATAAGGCAGCACAGAATTTTCGAAGCAAAATGGCCCATACTTCAGACCAAAATGTGTCTGCAGTAAACACAACAGTGACCCGTGTGCCTATCTGGGGAAGCGGTTTCCAATCCAAAAGGCCCACCACAGCAACTTCTGTTACACTTACCTTAAGTTCTTGGGTCACTTGTGCAATCGGAGCCTGCATGGGGGGGGGGGCTGTCTTAGAAATTTTGGGCAGTAGTCAACTATCGAGTCCCATCAGTGCAAGGATTTCTGCTTGCGCGTTTAAGTTTGCCTTGAGATGTAAACTGAATCAATCTTCTTCCTCATCCCTGCTGTGAACCCAGTAAACAGATATAACGGTAGATCAGGAAAAGTTGAAAACAGAAGAGAACAACTGCTTCAAATCTCAAAAACCAGCAGCAGAGGGTTTTCTAGTCACGAAGAACAGGACACCCTTCCTCTCTTGGGTTTGCTAGTGGGCAGGAAGAAGCAGAGGCTGTTAAGGGAGGAACTGTGTAGACTTCATGGCTGGTAGCTGCTGGGAGAAAAGAATAGAGTGACTCACATATATGGATTTGTGTAATTTATGATTGCTTGGCTGTCTGCATCTACTCTATGACCTTGGGTTTTTTGCTTAAATCCTTCTGTTCTCTAGGCTGGCAGTGACAAACAACAACATATCTGGGAAAGGACTGGTGGCCCTTGCAGAGTCAATGAAAACAAACCTAGTTCTTTCCTATATCTACATATGGGGGAACAAATTTGATGAAGACTGCTGTGTGGTACATCTGTTGTCTTCTTATGAAATGAAATAGCTGACATCCTTCTAAATCTGTAAAAAAAATAGAGGAAGAGGGATTTGGATTAGAAAAATAATGCTGTGGTAGTGGTCGGTGGAGGGAGGGTTTGATCTCCCTCTCCCAGTGTTGCAGCCACCCACGGCTGCATTTCCCCTTAAAAGAACAAGGATCTCTTACCAAGAGATATCTATCTACCCTGTGTGTTTCAGGCATTTGCAGAGTTAATTAAAAGCGGTCGCCTGAAACCAACTGGAACAGATGTCGATCCGTATGAAGTGGATGGGAACACATACTTTGCCGAAGTCTCCCATGGCCTTAAGAGGCACTATTACTGGACACCAAGTTACGGACAGCCTGATAACCACGATGAGAATGCCTCTCTGGCAATAACTCCTGTTGCAGAAAACTTGTAAATGCCAACATATTTTTTCTTAAGCCTTGGCATCTTGGGGTTGTTGTTTTTTTAAACGATGTGTGCTTCAAACCTGCAACCAATTACATGTAGTTACTTGGAGAACTGATTTTAAAAGGTTTTGAACCATAAATACTATATTAAACTGAACTGGGAAAGTGCTGGATCCCAGTCTAGCGGCAGCTAATTTCAGGTCCCATTGAAAGCAGAACTTAAACTACTGGTGACTCCCTTGTTCCAGAGCTTTCAGTGAGTTCCATAGGTTCTTAACTGCATTGGGACCGTCATGAGCAACACTTACTGTGATAATACAAAGCAGCCCGTAGAAGTGATTTCATACAATTCAAACACTTAGAGGCTACTAAGGAATGTTCAGTAGCTTGAAAGTAAGGCTCCTATGCTAGGCATGGTTCTTTGGAAATAAAACACCATATAAATCAACATGATGCCAATGTAAGTGTTTTTAGGATGTTTATTATTAATATTAACATTTTTCTAAGCAAATGAATTCATTGAAGCCGACTGTGGGGTGGGGGAGCATGGGCAAGAAGGAAGTTGTGACAATGCAGCAGTGCCAGGCTTATGGCTCATGACTTAACTGAGACACAGCATTATTTTCAAAGAATATAGGTACTCCAGGTATTATGAATGACAAATTTTGTTTAAAAAATGAGCTACATTGGGGGCGGGGCAGGGTAATCTAAATGATGTTCAATAAAGTTTGTTCTGATCTGTTAAGTCTGAGCTGCACTGAATTTTATACATTCATCGACACTGGCTTTCAGTGAATGCATTATGCTCCTGTTAATCCTATTTTGCAAGCTATTAGAATTGTACAAAGATAGACTTCATGGCTAGAGACAAGATCTTAAGTGACGAGCCCATCATTCACAGTGCATGGGGGGGGGAGCGCGGACCTGTAACTCGATGTTGCTGCACTACAGCTCCAATCATCCTTGATCATTGCTATGCTGGCTGGGGCTGATGGCAGTTGGGAGTCCAACAACATCCAGAAGACGGCAAGTTTCCTACGCCTGCTAAACAGGCTCCAAGAGACCAGGTAGGGTTTGATTAATACAATCAGACTCGCTTGCAGCATCCTCTCCTTTTTTGCAGTCCCTGCCCTTTTACTCCAAACTATTAGCCATCTATGGACTGGTACAAATGCATCATTTGATTTCTCAAGCCTTGGTATACTGAATGTGCCATCTTCATTGGCAAGCATTATGTTTCAGTCACTGTTAGTGATGCCGCTGTGGTGCTGGAACATTTGTGGTTCTTTCAACACTCGCACTTGCATATTTAGATGTGTGAACCAGACCTCTGGCAGTGTCACAGGCACCCTTCTCATTTAGCATCAGGGCCAAATGTAGTCCTCTAGGCCTCTCTAATCTGGCCACTCCCCCCCCCCCCAGGTCCTTTAAGGGTTTTTGGGTGCCTGAAATGTGCTCTTGGCTGCAGGTATGGGGAAGCTTTGTCCCTACAGATGTTGCTGAGCTACAAGTTCCATCGGCCCCAGCAAGCATGGCGAGTGGCCAGAGGTTCCCCATACCTGCTTGTACTCTTGATAATGCTTCTTCCTTGCCTGGCTGTGTATGTGCAGAAACCAGCCGACCGCACAATGGTAATGTTTATATAAGTCTCTATAAACCAATGTTCCCCAATAACTCACTTTCAAAACACGAGACCAAAATGCCAGAGTTTCTTTGATTTACTTTAGCTGCTGTCCACAATGGTATTAAATGGGATTGAGGCAAAAGCCTGTTACAGTCAAAGCAATAACAGAATGTAGTACTTTACCACTGTAAGACATTATTCTACTTTCCTGTCAAATTATTGTTGTGCTTTTGCTTAGGACTCACTCATAGATCATTCTGGGCCGAAGCTTTTTCAAACCACTTGTCCCTTTCAGTTATTTCTAGCTAAATGAGCAACAAGAAGAACAAAGAAGGGTTACAAAACAAAGTTTTATTCAGGTCTAAACATTAGAATGTTGCAAATTTATGTACATAATCCCTCAAAAGGGAGTATAAAAGCAGGAGGTGAGCTATATACACACAAACACCCATGACAAAGTACTTCGGAAATAATTTAAACCAGAGAGGATTCACAACAGCTCCTCAGAATGTCCAGTCTTGGAATTGTTATGGTGCCAGAACTAGTAGTAACATTCCAAGAACCAAAAAAAGCTTTAAGTATTCCCTTCTCTTAAACATGTCTCCATGTTGAGTGTCTCATGACTGCAGGAAAGCTTGAAACTCCCAAACAAAACTTAGGAGCAATAAACGACAGAAAGAATGTGTGTAACATACCCCTATATTGCTTACTAAGATGCAACTTTTATAGAACCAAGCTGATCACACTCTTTTAACTACTGTATTTTATTAACAGTAGGTCATGATTTAATGAATAAGTATTTTTAAGAGGTCACTCTAGCTTAACAGCCCAAGATTTATTGATCACAGGTAAACACTGCAGTTTAGAAACAAAAAGCGCTGTTTATTCAATTATTGCTGCAATAGATTCTAGCTCTCCCAGAGCCTGTGTAGTGTTATAAGAGGGGTCAAACAATGGTTTCTTAAAAAATATATTCATGTACAAAAGACAAATGAGTTCTACAAAGTAAAACATCTTTATAAATATTAAATAGCTAAGTAAGGTCTACTATAAATCTAAGAACAGGTTTTTTAAAAGTCCAAAACCATTTTTAAAAGTGACACCAAAAAAATTGCGAAAACATTCATATCAAATATGCATACACTACAGTATGCTTTTTTCAAGAAGATGGTTAGCTGTTGCAGTCATATTGTGAAGAAATAGGTCCGGAATATTTTGCAGAAGACACAACCCATTTGTGCTAACAGCAACTTAGTACTATCGAGTCTTAACAAAATTCCACCAAAATTTAGGGTTTTGATGTGTGTTTTTTAATTTCTCTCATCAAAAAAGCAAGTGGCTGGAGAAAATGGTGTGGAAAAGAAGATACAACCATAACTAACCCCCATGGAGTCCAACACTATACAAAGATGATCAGCTCCAGCAGCTGATCACCTGTTTGGGGGAAACTGGTGTCAAACTCATAGATGCAACCCACTTTCTCTTCCCCCAACCATGTCAAAAGAGTTGCTAAGTGCTTTAATTAGAGCAGAGGTTAAGAGTATCCCCAAAAGCAGATACAGGTGAACAACCTGCTGCTGTGCTGAAGTCTTTGCATTGTGGCCTAAGAGGACAGAACTTGGGCTGCTACAAGATGGTCTTATCTGACATGCGCTGCAACCTCTCTTGAAGCTGTGGAAGCAAGGGTCAGAGGCTATTGAGGATTCTGCATACCTTGTGGATTTACTAGGCAAGCATGCATATCAGGCATGGGGTATGGTTTCTGAAGCATCATAGGGGGAAAGGGGGGATTTCTAGCTCGAATAGGAACACAGGAAGTTGGCTAATATCATTGGTCCATCTAGCTCAGTATTGTCTACACTGGCTGGCAGTTGCTCTAAAGGATTTTGGACAGTTCTTTCCCAGCCCTCTCTGGAGATGCTAGGGGTTGAACCTGGGACCTTTTGCATTCAAAACATGGGCTCCACCACTAAGCTACAGCCTTTCTCTCCAAATATAAACCCCCCCTCCGACTGCAGAGAAATGCTTGCAGACAGCTTCAAACCATTCACCCATTTATCTCGGTTTCACTCATGCCAAAAAGTCACCAAATATCTTGAAAACATTGGCAAGACAATCAGATGGCAAAGAGTATGTTTTGCATATTAAACCAGGTTCAATAGCTGGCATGCAGTTAAGAGAGACAGAAGCTGCAGCGATGATTAAGGGCTCTTGCTACTTGCTTGCCAGGCTAGAGGAACCACTGGGAAGATGTCAGGTGAAATAGCTCCTTGTATTCCGATGTTGGAATTTGGTGACCTTTCTACAGAAATGCGTTTAATTTGGGCAGCATACATGCGGCCCTATTCCAGGGGACACCACTAACCCGTCCCAAACAGATCTTGGATTTTATCTCTTTCCTAGCTGGTTGCTTCAAGATTCTTCAGTGCCAAACTGGCTCCATAACAGGCAACTCATTATTTGTATTCTACACTGAACTTGCATTTGTTGCACTGGATAAGCTCTAAAACAACTGCACCCTACAAGGGTGCTTTTCTATCCCATCAGGCCACCTGGCTTGTTGCTTCCTAAACACCCAACAGACTAGGAAGCAGAGCCTATGAAGCAGCACAGTAAATAGTAACTGGCTGAACTACATGATAAAATTGCTTTTTCGACTTAAAAAAAGATCTCATGGGAGATCAAAAAGTTCTTTTGGGTGTTTAGATAGTGTATAACTTGGAACTTTTAAGTGATCTCGTATGGATGCCGATAAACCACTAAAAATAACCATTTATTCCAACACTTCCACTTTGCATACTTAATTCAGAGCACCTCCAGGGAAATTGAGTGAGAATAGGACCATCAATATCTATTAGATACAACAGCTGATAATGCAACCTCTGTACTCAGAAACAGTATACCTCCAATTATCAAAAGCTAGGAACAAACAAGGGATAGCCATCTTCATCAGGCCCTGCTGCGGCGCTTAAGAACGTAAAAGCCTGCTGGACCCTTTTCTCAGTGGTCAACCAAATACCTGTGGAAAACCCACAAACAGGACCCAAACACAAGAGTACTTCCCACTCCTGCAGTTTCCTAGCAACCGGTATTCAGAAATGTTTCTGCCTCTGCTCATGGATACAGAGCATAGCCATCGTGGCAAGTAGCCATCAAATAGCCTTATCCGTAAATTTCTCCAATCCTCTTTGAAAGCCATTTAAGCTGGTAGCCATCATTGCCTCCTATGGGAGTGAGGTCCATAGTGTAACTATGCGCTATGCTCTCTTTTATCTGTCCTGAATCTTCCAACATTCAGCTCCACTGGATGTCCACAAACTCTGTTATGAGAGAAGCAAAACTTTTCTCCATCCTCTTTCTCCATGCCATGCACCATCTTATAAACTTCTATCATGCCATCTCTTACTTGCCTTTGCACTAAACTAAAAAAAAAATCCAAATGCTGCAACTTTTCTTCATAGAAGAGTCGCTCTATTCAGCCCTTCCACATTTTCTGAAACTCTTCCAACTCTACAATATCATTTTGGCAGCAAGGAGACCAGAACTATACACGGTATGCCAAGCTTCTTGGAAAGCATCTTACTAGCCAAAACTGGGAACAGAATCCTAGACTTGTCGGGATAGTAACTTGCTAGAGCCATCAGACTTCCTCTAAAATATGGATCCAACAAATGTTTTCTGTAGTGCTGTGCAAAAACCTGTCCTCCAGCTTCTCAAAATGTTTCTTACTTGCAAATGAGGCTTCCGTTTTTCTGTCCCTTTTTGCAGGGCACTTTAGAATTTATAACGGGCAGGGGCTTGACTTATCATAGCCAAGTGTGTGTTTGTTTTCTTCCCATGAACCATTTTTGCCAACACTCTACCACTGCCTGCACTCCCCTTAAGCTGCTTTGATCTTCCTGATCTGAAACAGGCCATTTCATTTCATTGGGGAGGGAGGGGAGCCTTCTGAAGGAAGATTTCCCACTGACACTGCAACAAAACTGACCGCTCTTTCTAATCCCAGAACTTCAGAAGGCGAGAAATATGAAACCTTGAACGACAAGATGCTGTTACATAATAGAAAAAGAAGGTATTTGCACTGTAAAATGATGAGACAACATGGGCATTTTCATGTCCTACAATACTGAACTTGAAGGCCAAGAACCACTCCCTAAGTGTTTCCTAAAAATCATTCAACAGAAAACTAATCCAACATTGATCATAACTACAACAATCTGGATCCCTGTATAAAACAGCTGCATATTCGGAAGGTTGTGCATTTGCTGCAGATCTGCTGAGGAGTGTGAGAAAGGGTCGAAATATGGTGCTGGGTACAGAATCTAGCTTCCTGAGAATCTCAACTTTCATTTCTTCTTGTAAATAAAAAGTTTAAAATCCTTATAGCTATTAAAATACATTCAAAACTGTGTAGGGGGCAACAGCTACAAAAATATCCTAAGTTAGGGAATTTACTAAAGATTTCCAGGCATTGGGACACAGTTTTAATGCTCACATATAGTTTCTGGCCCTTCCTCATCACTAACCAAAATCTACACATAACAGAGAAATCATGCACATCTGCAATCTTCACTTTGAAGAAAGCCAATGCAGTGGAGGGGGGACAACACGGATCAAACATCTTGGCTACATAGAATTAGCTTCTGCATGAACAATGAAGGAGATCTCCAGCATGAACTGAGAATTCTTAAGGCATGTGTTACTAAAGAAAAAAAGGAAGTATCTATCTTCTAGAAATACAATACAGTGGTACCTCGGGTTAAGTACTTAATTTGTTCCAGAGGTCTGTTGTTAACCTGAAACTGTTCTTAACCTGAAGCAACACTTTAGCTACTGGGGCCTGCTGCTGCTGCTGCTGCTGCGCCGCTGCACGATTTCTGTTCTCATCCTGAAGCAAAGTTCTTAACCCGAGGTAATATTTCTGGGTTAGCGGAGTCTGTAACCTGAAGCGTATGTAACCCAAGGTACCACTGTAATTCTATCCTGATTTTGCTACATGACAAAAAGAATGGCAACCATTGTTCTAGAGTAGCAAAATAAACGGAAGAAAAACAGGTGCGTTTTCAAATGTCCCTATTTGAAACCCATATGAAGTCCAGCTCAGTAACAGCTTGCATGATTACGTTCCCTTTACCAAAGAAGCTCTCGTGGCCAAAGTTTTTTGCGAGTTTTCATCATGTGCAGGATGTCAATACAACTGCTGGAGGAAAATAAACTGAGGTTCTGAATAGCCAGTGATGGTAGACCTCAGAAGTGTGTCTGACTGGGGTGACTGGCTATCTGTGACAGGCAACAGAACTTGATGGTCCTCTGTTCCAAAGGGGAGAGGTAATGCTATATCTGAAGGCTTCACATCAGCAGATTCCAGCAAAGGGCTTTTCTCATTTGGAATGGAGTCTTGATCATTGAAGGAATGGTCAAGTGTGATGGGATCCAGGGGGTTCTCAGAACCTGTGAAAGCAAACAGAACTAAAATTGCGTTCATTGCTAAAAGTTGTGCACAGGAAAAGACAGGAAGAGATGATTTCCCCCTGCAAACGATTCAAGGACACTCACTACTATTTACTAGTCTTCAAGCCTTCATAGAGGTTTATTGTAAACCTGAAAACAAAACTGATAACTGGGATTTAAAGTTCACAGTTGGGCTACAAGAATTATCAGCAAAATTTGGTAACTGAATGGCTGATGGCCCTGACTTCAAGGACTAATCTCATTACAGATTTGGGTGGAGGGAGAGAGAATCTCAGAACCACCACCTCAAAACCAATATTTTCATTATGACAGAATTTGGTACTAGATTAGCTCATTTCAGGTATCTGCCCTCTAAAGCCAAGTGCATCTTCATACATGACAGCTAGTAGGGTACCTAAACATGTACCTAGGCAGGTTCAGCAATGCCATTCCTTCATCACTTTACTAACGTACAGAGTTGGCACTCTTGACAAAGGGTAGCGGGTCTCCCATTGGCAGCACTTAGGAGCCTAGGTTAACCACAGAGCATACTGAGGCACAGTCCAAAGAATCCACCATTTTAGTGTGGCTAAGTTTGTCTTTGGATAGCACTGCTGAACAGCTAACCTTTTTACCTATGATTCTATGAGTAGTAGATATTAGTTCTTAAATAACCAGCACTTACCCGCATGAACCTTTGCTTTGTGTTTCTTTAGGTTTTTTATATCTGTGTAGGAGTTTCCACACAGCTCACAGATAAATGGTCTTTCACCTTCAACAAAAATTGTCAATTAGACTTCATAGATGTGCAGTGCAATCCTAGGATCTGAACCAGGGCTTCCCACAACCAAAAACAAGTTTCTATAGCCACTGCATCTCAAACTCCACCCAGGTTTCTATGGCAAAGTTGCTTAAGGCTGTTCTACATGTTTGGGAAATAACAAGTCACAAAGTGACTTCAATCCTCAGGCATAAAGCTTTTCGGTTCCTTCAAAATTGGTGTCCAATATCAGAGGACAAGAGCACATTTAATGTGGAAATGCTATCATTTCACAATTCTTTATTAGAGAATTACATATAAAGATCATAATCCCCAGTTCACATACATATAGGAAGCTCCCTTATACAAAGTCAGACTGTTGGTCCATCTAGCTCAGAATTGTCTACACTGACTGGCAGAAGCTCCAGGATTTCAGGCAGAAGTTTCTCCCAACCCTGCCTGGAGATGCCAGGAATTGAACCTAGCACCTCCTCCTTGCAAGGCAGATGCTCTACCTCTAAGTTATGGCCCTTCTAATACAGGCAGACAATTAGAAAGGCAGGTAGGAGGATCATGCTAATTGAAACTAGATTATGTGTAGTATACTATCGTTTAACTATTTGATATTAAATGACTTTGAGTATGCACATACCTGCATACAAGGCATGGAAAAGGTAAGAGGGAGGAGCACGTCTGAAAACTAACCTGTATGGGACCGAAAATGCTTGCTGAGCTCTCCTGAAGAAATGAAGCTTTTGCTACAAATTCCACATATATAAGGTTTCTCTCCTATAGAGAAAAAGAAGTGGATGAACTCAGTACACGACCTAGCAACAATGCATGTGAAGACATCATGAAATCTCAAGTGTATGGATGCACTTCAGTCTCCCCTATTAGTAGGCACGGATGCGGGTAGCACTGTGGTCTAAACCACTGAGCCCCTTGGGCTCACCAGTTGGAAGGTCTGATTCATATACATCACACATACATCCACCCAGACTAGCAGCAGTTCTAAAGCATCTCTGAGATTTTGCCTAAGCTTCATTCACGGGAGATTTCTAGGAAATCATGCATGCAAAGCATGCGTTCTTTTGCTGAGCTCTGCTGTTGACCTCAAGCACCTCATTTAACATTTAAAGCATCTGGTATTCTCAAACAGTCTAACTATCTCCACCCCGCATTAGCTTTTAATATCAGGTGTGTTCAAAGTGGCATGGTTGCCAACTGAAAGCTGGGCTTATCACGGTGTTCTGCTCAGCAGGCAATAAAGCAGGCAAGAACAGGTCAACTCATTTACAATTTGCAGATTTTCTTGCCTGTTGCACTGCTCTACAAAGCCATACTCTTCCCATTCCATATCTATAGCACTCCATGCAAACTTGATTGCGACACCTCTCTCATGTCTTCCACTCTGGATCTCACCTGTATGCTTTCTTGAATGAGTGATGAGGGAACTCGAGACTGCAAAGGCTTTCCCACAGGTGTCACAGACATACGGCTTTTCTCCTGTATGTCGCCGCACATGATATGTCAGTGTGCTTGCCTGTGCAAATCGCTGCCCACATCTATCGCAGACATATGGCTTTTCTCCACTGTGCTTCCTTAAAGGAAAGGAGCTGGTTAGATTCTATTGGTGCACCAATTGGTTTCCCTGGACAACAGCCCTATTAAAACAGTCAAAGAACACATGCAGGCATAAATAGAAAAGGGATGTCAGGCTGCACAGGCTAGCTCCAGTGTTCCATGTTCCAGTTGGCTCTACCCCCAACTTTCCTGCATTGACCAGGAAGGTCCGAAGGGGGGTTGTGTGCTCAGGTGAATGTACTTAAGAGTCCTCCCCTTGAATGGGAACCCCTGCATTATCAGGATTTGTGACCATAGGAAGGATTATCCACACACTCAGCTGAAAGCAGGAAGTATCCGCCTTCAGACTTTCCCGTTCAATGTGGGAAGGTCAGAGAGGGGACAAGGAAACTACGGGTACAGATGGTGTGCATGCACACAGCCTGTGCCCCCTTCACATTGTATACTCATATGCATTCTCTGAATGCATGGGGGGGGGGGACTAATCTCCCAAACTTAAGCGGCCAGTTTCAGATGAAGTCCTTTTACTCACCTGGCATGAATCTTCAGATTGCTAGAGGTTGCAAACTGCAGGTTGCAGGCATCACACTTGTACGGTTTCTCCTCCCCGTGATGCATGCGGCTGTGGAAAACCAGCTGGCATTTTTGAGCAAAGCCTTTGTCGCAGAGTTCACATTTGTATGGCTTTTCACCTGTGTAGAGAATTGAGCTGCTTGCTTTAGCAGTGCCTTGTGAAGGATGAGGTTTTTCAGATGAGAAGTGACAGCAAACCGGAGGATGGGGGCAAAGTTCGGAATAAAGGGAAAGTATGTCATAGACTACTCAACCGTGTCTAAATTTGAGCTGGTAGGGCCCTAGATAACTATTCCAAACCAGCCAACATTAATGTTAGCTAGTGTGGCACAGCAGCTGGCATCTCAGGATGTCCCTGGTTCAAGACTCACCTCTGCCATGAACTCACTAAGTAGCCTTTTTTCAATGTTTAGCAAACAACTGGAAATCGACATCTATCACTGGTGACAGATGAAATGCTGGTATTACTTTTAATGGCTGAAAAAATAATGTAGATGCTAGGAGACTTCTTGACACACACACACAAAAAAAATAAACAATGGCAAATGTTCAGGAGCTCTAGGTACTGTCTTTTTAAGTTAGAATCCTTCCCATTTTGACCATTTTCAGATAACACATTTACCCCATGGTGTCTCAGAGTCACCATCAATGTATATATGGCAGCTATCTAAGTGTTCCTTTAATTTCATAAGCATTTGTTTCCCCAATTAAATGCCATATAAATATAGCCTTTGGGAGAATCAGCAAGATATAAATTTAATAAATAATCACTGCCACATTTGAATTACTAAAATGCACCATGTTCTCCCAAGACTAAAAAGAAACAAAGAAAGAGTCTGCTTTGATGGGCTTATTAGCTTATTGATAATTCCACCAGAAATACCTGTTCAAAAACAAATGTCATCAGTGGTTACCACAGAATGAAAGGAAATGTAGGAAGTTCACATTATTATTTTTATTCTAAGTGTATATGAGAAAAGTATGGAAGTGGGGACTACATATTCTCGGTAGGGTCTTCTCAGTAGTGGTGCCCGCCCTGTGGAATGCCCTCCCATCAGATGTCAAGGAAATAGGCAACTATTTGACTTTTAGAAGACATCTGAAGGCAGCCCTGTTTAGGGAAGTTTTTAATGTTTGATGTTGTTGCTTTTATTATTAATAATAATATTCTGTTGGGAGCCGCCCAGAGTGGCTGGGGAAACCCAGCCAGATGCGCAGGGTATAAATTTATTTATTTATTTATTTTATATTATTATTATTATTATTATTATTATTATTATTATTATTATTATTATTTTGCAGCTCCCACAACTAACAGTTTAAAAAGACTACCAAAAAGGTAAACACAAAAAAGATTGCCTCTTAAATTCTTTTGTGGCAAATGGTAAACTTAATGCTTAAACCAGAGCCGGCCAACATAACTTGTGTGTCACCAAGCTGAGCACATCACCATAGTTGTGTACAGACGCCTGGCAGAGGTATGTTAACACTGCTGCCTTTGTACTTGCAGCTGTGCACCAAGAAATGGTGTTTATCAAGCCAGCAGCAGTAACGTGCCACACATGGCTGCTTGGTCACAAGTCTGCAGGCTTGTACTGTAGGCAAAAGAAAATGAATATGGTTTATGGTGTACAGTCACACAATCCATGCCTAATATGGTTAATGAACATATGAAACTGACCTATACTGAGCATTGTTTCATCTGTTACTGTACACTAATAGACCCTGGCTCACCTAGGTTTCAGACCAGAGTATTCCACAGCCCTACTTAGATCTGTCAGGAATTCACCTTATGCAGGCAGAGCATGTGCTCTATCACACAGATATGGCCCTTTATGGTTTGAATAAATGAGCAAGCTATGGGTATTTGTAACTTGATGTGGAAGAAAGTAGTCCCCTGCAATGCCAGTGTAGAAAAAAAAATCTTTAAAAATGGTAATTATACAAATCTGATAATAGCTAAAAATAAAACACTGGCAGTAAAGAATATTCCACTCACAATATTGCCATGATCATTCAAAAGCAACTATCAACCCACAATACTGAAGAAGGGAAAGCATCTTCTCTGGGAGAGAATGAGGGTCTTTCTGCTGACTTTCACAAGAGGCAACTCCCAACACAAAGCAAGGAGCCTACCTGTATGGGTTCTTACATGTGTTTTCAGCTGGTTGCACTGCGTAAAGGCCTTCCCACAGAGCTGGCACACGTACGGTTTGACTCCTTTGTGGATCCTCATGTGCCGCCTCAGACTGCTAGCTTCGGAAAACACCTTGCCACAGGTGTTACACACGGGCTTGGCCTTGGGGTATTTTGGATCCAGCTCCTCTCCCGAGCTTTCCAGCTGGTAAGAGTTCTTGTCACTGGCGATGTTGGACAAGCAGTGCTCCTTCAAAGCACAATCCTGCTGTGCTTTACCCCGTTTGGACTTCAGAGTCATCGTCTGGACAAGGATCTCCTGCGCAGCAAAGGTTTCACTCTCCACCACAGGTGTAAGCTGCAGCTCAGAATTATCCCCACCTTGGGCAGCTTGCTCCGTGATCTCTGTGGCGAGCTTATTTGCATCTAAAAACATCTCCACTGCAGAGTTCTCTGCAGCATCACTTGGATATTGCGCTGGCTTGTTTGGCAGGTTCTTGGGAGAGCTGAAGGCCTTCTTTCGCTTTTTCGTTTGAACAGATTTTTTCCCTGTGGTTGCTATTAAGACTGGGGACTGCACCGTGTCCACTGAAGGGGCATCCAATCTCTCTTGGCTGTTATAGTCACGAAGGGTTAGCAGGCAAGTCTGCTGGTTCAATGCAATATTCCCAGTGATACTAGAGATTTCTGTAGAAGAGGGATTAGCAATAAAAGCAAAGTCTTCCATCTTTATTTTACATTTAGTGACCACCTCCTCCACTTTGAGATAGTCGGCAGCCTGATGTATTTCTTTAACATTCCAGCTGCAAGGGAAAAAGGTTAAATGGGAATGTACCAGCTGAAGAAAACAGGCTGTCTTATAGAATTAGTATAAATACTAAGTGGATAAAAACTGATGAAGCTTGAAATCAGGTTTTTGTAATTTAGACTGGAATTTTTCATCTTTTTAAAAAATTCAAATGTATTACATATTCCTTTAAAAATTATCTAGTTTAAAAGCTGAATTTCATAGAGTTTTCATCAGCCACTGCTCTTTTCCAGTGTGGTGCTGTGGTTGAACATCTAATTTGCACAACAGAGACTCAGGTTCAGATCCCACTATCTAAAAGGTGCCCTTCAGATGCAGTTTATTACCAGGTTATTAGAAACATAAGATTTCCATAATAAAACATGAGAACTAAAGTTAAGAACTTGATTTAAATAAATATATTAAATCCTAGGAAAGGTGTTAGGTATGAGCCACCACATCTCAAGACCACAGTCAGTAATGCTAATATTTTGAAAATGATCAAGTGTTTATATTTTGAAACTGGTCAAAACTAAAGGACAGGTAACACTGGTCTCACCCACAGGTTTGTTGATGCTGCACAAAAGACCCCTTAAGCCCATTTCCTTCACAACTGGGACATCAACTGAAATTCACGAAAAGCCCCACCCCTCCTTTCACAATATCCCTGTGTCTTGACTCAGGAAAGCATAGTCTTTGCAAAAGCCTCTAATTCTGCTTACCTTTTCTGTCACCTCAGTGACCCCTTACTTCTTACAACTTTTGCCTTTGCCTCAGGATGCATGGAAGAAAATGGCTGATATGCATAGTGGATGGAGGGTAATAAAAAAGGTAAGGTCAATGACCCCTGGACAGTTAAGTCCAGTCAAAGGCAACTATGGGGTGCAGCACCCATCTTGCTTCAGGCCGAGGGAGCCAACGTTTTCCAAATCATGTGGCCAGCATGACTAAACTGCTTCTGACGCAACAGAACACTGTGAAAGAAGCTAGAGCGCATGGAAACGCTGTTTACCTTTCCACCACAGTGTGGATTCAAACCGCCAATCTTCTGATCAGCAGGCCCAAGAGGCTCAGTGGTTTAGTCCACAGCGCCACCTGTGTCCCTGGGGAGGGAGGGTGTGGAAATAGGGAACATCTTTAATCAGCTGCTTGCAATGCAACAACTGAGGTTGCAGTATAATACTAAAACAGAGGCAGTGCAGGCCCGAGATGATCACAGTCCAATGGGAACTGTATTCTGTGTAAATTGCAGGCACGGGAAGTAAAGGGCTGAAGCCCCCCCAAACCAGGGCCATGATCTGGATCTGGTGGATCATACTGGTTATTTCTGAAAGAAAAATAATGCACTCAAGGGCATCACTTATAGTTTAGCCCTCAGTTCCCTTCCATTTGCTATTTATATCCCTCTGGGGGGCAAAGGAGAGCTAGGGTGAGAAACTGTTCCTGTAAATAATCTCTGGCAAAACTAGAATTAGTGTTTGCCTCCTTTTATGTTATAATATTGGCCTATGAAACAGTTACTCCCTTGAATGAGGAGCCTGAAACCACAGCGACATCACCTATCAGGTGGGTGGTATTATCCTAGCATATCCTAGTTGTATTTTCTGACCTCTTTGTCCTCGCTCCATTTGTGACATGTCTACTTAAATCGCAAGCCGTCAGGCAGCAACCTGTCTTTTTAGTTCTCTGTGAATGTCTTATTTTGAATACTCTGCAGACAAATCCCCAGCCTTATTGTATTACCTGTCAAGGTTTAAATCTCCTGTATATATGAACTCCAGAAGTTTCTGAAATCCATCAGCCTTCACTTGATTCTGATCCAAAAATATGTTACTCTCCGAAGTATCCCTGTAAAAAGCCCCAAAGTACTCGCTAAAGGAAGCCAGAACATTTCGGTGAGCTTTAAACTGGCATTCACCAATAACGATGGTGCAGTCACAAAGGAAGCCCACCTCTCGCTGTTTGTTCAGTCTCTCCAGTAGGTGCTCACAGTGATGGGAATACTGCATTTTGGGTATTGAGACACAGCTTCCTTGCTTTGGTCTGAGAAGGCAAAGGAACATATTTAGTATCAGTATGCCAGGCTCAGAATAGAATATAGATGTACTATAGTTCCCACTCAACGATCTTAAACTTTTAAGCAATCCTGCACTTAAGGACAAATTATATGAATAGCATCACATGCAGTGAGTTTTCCTGTTACTTGCCACTAAAACCAGATTATTAAATTTTACAGACTGGTTTGGGTCACAACTATCATTTTTATATGATAGCTTATTGAAAATTTGATGTCCCTCATTTCAGTGGGGGTTTTTTTGTCCCAGACTGCATCATGTAGGCCTTGTATACTCTGACAAGAATGAAAGATTAGTATCTCATAGCTATTATCCATATAAAAAAATTCCTTCCAGTAGCTCCTGAGAGACCAACTAAGTTTGTTAATGGTATGAGCTTTCGCGTGCATGCACATGAAAGCTCATACCAATAACAATAGCAAACTTAGTTGGTCTCTCAGGTGCTACTGGAAGGATTTTTTTTTATTTTGTTTCTACTACAGCAGACCAACATGGCTACCTACCTGTAACTAGAATCATAGAATCATAGAGTTGGAAGAGACCACAAGGGCCATCGAGTCCAACCCCCTGCCAAGCAGGAACACCATCAGAGCACTCCTGACATATGGTTGTCAAGCCTCTGCTTAAAGACCTCCAAAGAAGGAGACTCCACCACACTCCTTGGCAGCAAATTCCACTGTCGAACAGCTCTTACTGTCAGGAAGTTCTTCCTAATGTTTAGGTGGAATCTTCTTTCTTGTAGAACTATTATCCATATTATTCATATAGCATGTAGAAGGCACATCTATAAAGAAAATAATATGGCATCCAAATATAACTTGCTAGGATAAAGATCCAATCAGATGCAAATCTGCATGGATATGCTGCATATAGAACACACATATTTACAGGTGTGTTAGATGTAGTTTCCAGTCCAGAATAACTGACTGTAGGTAAGCTACTCTAGGTGCCTTTTCAGCTGAACAGTGGGGTACAAATGCTCAAAATAAGTAATCTTAAGTACTTCCTAAATAGAACCTTTGTTAAATATGAATTGGGCTCCAATTCAACAATCCCCAAAGACAAAAAGAAATCCAGTATGTAACTATTCTGGAGTGTTCACAGACCACTGCCTTTGTCTGAAACTACACACTCAAACCACCAGGGGTAATTTAACTCTCCTTCAGTATACACAATCACTTATATCAATTGGGGTGGGGGGAGAGAAGAATCCCTTTCTGGGGTTTTGCCTCTCTTTCAACACTTGAACATAAAAACACCACAGAAGTTGGAATGAGTTCAGGAGTCATTATGCCACGTATATTATGCCCAAAGATTTAGACCTTGGTGCCAGCTCCCTATAAATCGCTCTCCCTTTACCCAATTATCTATATACAGTACATACATCATTATCATCAACCTTCCAGCCTTCAATCAAGCGCAGTAGTCATCGACACCCCCCAATAACCTCAGCCAGCCTACTCCTGAAAACTTACATCAATTCTACCACCCATTTAGCACATCATTTTGCTCCCATACTGTAGAGCAGAGAGCAACTTGGTCCATTCCTGTTACCATCACAACTGAACTGTAAATTTCAGCCTGCTCAGCGAGCAGGTAAATTCCTCCCGGCGTGATTAGATGACCCCCCCAAGGGTGTACACAACTGCACTTGCATGTTGCAATCTTACACCAGCTATGCCTCTTCCCAACAAGCTCACTCAGCGCTTTGGAGACAGCAGTCACCATTGTGTTCAGTTGCTCCTGTTCCTTATTCTTTCTGCAAATCACTTGGAGGGGTTTGGCGGGTTTGTTTGTCTGACCAACCCACCGGTTATAAATTGGATGAAATAAATAGATATAATCGTGCTTAGGATGGCAGCTCAACTTCCTAGAATCATAGAGCTGAAAGGGACCCCGACGGTCACCTAGTCCAACCCCCTCCAAATGGAGGCAGGAATCTTTTTGTCCAACATGGGGTTCAAAACACAACTCTGAGATTAAGAGCGTCAGGCTCTACCGACTGATCTACCCCAGGCTCGGGACAGACGCTTGCCAACGAACGGACTGCGGCGAGGAGCGCCCCTTTCCACCCGCCCCCCAGATATTTGAGTCTGAGGACCACTCCTCACAGTTACTGGCCCTGCCCCCCCCGACCCTCTGCGCTGCCCCATTCCTCCTGCACTTCGTCGAGGCAACCCTTCCTATACACCTCCTGTCTATCTTTCCTCACATAAAAACACCCTTTCTCTCCACTATCCGAACCGCCCCCCCCCCCGCGCCAGATTGGTCCCGTCCAACCGCCCATTCTTCCCTCCCCTCAGAACTACTAGGGGGAAACACACCTGGAGAGGGGCAGGGGTGGGGTGGGGGGATGGGGGACGCGGAACCTTGTTCACCTCAGTCCGCCATTTTATGATGACGCGACCCGCACCGGCGGCCGAAATCTCACTTCCGTTCTCAAATGAGCTCCGGCAACTAAAGAGTGGCGGCGGGAGGGGCGGGGGGTAAAAAAATAAGGTGGAAATGGAGGGCGGGGGCGAATTAGGTTCCGGCCGGGAAGTTCTTCCCTCCCACCTCCCCTGATAAAACTACGTTTCCCATGATGCCTAGCACCAAAAAATGAACTCTGCCAGCGGCCGAGTTTTTCCTCAGCGTGAGGGGAAATGTAGTTCCTAAGTGCCTCGCCGAGGTTAACTGCTTGGGTGCCAAGGACAGGATGAAAAGCGAACGAATCGGAATAGGCTTTATTAGGAAGTAGGTTGTAGCTGCAGAGCACGCGAAGGAATGTCCCCTCACCCACAAAGCTGCATAAGATAATTTCCCAACATTTATTGCGGTTTTTATGCTGAAGGCACTGCAATGCTGGGCAGAAGAGGGAAATAAACAAATGAAGATCCCGAGACTGGACTGCCATCAAGATATATAACGGCCACTTAAATGCTGTTTTGCAGGAAATGTGATTCCAATGTGGCCCGTGTGCCCTAATGGCTGCAGATATAAAGTGATATGTTGAAAGTTCGGTTACAAATGCACACTCGGGTTAATCCGAAATAGATTTACCAGCCAGTTCTGCCCTCTCCCTCCACAATTCAGTATTAGGCAATTTCAGATTGAACTAAATAAAACACGTTTTGGCAGCGAATAAAGTGTAATCCCAAATCCGTAATATAAACGGGTCAAAATAAATAAATTCCAGAAAAAAGATGCTTTCGTGTTTCCGCCCGGTTTCGAACCGGGGACCTTTCGCGTGTTAGGCGAACGTGATAACCACTACACTACGGAAACCTGTATATAAAAACGTTTGAAATTATTCTATATATATGCCTGTGGCTCAATGGGCGAGTGAATAGAAACATCAGCACAATACATAGTACTTAATACTGAACTATTGTTCCAAAAGTACATTTATAATCCTAAATAGTCAAGCCCAAAAACAGATATGTGCGGAACTTCCAAACACATGGGGAGCAAGCCCCACACAGAACGCAATGAGATTACAACTCCCTAGGAAACATGCCAAAGACTAAGCTGTCAGATCTTCCTTGCGTGGACATGCTGATGTCCAATAGTGTATACACATTTTAAAAAAACTTTTCCTGTTTCCGCCCGGTTTCGAACCGGGGACCTTTCGCGTGTTAGGCGAACGTGATAACCACTACACTACGGAAACTTGCATAAAGCTCACCACGCCTCCTCTTTCCCTAGTAAGTACCATTGCTGTAATCTCAGGCGTGCGCTCTAAATGAAAAGAGTAGATCATTGCAATGGCAGCTTTTGAGGCTTTTTTCCTTCTACTTATGATTGCATATATTTCTAAAGGGCTTACTACAACTCCTATCTGTCCCGGCCAGCATGCCGGGGGGTGGGGAGGCTGGGTTACAGTTAAAACTAAGGTTGCTTTTGTCTCCTTTCTAGCTTTAACGACCAATGCATTTGTCATGGGATTGCTACAGCAGACCCCAGCGGTTGCCTGATGTATGCTAATTTATACGTATATATTTCCACAAGCAGAATGAGAAGGTAAAACCTTGCCAGGGCTCTTAATTGTGGAAATGGTGCTTATTAGCTCTCCCATAACAAAATCCCCCACTTAAATTATCTGCTCAATTTGTTTAGGACGCACATCTGAAATTAACAGCAATTGTACTTACTGGAGGAAGAGGAAGCACATGTCCTTGTATTCAGGTTTCCGTAGTGTAGTGGTTATCACGTTCGCCTAACACGCGAAAGGTCCCCGGTTCGAAACCGGGCGGAAACAAGCTTTTTTTAAAAAAAGACTTCTTCCTTGAAATCATTGGAGATCAATCAGCCATGTCCATGCAGGAAGATTTGACAGCTCAATCTTCGGTATGTTTCCTCGTGAGTTATAGTCTCAGGTGCATTCTGTGTTGGGCTTGCTCCCAGTTAAGTGTGTATAGACAGTAGCCTGAATTGACCTTGATCTCCAAAACTGCATTGTTCTTTAAAAATATACCAAATTTACGGTTTTGAAAAACGTTATTGAAATTCTCCTGCGGTGCCTCTCTTCTCTGAGGACTTCAAAAGCAGCTAATAAATTATTTTAAGAACTAATGCATAAATCACAAACATTCAAAGAAATTAAGGCACAGTGACCAGGAAGGAGGTGATCCTCCAGGACAGAGGAATTTGTGCAGTTTTGGGCAGCCGTTAAGAACACATTCACAAGGTGATTTTATCCAACTACAGGTAGCTAGGAATAACCTACTGCAAGTTCTTAATAAATTAGCAGGTGAACATTGCAGTGGACCAAGGTAGAGGCTTGCACTCAGAAGCCTGACAAACACTGAGCAAATTTCCAAACTATAGAGCTTATAATTGAACTCATTGGAACTTAATTCTGACTGTGTAAATTTAGGGTTATTCTGTGCGGAACTGTTTGTTGGTTGTCCTTCCTTCATCATGTCACACCTTGTTCATTTCTTTTCTCATTTGTGGGTCATGCAAATCTGCATTATATGCTGAGCATGTTAGTCAGCAGGTGGACCTTCCCCTAACACCTTTACAGCTCTCTCATTCATAGAAGAATCTACAAATAAGTAAACAGATGCATAAAACAAAACGCAAATCTGGATCACTGTAACTATTTCTGCCCCAAAAGTAGCTGAATTATGGAGACAGGACATGTTGTTCAAAGTATGCTCATGTTGCCTCCTAGTGGTGCAGCAATAAAACTGCTAGCACATTTGCAAAGCTAAACAGGGCCTGATACGATTTCAAATGTACCAGTATGGTCTGAAACTCAACATCAAAAAAACGAAGATCATGGCCACTGGTCCCATCACCTCCTGGCAAATAGAAGGGGAAGAAATGGAGGTAGTGAGAGATTTTACTTTTTTGGGCTCCATGATCACTGCAGATGGTGACAGCAGTCATGAAATTAAAAGACGCCTGCTCCTTGGGAGAAAGGCGATGGCAAACCTAGACAGCATCTTAATAAGCAGAGACATCACCTTGCCAACAATGGTCCGTATAGTTAAAGCCATGGTTTTCCCAGTAGTGATGTATGGAAGTGAGAGCTGGACCATCAAGAAGGCTGATCGCCGAAGAATTGATGCTTTTGAATTATGGTGCTGGAGGAGACTCTTGAGAGTCCCATGGACTGCAAGAAGATCAAACGTATCCATTCTTAAGGAAATCAGCCCTGAGTGCTCACTTGGAAGGACAGATCGTGAAGTTGAGGCTCCAATACTTTGGCCACCTCATGAGAACAGAAGACTCCCTGGAAAAGACCCTGATGTTGGGAAAGATGGAGGGCACAAGGAGAAGGGGGCAACAGAGGACAAGATGGTTGGACAGTGTTCTCGAAGCTACAAACATGAGCCTGACCAAACTGCGGGAGGCGGTGGAAGACAGGAGTGCCTGGCGTGCTCTGGTCCATGGGGTCATGAAGAGTCGGACACGACTAAACAACTACACAACAACAACAAGTAGTCCCAGGCATAGGAATCCCTTTTGTCCCAGAAGCTTCATGCTTGACACTACTGAACTACGTATAGCAGTTTGCAACAAAAATTCATTAACAGTTAAGAACATAGTCTTGTTTTTGCTTATATTGCATAATGGGGGCTGGCTGAAGGTAGCAGCCCAGAGTGGCTGGGGAAACCCAGGCAGATACGCGGGGTATAAATAATAAATTATTATTATTATTATTATTATTATTATTAGCAGCAGCAGCAACTTGGTGGGGCAGTGCCCTGTTCGCCCTTGCTGTATCAGCTCTTGAGGCTTGGAATAATGATTCACAGTATGTGCACAGAAAGCAAAACAAAAGAAAAATCCTTCCCCATTTCCTAGTCATATAGATATTCACAGCCTTACAAAGCTTCAGGAGAAGGTATCATAGCAACATGTAAGTCACAATAGAGCCAGCCACACATGCCTGGGAAGATTGTTAGCCTTACTCTTCCCCCAAAATAAGACAAGCCCACTGAGAGTCAAGTGCCCTGAGCAGAAACAGGCAGCAGCAGAACCATCACTCAGGGAACCACCGCTCAGGAACTAGGCAGAAGCAGAACCAACTCTCAGGGATGGGTGAGCTGCCACCAGCTGTGGTGATAGACAATGGCTCAGGTCTGCTCAAGGCTGGCGTGGCTGGGGACAAGGAACCGCGTGTCATCTTCACCAACCTAATAGGCCGCCCCAAGGCCAAGTCTGTGATGTTGGGCGCTGGCCAGAAGGACTTCTACATTGGAGATGAAGCGCAAGCAAAGAGAGGGATCCTCTCCCTCAGGTGCTTGGAAGACATGGGGGAATTCGAACCGTAGGGAAGCAATACATATTGGCTACGCTAGTTTCTTAGGAGTGGGGGTGTCTAGGGAAACAAGTGGCCTGGGATGGTACACAGAAGGGGAGTGGCGAGGTCATGCAAAAAGTGGTTCAGGCTCATGAAGGCTATAGTGTCACAATAGGGTAGAACGGTGGTGGTGATTTCAGGCTTGGGGGCCAAATGCAGCCCTCCAAGCCTCTATTATCTGGTCCCTGGGACTTTGCCTAGAATACCCCCCTCACTGGCCCTGCTTCACACTGGCATTGAGTGTTTTTGCCTGGCTGGAATGTGCCCTTTAACTCTGATAATGCCTCTTGCTTTCCTGAGAGAAGGTGTGTGAATGTGTGCAGAAGCTAGCTAAAGGCAAATGTTTGCATTTATTGCTCCACCCACTTTTGCCTTTTGTTCCAGTCACAAATAGCATGTGGCCCATGGAAGGTTACCCAAAAAAGGATAGGAGCAGCCCAGGGAGGAGGGCAGTGGCATCAGGGGAAATGGCCAGGAGGAGGGGTATAAGAGCAATGAGAGAGGGGCTGCGCCCGCCAGCTGAAACAGCGGCATCCTTTTATCTGCAGCTGTGAGTCACTCTTGAAAACGAACAAATTAGAGGTCAAAATGGATGAGTGATTACAGTGGTGCCTCGCAAGACGAAATTAATTCGTTCCGCGAGTTTTGTCGTCTTGCGATTTTTTTCGTCTTGCGAAGCACGGTGTCGGGAAAGTTTTCGAAAAATCACCAAAGTCTTTAAAAACCTCAAAAAAGGCTACCACATCGCGTTCTATGAGTTCTCCTCGAAGTCAAGTCGCAACTGTATTAACAGTGTTAAGAAAAAGGAAACAAACTTGCAAGACGTTTCCGTCTTGCGAAGCAAGCCCATAGGGAAAATCGTCTTGCGAAGCAGCTCAAAAAACGCAAAACCCTTTCGTCTAGCGAGTTTTTTGTCTTGTGAGGCATTCATCTTGCGAGGTACCACTGTATTACGTCAGGATATCTGCTCAATTGTAAATACTTAGCCTCCCAATACAACTGAAATTTACATTTCCCTTTTTGACAAAGACTACATTTTGTAAAATCTTAAGGTTATTCACTGATTGGTACTTTCTTATTTTTATTTTTTACATATAATTGAAATAGAAATAGAAATACTTTATTGTCACTTGTAGAACTTGTATACAGTGAGATTACACGAGCACCCCCCACTCAGCTCTTTTAGTCTTAATTCCCCTCATTTACTGACGCACACCCACCAAACCCGAAAGTCAGTTGCCCTGTTGTTATCTTTTCATTCAGCAGCCTAACAGCCCACAGATAGAAGCTGTTCTTTACCCTGTTAGTGCAACTAATCATGCTTCTATATCTTCTATATCCTATACAGGAGCAGTGTGAAATCTTTTTCCAAATTAACAAAGCCAAAATAGTCTTATTCGGGATAAACAGGTTTTGGGAGGGCTTCACAATAAGAAACACATTGGTCCTGATCGAAAGAGTTGTCCTGAAATTTTATTCAAACGCATGAGTCTGGTAAATTATGAAAATCCCCACTGCTATAGGCTTAACCAAATTTTGTAGGCTGAAGCCAATGTGTGGAACCCTACATCAACATGGCTTCTGTTAACATGTTTAGGATTCAAAATTTAGGCTGTCATCTAACTGCACTAATTAGCAAATTAGGTCAACATAAATGAATAGGACTAGTTCACAGGTAAAAGCATCTGACATTCAAATTGACTTATTTGCAGAAGATTCATAGTCAAATTCAAAATGGCCAGACTCAGGGGGGAAAGAGCCAATTTTGCAATCTACAGTCCGGGTGCAATTTGTTCTGGAAATGTCACGGTCCCACCAATGCAATGCCTAGTAACAGGGTAGAGTGAGTTTCAAAGCTTATAATGGATTGATAGTTATCTGGAGCATTCCTCTATGGTTTGCAGTGTATCCAGTTTCACACTGAACTTTTCACCCCAACTCCACCACACATATGAGTTAGACATAAGGTAGCTAAAATCAGTTTGGCTTTGTTTTCTCATACTGTGTTTAAAATGGTGGTAGAAGGGCTGGCACTTAAAAGTCTTTGGTACACATCTATAATACAAATGAAATTGGTTTAACAGTCATGACCACCTCACCCCACCAAGAAGCACCCTGGCACAGGTACAGTTCCCAAGGTTTATTAGCTAGGGCCCATGAGGGATGGGTGAATCTATCAATGTTGGTTTTGCTCAGTTTTTAGTTTTTCCAATCTTAAATTCAGTTCTCCACATTTCTACATCAGTTGGCTTTTTTTTTTAAATGAAGTTCTCATGTAAATGCATCAGCATTTTAGTGCATTTACCATCATTGCTGCTGTCAGTCTCCTCTGGAGTAAGGATATGGGATTCAGCTATACGTCATCTAACCTGATGAGAGGACTCTTCCCCACTGAACAGCATTTAAGGCAGGCTGCTGAGGTGTTCACTGAAGTGCAATAAGACCTGCAACTGAGTTGGCACTTCCAGGAGGCTGGGGAAGAGACTTGCCACCATTGCTCTGCCTGGCAATAGCCTTTTGGTGCTGTCAGCCTCCTCTGCAGGAGATGTGGGAGCCCTGCTTGTATGTCATCTTTATCCCCACTCTGAACAATATTTAAGTCAGGCTCCTTTGGAAAGTAGCAAGACCACTACCAGAAATGTTATTGTTGGTTAACTTTTGTGTTTGCTTTGAGCCTAAATTGGGGTATTGGGGGGGATGCTGAATTTATTCTGTGTTTGCTAAATTGTTGATTTTTGTATTTTGAATTAACTGACATGTTCCATATGTTGTGTATTATTTTAATGTTTTGAATGTTTGTTGTAAGCTGCTTTGGGCATAGTTTGTTGTGGGAAAGTGGCGTATAAGTAAAATCAATCAATCTAGAAATGAATCCTTAAATCCATGACAGTAAAAAAAAAAAGTTTGAAACTGCTTCCGATTCATCATCATGGAGCCACACTCTTCATGAGGGATTTATTTTCATTTACTACAGTTATCCTCAAGGCAGCATATATGGTTCCTCCTTCCCTTCCATTTCATCCACACACCAACCCTAAAAGGTAGTTTAAGTGGAGAGTTAGTGACTGGCCCAAGGTCAGCCAATGAACCACACAGCTGATAAAAAATTTGAAACCTGATGTTCCAGATTCAAGTGCAACACTAGACACACTTAGCACTTTGGTTATTTTCTGATTCAATGTGTTTTTACATACACTTGCACATGAAATACATAGAGAGTACATAAAATGCTGGCAAATTTACTAGTACAAGAAGTTTGCTATGTGCTTTCATAAGGGTACATAGGCATTCTGCATTTTAAAGCTGGGAATGCTAAAGGTTTTGGGCATGACAGATTATGATAATATAATACCACCATCTTCTTTTATTCTATAGATATCCAGTGGAACATGGAATTGTCACTTCCTGGCCTGACATGGAGAAAATATGGAAGCACGTTTATGATAATGAATTGAGGTTAAACTCCTGCACAAGACCAGCTCTGATAACAGAGGCACCACTCAACCCACTGGCCAACCGTGAACAAATGACAAAGCTGCTCTTTGAAAAATTTGAGGCACCAGCTCTCTACGTGGCCATCCAGGCTGTCTTGGCACTCTATGCAGCAGGCCTCACAACAGGTTGTGTGATGGATTCTGGCGACGGCGTCACCCACACTGTCCCGATATTTGAGGGCTACTGCTTGCCTCATGCTGTTCTTCGGCTTGACCTGGCAGGCCGGGATCTTACAGAATATCTCATGAGGATCCTGAGGGAGAGCGGCATTGCGTTGGTGAGCACAGCTGAGAGAGAAATTGTGCGAATCATCAAGGAGGCTCTGTGTTACGTGTGCTTGAATCCTGAGGAAGAGATGGCTAAAAAACCTACTTCAATTGAGAAAACCTGGAAATTACCTGATGGGCAAATCATTAAAATCCACAACCAATTGTTCCGCTGCCCTGAGACCCTCTTTCGCCCATCTAACATTGGCATGGAAGCCCCAGGTATTGATAAACTGCTGTTCAACACTATAATGAAATGTGATATCGATTTGAGGACCACTTTGTATGCCAACATACTCCTTTCTGGTGGTTCAAGTCTCTTTCCTGGCATTTCTGATCGCCTCACAAAGGAGTTGATTCGTATGGCTCCCAAGGACACGGAGGTGATGGTCCAAGCACCTTCTGACAGGAAGATCTCTGTCTGGATGGGAGGATCTATCCTTGCTTCTCTCTCTGCCTTCCAAGAGATGTGGATATCCAAGGAAGAATATGCTGAAGTTGGGGCCAATATAGTACACAGGAAGTGCTTCTAGATTCCTGTTGTATTGAAACATTTTTATTTAAAAAGCTGTGGGGAAGAAACACAAATTCATGGCATCCTTGGTGAGGCTTTTAGCCTCACAGCTTTCTGAAAGATGAATAAAGGTAACACTTCCATGCATACTTGTTTGGGATTGTCTGTAGAACAGACTGTAGCCTTTTCAGGCTTTGCCTTCGGGTGGGAAGAGCATTGTGCCCGGGAAGGGAAGTGGGAGTCAAACAGACACTCAAGGGTTAACCAGAGAAAGAGCTTTTTATTCCTGCTATCCGGAGTAACAGGAAGGAACCTGTGTGATCACTCACAACCAAGTACAAGTTCTTACAGCGAGAAAAGCAGAGAAAAGCTGAAGCTGTGGATTTTAGAAGAGAGGAAAGGGAATTTTGGGGGCTAGCTACAGTTTTAGGCCTGGGGCGACTTCACAGACAGGATTTGGGTATCCTGTCCCTTCAAGACTAGTTTATTGATGAAAAATGACATGCTTGCAATCTATAAGAAAAAAAATGACTTGGAGGAAGGTTGTAAAAAGCAAACTAAGGCACTAGTTTTTTGTTTCAAGTATAGGTTTAATTAAATGTTTCTTTCATATAGTTCACCAGGTCCTTTCTTACAACCTCATTCAGCATAAGATCCCAGTTTGGCATGTTTTACCATTAAGCCAGAATGGACTTACCATGAAGCACTGCAAAGCAAAATACTTTCAGCAACAACAGTGGCTTTTTATGTTTCTTGTTGTTGAACGAAAAGAACCATCCACATGGCTTTTAAATGAGGGGAGGGGAGGGGATAAATCAATACAGCAAGAGGGCAGACGAAGCCTTCAACGATGTGTATATGCCTACAAATCAAGGTTAACATTAATGTATCAGGTGAACTAGCCTTGTGTCCGGAAAGCTTATACTGCGATACGTTTGTTACACTTTAAATTGTGTTCGCAAGACCCATGCCTGCTTGTGAAGGAAATGGGAGAACAGTGGTATAAAGACGGGCGTGCTGCAACATGCCTCCGTGCATGTCTGAACAGTTCGAATAAGGGCCCCAAACGCAAAGCCTACGAAAACGGGGGGGGGGGGGCTGTAAAATTGGAGCAACTCCACACAGTAAACTAGCAAGCAAGCAGGTCCTGGCATGCTGCTACAAGGCAGAGCGACCTCACCATGAACTTCCGCCAGATGATGTTCCCGCCCACGACCCGCAGCCAATGAGAGGCAGCGCGCGCTCCGCCTGCTAACCAATCAAGCGCCGCGGAGGCCGCGCAAGCGCCGGAAGAAGCCAATCAAACGCTGGGGAGGCGGGACAAGCGCCTGAAGCGGACCGGCTATATAAAACAGCATGTCGGCAACTTTCACTCCGCAGGCGGCCGAAAGGTTCTCTCCCCCGGGTGGGGCTCCCCCCCCGCTGTTCTAACCCTAATTAGCCGTTAACGGCTCTCGCTCACATTCGCTGTTTTGACCGTTGACTTTCAGCGATTCGAATTCTTTTTTCAAAAAACGTCACCCGTGTAATTGGGAGGTGCCTTCTCCTCCGCCTGCCGCGCCTTCTCGCCCAACTCCTTTCTCCTGAAGCGGCCAGAGCCCGACCCCCGGTAAAGAGGCCGCGGTCAGCCTGGCCCTGGGCCGCTGCTGCCGCGAAGGGTTCGGCCCTGTCAGCCTTGGGGAGCGGCGCGGCCGGCTGAAGGGCGGTTGAGGAGCTTGCGGGCGGGGACCGGCGCGAGAGCAAAACAAACCAACCGGGCGGTGCTGCGGTTCCCCGCGAGCCGGTGCCGCGCGCTCCTGAGCAGTGGGGCGCGCGGCCGACGCCGCCCGGACACACAAAACTGTTGCTATTCTGTTATCCTCCCTCCCTCCCCCCCGTCTCACCCACTCGAAAGGGGAAGAGGGAAGGAGCTGATGGTGGAGGCGAGCGCGGAATAAATGCGCCTTAAGAAGCAATGCGGGGAGAAAGTTGTGTCCTTGGCCCCTCAAATTTGGCTTAAAAGAAGCCCCACGCCCACCATGGGGGGGGACTATAGAGTTTAAGAGAGGGAGGCTCTGTTGGTGCAGGATGGTAAGAAGACAAGTTTGGTACAGGTGCTGCTCTCTGCTGGTAGCTTTTCTCTTCCCTCCTCCTCCTCTCCTTTTGTATCTTTGTCAGCAAGTCTACGGGCCAGGGAGTGCCTTGCTGGTTCATATAGGCTCTGTGCTTAGGAATTGTTCATAGGCGCCTTGCAATTGTAGTTGTAGTGAAGCCTTGCTCACCCCAGATCTTGTTCTCGAGAGCAAGTTTTTCACTAAAAGTTGCCGAAGTGACAAATTTCAATGTAGGTGGTAGCAATTGACTGGGTTCCCACGCATGCTGACTGCAGGGCAAGCTTCCTTGAAATTTCATATTTTGCCTGGTAGGACTTTTGTACAGCTGGGCCTTCCCTAAAGGTAAAGGTACCCCTGACAGTTAGGTCCAGTCGCAGACGACTCTGGGGTTGCGTGTTCATCTCGCTCTATAGGCCGAGAGAGACGATGTTTGTCCGCAGACAGCTTCCGGGTCATGTGGCCAGCATGACTAAACTGTATCTGGTGAACCAGAGCAGCGCACGGAAACTCCGTTTACCTTCCCGTCGGAAGGTATTTATCTACTTGCACTTGATGTGCTTTCGAACTGCTAGGTTGGCAGGAGCTGGGACCGAACAATGGGAGCTCACCCCGTTGTAGGGATTCGAACTGCTGACCTTCTGATCCTTCCTAAATGCTGGTGGGTTTAAATCTGCAAAGAGAGAAAAAAACATTATAATACAATTGGGAGTCATCAAGCCCCTGAGAGTTATTCTCATTTTCTTGCCATTCTTCCGCCTGTGTTCTGTATGTTTTAGGCAAGTTTTAACAGCTTCTGCCTATGTCAGGCTTCCTCAACCTCGGCCCTCAGATGTTCCCATCATCCCTGACCACTGGTCCTGCTAGCTGGGATCATGGGAGTTGTAGGCCAAAAACATATGGAGGGCCGAGGTTGAGGAAGCTTGGCCTATGTGGTGTTTTGCCTTAATTCCAGTAAGTCTTCTCTTTTGCGCATTGTTGTTATTATTTCATTATTTCTGTGTTGTTATTTGCTCGTAACTGCTGCCTCCTGTGTTGCCACCTCTCCGGAGTGTAAGCCTGGGCAATGTGTATAGAGGTCCTGACTCCTGAGCAGCCCAAAACACAAGACCCACCCCCCTCTTGGCCTTGCTGATGTGGTCTAAGGAAATACATCTGGCAGCAGCATGGCTGCAGGAGTTGCTGGAAGGAGGCATCCATCCAACTCCCTCAGGGGCTTCACTCCGGATTTGTGTAGGGTTTGCTCCTGAGCCTTTTCTTTTCCCAAAGATGTCCCACATAGCAGAAGGTATTGATTGTTATTGGGGTTTGTTCCCAAAGCCTTTCTCAAGAATGAATATAGCCTGAAGGCAGTGGAAGGACTGGTTTTCCTTCTTCAATTTCTGTATTCTTAACATATACTGTAAACCACCCTTTTTATACTGTAAACCATACTTGATCTTAAGATGAAAAGCAGTTTATAAATTTAATTAAGAATAATACTTACCGTATTTTTCACTCTATAAGACACACTTTTTCCCTCCTAAAAGGTAAGGGGAAATGTGTGTGCGTCTTATGGAGCAAATGCAGGCTGCGCAGCCCATGGTCAGGTATAGCTGCGTGAAGCCTCTTCAGCACAGCGGGAATGTTCTCCCACTTCCCTGAAGAGGCTTTGCGTTGCTTTCGCTGAGGCCAGAACAGCAAGAGGGATTGCTGCGCAGAATTCCTCTTGCTGTTCTGGCTTCAGGGATAGTCGCGCAAAGCCTCTTCAACAACATTTGATTCAGAATTTTTTTTTCTTGTTCTCTAAAAACTAGGTGCGTCTTACAGAGTGAAAAATACGGTACCTGGTACCATCTTGTAAAGATTGAAATGTATATAGTTTTTTTTAAAAGAACCGTTTGTTTATTATTTGGTTCCTTACCTAAGATTTTAAGGCTGCAGTCCTATACACACTTACCTGGGAGTAAGTCCGTTTGAATTCAGTAGGACTTCTGAGTAGCTATGGATAGGATTGTATTGTTGGTGATTTTTAAACGGTATTTCCCAGTTTTTAGGAATGCATGCCGCCCTTTATCTACATAGACAAGAGAGTGTTTATATGACCTTTTGGCATAAATACTGTCTGAAAACTTACTATTCCAACGTTTTGCTGCCACTGTCAGGCTCCAATTGTTGAACACATCCAATAATGTAGGCATTCTTAATGGGATTTTTGACTTTGATCAGCATGCCTTCCAAAACTACTTTTACAAATCTACTCAGTTTCAAACATATTTTTCCAGGCAAGCATGGTTGGTACTAGTCACATAGTTATCCAGATCTTACTGCCTTTAGGATTGTTGGATAATTATTTTGCTAATTGTTAATGGTTTATTAATTATGCTTTTATTTAACATCTGAGGATCTTCTGAGAGAGGAGAAGACAGCTACCAATGAGATTAATTCATTGGAGAGAAAAATTGAGCTCTGGCCATTAAGTACTTCAGCAACAGGAAATATGCTTTATCAAGGCATGCTTGTAGTGGATAAAAAGACACGAAATCACCTGCCTCCTGGAGTAGTTGAGCTTGATAAATTCCTTCAACAGACAGGGGGGAAGCGAGGTTGGGATGTATATGATCACCAAGAATTTTTGAAACTGGACAAAGCATAAAGGAAAACCATCGTACATTGATGAAGTCCTTGATCATCTTCCTGACAGAACAAGGGACGATATTCTGCAGCATGAGAAATGGTATCAAGAATTTCTGATTTTAGAAGCACAAAAAAAGGAGGTGAGATAATGTTGCTAATTAGCGTTTGCCATTTTAACAACTTTGTGTCAAAAGCGATGAGACAGTTCACCCTCTTTTCTTCATCTCTAGCTCTGCTGCTATGGCTTTCTTTTCCTTTGCTGGTAAGCAGGACATACTAAAGGTAAAGGGACCCCCGACCATTAGGTCCAGTCGTGGCCGACTCTGGGGTTGCAGCGCTTATCTTGCTTTATTGGCCGAGGGAGCCGGTGTACAGCTTCCGGGTCATGTGGCCAGCATGACTAAGATGCTTCTGGCGAACCAGAGCAGTGCACAGAAACGCCGTTTACCTTCCCGCCAGAGCGGTACCTATTTATCTACTTGCAATTTGACAAACTCAGAGCACACCAGAACTTTCACGCACATAATAGTTTCTGCGAACAAGGCCCATAAGGTGGGCGGTTGCGGATCCGCCGCCTTCAAAGGGTCTCGATCCCCGCTGCGCCATGGCTCTGACGGTACTGGATCCCTTTATTTGCGGGAATAATAGACGCGTTAATCGAGGCCCAGACGGCATAGCGAGCAACGGTGGTAGTTTTCAGACGTGTATGAAACCAGCGAAGTCCCGTGTAACCCTCAGTCTCCGCCTTTCCTCCCGCGGCTACAAGCAGAACCTCACTCAGAAGCCCGCAGAGACGAAGCTCAATATAGTTTGAGGGTGATGGGGGGTATTTACCTGGATGCTCCTGGTTACCGCCCCTAGTGCTACCGTTGCTAGGGCGGCCATTGTGACAAGCCCTCAAACAGGGCGGGGCTGCATTGTTGACATATCACCGTTGCCTATGGACGACGTGAGGCCCGTGACACGGAGAGCAAGCACGCCCTGTGTGCAGCTAAAGGGACGGAGCCAGCCGGCATGGGCGCCAAGCAGAGGCAACTGCAGAAAATTTGCCGCCGTTTAAATAGGAAGCGCGTCAATGGGTTGGGGAGCATTGACGTGTGTATTCTACATTTTCTTGTATAGGCACTTGTGGCGATCACACAGGGCCCCCGGACGTTTTACGGTCTATTGACCCTGTGCCACCACTGCGGTTGCTTTCTTCGCTGCCACCACCCCGCTTCTCATGGGGACACACGGAGTCCAGACAGTTGTTAATATAAACAAATAATCAAGTTTATTTTTAAGTGCAGGAATAAGCGTATGGTTTCGGTTTATTTTTCTCTTGTCAGTTTCTTAAATCTTAGTTCCTAACAACTTCAATCTGAATTATTCCCAACTATCTATCTAACTCCCTAACAATTCCTCTCACTCTCTCACAATACAACTCGACCAACCCACTGCCTATTCCACCCTCTTCCTTCTCCAACACCCAAGCCTCCACTCCCAACTGACAAACCTCAACTTCCAACTCCCAAACCTCAACTGACTTTTCAAAACCTCCCACTCTATCCTTTACTCCCCCCTTGCCTTCTCACTGGCCAATCACATCACACCCATTTTAACCCTTTCCTTGACCCATCCTAGGAGGCAAACACCACAGCCCTTGAGAGTTACTAGTCTTCCAAAATAAAGGCCTTTTAAAAAGAAGAAAATCCGGAGGCTTCGTGTTGCTTTCGCTGAAGCCTGGAGAGCGAGATGGGTCGGTGCGCACCGACCCCTCTCGCTCTCCAGGCTTCAGGGATAGCGCTTGAAGCCTCCGGAGCACAGCGGGAACTCGCGCTGCACTCCGGAGGCTTCAGGTTCCTTTTGCTGAAGCCCAGAGAGCAAGACTCTCCTGGCTTCAGCAGAGAGGGAGAGTGTGCAGCGCCCCTTCAGCCAAGCGGGAGGAGAAATGGAAGGGGCTCCGTTTCTCCTGCAGCTTCGCTGAAGGGGCGCTGAGCAGAGAGGGGGATATTTTTTTTTCTTGTTCTTCCCCTCTAAAACAAGGTGCGTCCTATGGCTGGGTGCGACCTATACAGCGAAAAATACGGTACATTTTTATCTCTCTCCTGCCCCTTCTCTTCCCCTGATCTCTGTAGAACAGAGCTTTTTACTCAGTCTACAAGTTAAAAATGATGCTATTTTGAAATTTTATTTCTTATGTTATATGTTCATATGCAACCAAATTGTAAGTCTATGCAAATGTATTTATATATTTTGAATTTTATAAAATCATAAAAAACACCAGAGCTGTTTCGTCAATTCTCAGTCCCCCTGTTGCCCCAACTTGTAACTTGTTTCTCTGCACTTCTGATGTTTGTTCCTCTTTGTTTGTTAAAATGGCATTAGCTCTTGTGAATTGTGTGCTTAGACAGTTGCGCATGCATATAAAATTGTGCTGTGTCTGATACTTGTTGGAATACTTCTTTCACAGTATATCAAGATCCTGCAGACCAGTACTAAAACTTAATTCCCTATGGGCTCATGTGATTTTTCCTAATGACTTTGCTGCTTGTCAGCTATGATAAGCTACTGGTGTAATGCATTATAAAGTTACATTGACATACTGGCAGCCAATTTATCAATATGAAAATTTGGAGAAAGACAGTATAAAAATTGCTAATTTTAGAATTAAGAACGATTAGGAATGGTCTGGTTTAAGTTAGGAAAGTGTTATTTTATTTAGAAGATACCAAACTTAATGTCTCAAAACCTTTAACTTGTTGTATTTTTTAAAAAAATAAAAAATAAAATACAACTAATTGCAAGGAGTATGCTCTTGAGTATGCTGTCATCTAGTGGTATACTGTAATATTAACACAAGTGAAGAGGTGGAAAGCACTTTACTTAAAGAAAATGAGACCAAATATGTGTATATTTTCTTCTAAGTTTCTGTCACATGCTGGATTATATTAGTTTTCTGTTCTAGAGGGTGGCACTCAAACCAGTGGATTCAAATTACAAGAAGGGAATTTCAGCTAATGAAAGAATGCACTTGTTGACTGACTACTACTACTTTGGCGATCACTCGAAGCCAAGTAAGATTGTCTTCCATGAACACAGTCTTAACATTGAATCCGTAAGTGACTGGAGACAGTGGAACAGGCAACCTCATTCGTTGGTTTTAATTCTAGGCTGGAAAGCATCCTAACAGAGGTTCTGTTGTAGATTTTCTGCTTTTGCAGGTGATTAGTCCAAATGATGTTTCAGTTCAATTCCAACTCTGATGTTGTAGCTGTACATTTAAAAATGAACGTCCTGATTATTCAAGCCCTGGAGGAGCCAGCTGGAGGACACACGGAAAAGTGGCTGCTGCTAGGCGGGGCAGCTGAGCAGCCTAAACAAAGTCTCACTGCACCTCCAGTCCCTTTCAGCCATTTCCCACCCTCACTGAAGTCCTCTCTAGGCTCTGGAGAGGGTCTTCTTGTGAGCCACAAGGACCCTCCAGCTCTCTTTCTCCATTTTCTGGTTAGATTTATTTCCCAGTGCTGTGTGTTAGTCAATCACACATAAGTGGGGGGAGGGACATCTGCGATTCAATTACAGTGGTGCCTCGCAAGACGAAATTAATTCGTTCCGCGAGTTTTGTCGTCTTGCGATTTTTTTCGTCTTGCGAAGCACGGTGTCGGGAAAGTTTTGGAAAAGCTTCAAAAATCACCAAAGTCTTAAAAAACCTCAAAAAAGGCTACCACACCGCGTTCTATGAGTTGCTCCTCGAAGTCAAGTCGCAACTGTATTAACGGTGTTAAGAAAAAGGAAACAAACTTGCAAGACGTTTCCATCTTGTGAAGCAGCTCGAAAAACAAAAAACCCTTTCGTCTAGCAAGTTTTTTGTCTTGCGAGGCATTCATCTTGCGAGGTACCACTGTATCCATTGTCTGTTTTTACAGGTGAGATGTGAGGCACAGAGTCTGAGCAGCAATCTTGTTGACTTTTGCATGAGAAGAGTTATGCCATACCAAGGAAGATATAGTCTGTTTTGGCAATGAGAAACATTTATCTCAATTGGAAAACCATACAGTGCCCTCCATATTTTTGATCTGCAACTCCCATCATTGTGTTTGACTGCTGACTGGGGAAGATGGGGGTTATAGTCCAAAGCACTGAGACGGCACCAGGTTACGGAAGCCTGGCCCTAAAACATCTGAGTGCTGTCCAACCCAGTCCTGCATGTGTTCACTCAATCAACCCCTGTGGCGCTTACTCCATGGAAGCAGGTAAAGAACTGTGCTGCTGGTGTATAAGTTTGTTTGGCAAAGCTGCTGATTTACTGTGCAAATTAATCATCAAAGAACTTAGGGCAAGGCCCTTGTGTTTCTAAGTAAATATCAACTATGCATAGTCTGCCTAGCTTTCATCTAAAAACCACAGCACTTTTATAGTAGAATACCCCATGATTGGCATACCATGTGCAAGTATAATAGTTTAACAACTTAAGTGGATGCATTCTGCTCTAGCATTATTTCAGGATTGTATATCATTTGACATGGTGTCAGACAACAGCTGAGCAGAAGGGTCCAGGTTCAGTCTGGCATCTCCAGTTGGAGGGGGTGGAATTGGGTTGGAGAAGATCTTTGCCTGAGGCCCAGGACTTGCTTCCACTCTATAAATGATGTTGGGCTACATGGATTACTGGTTTGAGACAGCGTAAGATAGTACCATGTATTCATGAAACAACAAAGGAATAGCTATTAATGAAATGATGGAACACTGCATTTTTAAAAACATGGGTGAAATCCAATAGTGCCAATATGCCAGTGAAATGGAATACTATTGACATAACTGATTTCTCACCACCTCCTGCAATCTCCTATACAGGGTGGCCCAAAAGTAGGTATACACTTGAATCAACGAAATTCATCAGCAACAGATGAAATGGGTACACATAACTGACACACAACAAATTGGCAGTTAAATTTCAGGCTGATGGAAAGAATAGTGGAGTCAGATAAAATGATTATTTTTCTTTACTGATATCATAAATGATGACAGCAAACGAGTCAAGAACAAAGTGGATTCTAAAGCAGTATACTTACTTTTGGACCACCCTGTATGTGCCTGTAAAAATCAGCTTCAGAAGGATGGAAGCAGTTTTTGGTAGTGCACAGAGTGGAGGAGAGGAAGGGGAAGCACCATCCTGCAAACAGAATCACACTCATATGCCATTGGGTTGGAGCCAGAAGACTAGCTGCTCTTAGTTCCCCTTGAACCAATGGGACAAGTTACGAATTGATTTTGTTCCTGTTGATTTCAATGGTAACTTAAGTTCAACTCAGTCTGTTTTGAATGAGCATTTTTTTTTCCAACAGCAGATGGCAACATACTTTCACTAGAAGTAGAAATAAAGTGTAGATCTCACAGAACTCGCAAGATTGAAGATACAGTACAGTACTTAAAACAGTTAAACATTTAAAATACAGTTCTATGATCATGATAGCATAGATAGCATATTTCCCTCTAAACCTTTACGTAGTTGCTAATGCAAACTATGAAGAGCTCAGATTTGGGGGGGATTTTTTGCAGACTACAAATAATAAAATAATTGCTATGTCTCCTGTTCCAAAACAAGTGAGATGAAAATACACTGTTATGAAATCCCATTTCTGCCCATTGAAATTAGGTGTCTATTTGAATGTATCTATATATATGAATGCATACATTCACAAGGTATTGTCTGAATGCACACAAGACACACACCCTTGCTAAAGCTAAGCCATTCTGAGTTTGGCCAGTGATGGTTAACCTCTCAGAAAAGGTTAACATTTTTGTTCCATAAAGGAAGAAGGGCAGGATATAAATGTCAGAAAAGAAATAATAAATGCATTCTAAGTGAATATCAAGATAACATGCTTAAGGAAGCACCTGCTAAATTGTTCTTAAAATCCATAGACTGCAGTGGGATTAAGAACTATGATCACACGACTGCTCCATGTATGCACAGTTATTTCCAGCTGCCAACCTCAGATTGTATCATGCAATAGTAAGTCCACCTTACTATATGTGTAGTAGTGCAGGATTGCTTCCTTGAGGAAGCAAGCATGATAGTTAATCAGAAGTTGTGTTTTACTTTAAAGAGAATTGCATATAACATATTCCTTGGATTAGAACAGCATATCCAGACCTTAATCTCTAGCACTGACCTTGGCAAAGTCAAATTAGTGTGATCCACTGCTGATCCAGTTTTCTGAGCTATGGATTCCATTTTGTGTGCCTGTACTTGTCCATTATCAACCAGTCATTTGGAATTTACAAGTCTGTGTGCAAGACAGACTTTCCAAAGTGCAGGGTATGGCAGGCAGATGCATTGGCCAATCTGATGCCCTCCAGATGTTTGGAGCTACAACTCTCAAAGCTGAAGGGAGCTGTACTCCAGAACATCTGGAGGGCACCAGGTTGGTGAAGGCTGGCTTTTATAGTAAGAGTGCTTGTCTAAGTACTTCTGTTGTGCTTATATGAATGGCCTGACATATAAACAGCAGAGTAATTGAATTTGTTGCCTATTCCCCCACCCCATCCCAGTTATTTACTTTATTTACTTCAGAAGAGTAGGTACTTTGAACAATGTCAGTGAACAGATTTTGGCATAATTTTTTTTGCCACAGCTATAAAGATATTGATTGTACTGTGGAATGCATCATTGAAAAACACTGCTGGGTGGAGTTCATCTTCAGTGAAAAACTGGACAGCTGCAATAAAGCAGCTCTGGTAAGCATGTATTGACATATAAACATTGCCTTTGGTTTTTTTGAGCTGTCAAATAACAGGTGTCTCATCCTGAAAGAACGATGCCATGATCTGCTGCTGTTGTCTCAGAAAAGGTGTGGATATGTTGCACTGGGATATATAATTGAAAAATAGAGCATGCTAACCCCCTAACTAAAAAAAAAAAGGTAATAGGTTGGATCTAGACTTCATCATGCTTAAGTGTAGATAGAACTCATTGATCTCAGTGGGTCGTGAATTTAAGCATGGCTATGTCTGAGTCCAACCCAATGTATGCTTGTATTCAAGACCAAAGAGGTAACCACTGAAATATTATTCATATTTACCCGTAGTTTATTTACAAGATGCATGTTCTCTGCAGGAAGCAGCCAGAGTAATTTAGAAATTGTGAAGTAAATACTCTTGCCTTTTTTCACAATGTCTCTGTTGTGCTGCCTAGGAAGGTGTAGCTGTGGTTAAAGACAAGTATGTGTAAATATTATCCAACATTATATTATATTACAATCTAGTAAATGCTTCATACTATGCTTTTTGTTATCAACTTTTAACAAGCAGGGCATTGCAAAAGTGAAATTAAAGGAACAAACTGAAATCTCCTAATTTTGTTTCCCCCGCTCCATAACCAATTCCCTTAGGTAAATGTCTTTATCTGCATGTTTACAAGAGAGTGTTCAAATAGTAAGACAAATTGTGCTGGATCTTTTCATGTGCTAATTGAGCACTTCTAAACCAAACATAAGAAAATTTATTTTTTCATTTTTTTCAATATATATTTTCCCTGGCCGTTTGGTAGTGAGTGGTGTACCTCTCTGATCCTGTTCCAAAAAATTATCTGGGATTACAGCAGGAATCTTAACAGATAAGTAGGGAGATCTTCGGTGCTGGGTTGAGTTGAAGTCGCCCCTCCTGTAATTACCTTGATTTTAGTATATTTTTCTTTGTGTTAAAATGGGCAATCTTTCAGTCTTGGACATGTCTGATCTTGATCCTGTTAACTAGAGATTGTATGTCATTATTTTGATGTGCCTGTTCTTGGTGCTGTCACAGTTCCTGAAGAGAATGATGCAACACAGCTGACAGGCAGAACAAAACACATTTTTCAGCAAAGACCGTCAAACGGTTCCTTCAAGGGCAGAAGCTTGTTGGCTTTCCATGCACAGAATTGTTAGTTAGAAGTTAAATAGAGCATTGTGTAAACATGGGCTGCTCTTTCATTACAGGTGACCAAGAATATATTTCGTTTCCATCTGTGTTGGCCTTGCATCAAGTCCAGGCTTAAGATAAGGCCTAAGATTAATTGATTGCTGTTCTAATAAACTCTTTGCTTATAAGTACAGTTTAAACACAGATGCCCTCCTTAAACATCCATCCTGTGTCATGGTATATTAGGGTGTGTGTAAAACATATTCAGCTGTGTGTGTAAAAAAAGAAGAAGTGTTTAACCCTTCACCAGACTGAGGTATTTATTTCCAAGTTGTAAGAGAACTAGAATTGTTCTGAAATTCAGAATAGGAAAGATTTTATCATTGGTATCCGGAAACAAGGAAAGAAAATGGTTAGTCAATTATCCTTGAAATACCTTGTGGATTTATTTGGTGGTTTCTTTGATTACTTGTTCATTTGACAACTAACTCCTGGACATGTGAAAACTGACTAGAATGAACACCATTGTGTTTGAGGTACTATGGAAGTTCTGAGGATCAGCCCAATACATTTTGCTCCTGATTAATGAACAGTGAGAGCCACTGATTTAGTTGGGTTAAATAATAACCATATTCTAATTTTATGAAATGGAAAGATACAGGCCTCATGCTCTTAAACATTAAAGGGGAAAACATTGCTGTATACTTTGCTGATTTTTAAAAAGTCTTGTAAATTCTAGTGTTGTACACTGTAGCATGTACTAACACTGCTAGCAAGACCTGAGATCCCTTCCAGATGACCTATCTATTGTATATCCATCCTGATTTCCTTGTACAAAGCTTATGTGCAGTTAGATTATATGAGGTCTTAACTGAGCATTTCTTCTAATTTTACGACACAGAGCAATTCATCCTGATTTTCTTGCGGGAGCACTCATAGTTCATAATCTGTTTCCAGATTTCCAAGTACTGTGCAGTATTTGATAGGAAAGGATGCACACTGAGAGCATTTCTTAAGACATACTTCAAGGACAAAATCAAAACACTTCAGCAAAGCCTAAACATTAATCAATGTAAGGATGTTCTTGTACGTCAAGTACTACATAGTATAGCTTGCCAATGACCTCAGCATGCTAACCAACGCTGAAACAACTAGAGTAATTACAGATTACATTAAGTATCAAGCAAATGCCAAGAGTCAACTACTAGACAGTTCTTTTATGCCTTATTAAAATAGATCCTTCCCAGAAGATTCAGACTAATAAAACTGAATTTTATATAGCAACCAGGGAAAGATTTATTTATTTATTTATTTATTTATTTTTATGAAAACATTATCCCCTATTTCTCCTTGACTAACATTCCAGCTTGGCAGGCTTCTGTTGCATAGAACATATGCAATATATATCCTCACACACATCCCCACCCCATTCCCGCAAATTACAATGATAGTTTTGAGCCCAAATCTTGCTGTAGTAAGACTATTTGAAAATAAAGGGGTTAAAGTTATTTGCAAGTAAGCTGTTCCATTGGTATCAATAACTACATAGGGGACAAGATCCCAGTTGCTTTCAAAAATAAAATCATTTTGATTACCCTTTTAAGAGACACACACAAAAAAGTACCATGCACAATTGATGTGACCTTTCCTTTGCAGTACAGAATCAATTTTCTGTCCCACTGCAGCCCATCAGATGGTAGCCCAGTGGGCTCTGGTTTGATCCAGTGAATAGCCAGTTTGCCCATATTCAATCCTCCTCCCCCCCACCTTTTAAAATCAATTCATGTTTATCACATTGAAACCCCACTATTCCCCCAAGAAGACTGCATGTCAGGCGTCCTCATTCTTCATGCTTAGCACCAACCCATGAGTTAAGGTAAGCCGAAGATTCTAATGTCACCCAGTAGGGCTGGCCCTGCCATTAGACATTATGAGGCAAGCACCTCAGGTAACAGGTGTTGTGAGTCAACACTGTCTTCCACTGTTGGAAGACAGCTATCCTGCTGCCATCAGGTGCAGTGGAGGATGCTGTCCTGTCAAAGTCAACCCAGTCATCTGCTGTTCATGGAAAATGTAGGAGGTGGTTGCCATCCTGTCCTTTGCCTCAGGCAGGAAAAAAATATCCTGGGCCAGCTCTGTCATCCAGTAAGCTTCATGTTCAACAGGGCCTCTTTGTTCAAATTCTAACACTAACACCATACTGACTAAAAGGAGTGTGTTGTGAGGGCAGGGAGGGAAATGTGAGAATCTGTATTAGATTCAGTAATGAACCACTGTTTACCAATGACCTGAAATGAATTTTCAGCTATTGGTCATGGGGAGGTCAAGCCTTTGTGGGAGTCACTTCCACTGAAATCTTGTAGCACTGACTTAATCATCAGTCTGTTCCATAAATCTGCTATTCTAGGCTGCATCAACAGAAGTCCAGATCAAGGGAAGTAATAGTACCACTCTAGTCTGCCTTGGTAAGACCATAGCTAGAGTGCTGTGCCCAGTTCTGGGTGCCACAGTTTAATAAGGGTGTTGACAAGCTGGAAAGTGTGCACAGAAGGGCAACCAAATGATCAAAGGGTCTGGAAACCAAGCCTTATGAGGAATGGTTGAGGGAGCTGGGTTTGTTTAGCATGGAAAAGAGGAAACAGAGGAGATATGATAACCATCTTCAACCATCTCAAGGGCTATCTCATGGAAGATGGGCAAGATTGTTTCCTCCTGCTCTGGAGGGTAGGACACAAACCAGTGGCTTCAAGTTACAAGAAAGGAGATTCTGGATAAAACCAGGAAGAACTTTCTGACAGTAAGAGCTGTTCAGCAGAGAACAGTCTCACTTGAGAGATTGTGGACTCTCCTTCCTTGGAGGTTTTTAAGCAGAGGTTGGGTGGCCATCTATCATGGATGCTTTAGCGGAGATTCCTGCATTGCAGGGGGTTGGACTAGATGGCCCTTGGAGTCCCTTCCAATTCTATGATTCTATAACATGAAGGACCATAGCTTGGTGGTAGAGCATCTGCTTTACATATGGAAGGTCCCAGGAACAACCCCAGGTAGGGCAGGAAAATACTTCAATCTGAAATCCTGGAGAGCTGCTGCCAGTCAGTGTGGACAATACTGAGGTAGATGGACCAATGACCTGACTCAGCAGAAGGCAGCTTCCTATGTTTCTAAATGTAACTGGTATCTGAGTGCCAAAATAACATCAAATTATGTCAAAAGCATGTAAAGGACCTTAGACATGAATTATTATTCAAAGAAAGCCAGCAGACCCCTCCCATCTCATCCTGCTTATGCTTCCCAATGCGACAGTGAAATGTGTGGCTTCAAAGTAGCCTCAATAGATTTAGGAGAGTAAATAATGCCGTGGCACTAAAGGATATGTAATTAATTATGACCACTTATTTCATCTGAAAAAATAGCGATCATGCTAAATGAACCATGGACGCAATTTCAACCACATCACAACTATTGAGTGTGTTTTTCCAGTGATGAACATTATGCAAGGCTGGAATTTAGCCTTTGAAGCAGGAAATAAATAAGGGGGAAAATGCATCTGAAAAGAATGCTATTGAAAAGAATAAAAAACAAAGCACTATTGTTTTCAAAATAACAGCTGGTTGTTGAAGCAAGCAGTTAATGCTTCTTTTGGCTCCAGTGGAGCAAGAACGGGTTTGTAAAAAGTTGGGACCATCTTTTGTTTTGTTAGGATTGTACCAAGAATAAGCGTTGGGTATAGTTTAAGGCGTTTTATCTATATCCTGCCTCTGATATGCATATTGATGGCTGAAGACAATGAGTTAGAGAATTGCCACAATCCTCTGTGGCTGGTGAGGCTGTAAGACAAGGATTTGTGCAAGGCCACTCAATGAACTTTGTGGTTCAGCCAAGATAGAGACATCATCATCATCATTATTACTCTAACTTCCTTTTAGAGCCACAAGCTGTTGTCCATCTTCTGGTAGCAGAGTCCCTAATTTGACTATGCTATGTGATAAAATACTTATAACTGTTCTGAACCTTCCAATACTCCACTTTCTTGGATGGCCGCAGGTTCTATTACTGGTGGTGTGGGGGAGTTCTCTCTAACCACTTTCTCAACACCTCTATCATGTTCCCCCTTACTCTCCATTCGCCCAAAACTTAATAAACCCTATTGATGATTTGGTCCCTGGTCTCTGCTTCTGAAATCCAGCACTTCTTACCCACTCCAATGAATGCTTCTCAGTTTATTCTAAGGAAGTACCCGAGCCGCTTCAGCCATTAGGCAGACTGAGGCGCCTGCCTCAGGTGGCAGAATCCCTCAAGGTGGCACTGAAACCAATTTTTGCCACCACTCCTTCACCAGCAGCAAGAGGTAGCAGGACAAGTGGAGAGCAGCATTGACGGCAGCAGGTCTGGTGGCGCCAGCGGCAGCAGGAGAGCAGAGCAGGACAGCACTTTCCATTTTGCCTCAAGAGATGAATAGGGGTACATCACCCCTGAAAATTGCAATTTACATTTGTAAGCTGAAGAAGCTGGATTCCAAGTGTTTTTGTCTTTTAATACAGAAGAGCGAATTTTTAAAGAAAATAAGAGAGACCTCAGGAACAAAATATGAAGAAGAAAAGTCGTAACCAACACCGACTGCAGCATGTTCCCGATTATTAACCCTCATTTGGTACTACTTAATCTCCAGAATGTATTAGTGCCACAAGGAATATATTTGACAAATACGTTGACTACGGTTAACAATTTACCTACAGCTGTTGCTGGGCTAATGGTGTCCACCAGTGGCAAGACCATTTTAATTACCATTGTCATCCATCTCATGAAGCTTTATGCATTTGTATTATTTATGGAGCTTTCCTGCAACTGTTAGATGACTCACGAATAGCCGAGGGATCAGGAGTTCAACTTATGTTATGTTAGATGTTATCACCAGAGAGCAGCAAAGGGCACCTGGGTCACATATGTGAATTTGACCTCTGGTGAAATGAGTTTGGGGCTAGCTGTATTTAAGAAAAGAGAAGGAAAAAAGAGCAGGCTCACTCTGCAGAGACAGTACTGGGTAACTGCACCCTCCCCATCTATTAGGTGCTGATGGTTTCTTAAGAGGTGCTGAGTGCCCTCATCTTCTGCTGAAAGAAACTAGAGGATAGATGGAGACACTCCATGCTTTTCTCCACTGTTGTGCAGTAAGAGTGCATTTGTTGTTAAGCTGTGTATAGTCTGCATGCCTTCCCCTGAGATTGTGCTTATTAGTACAATGTCTTCTTCAAATATTACAGGTCTAGGGGACCTTTGCAGTGGCATCGCAATGGGGGGGGCGGTGCGCCCCGGGTGCCATGTCTGCAGGGGTGACAAGAAGGCACCCCATGGGGGCTTGCAGTAGCGCAAGCAGCCATCGTGCTGCTGCAGCCGCATGTGGAGGATCCTCCATTCGTGGCTGCAGCCGCGAGCAGAGGATCCCGGCGCCAGCGGCAAACCGCTATGTACAGTGCATGTGTGGCTTTGCACGCATGCGCTGTATGTAATGACACCGCACATGCACTGTACTTAGCGGTTTGCCACCAGCGCTGCTCCAGCGCCGTACAGTCAGTGCCAGGATCCCTCTGTCGCCACTACAGCCACAAACGGAGGATCGAACGAAGGCTTCATACAGCACATGCTTTGTACATAGCAACACCGCTCATGTGCCTTACATAATGACGCCTGCCCTGGGTGTCACAACGCCTTCGTTCACCCCTGGACCTTTGGCCCTACAGATGTTGCTTAACTACAACTGCTACCAGTTCAAGCAAGCATGGCCAATGGCCGGGGATGATGGGAGTTGTAGTTGTAGGTGTTATGCCTGGTGGACTGCAATACACCAAGCTATTACTTGGCCTGCAATAGTGATATCCTCAAATGGGCATTCTGGTCAGAGACATTATTTGGCTTCCAGCTGACTTTAAGAGCCTAAGTAGTAATGGGGGAGAAATTCAACTTGGTTCACATTTAAAGGCAAACCTACACCAATTCACACTTTCTGAAACAATAAGGACTAAAACACGGACAACTGTTGTAATTTGCATGTCCGCTGAATTTTCAGTCGTCTTTTCTAGTCAACTAATGTGTACAAAATGCATATACCAGCTGAGGCAGACTTTGACCATCTTTCATAATATGGTGCTCTGTTTGAGGCCAAAATTCGGCACTCCCTAATGCATCTTCCCAATTATGGATCGCCTCAGTTTTGCTCCCCCTAAATCTGGCACCGATACTAGGAGAAAGTGCTCATACATATATTCGTGAAAACAATGTGGAGAAATGTGTTACATTAGGAAAAACTGTTGCAAAATTCCCTGTATTTGGAAGAATTGCAAACAAAATTGTGCATGTCAGGAGAATTTTGCAGTAAAATGCTGCTGAATTTTCATGAGGAATTTTGTTTTATAATGCAAACTGAAGTGGAAATGTGGAAAAATGAATTTAATACTGGAAAAATGAAAGAGAAACTGTTAATCACTTAACCCTAACCAGCTTGCATGGTTTGAGGCCTGCAGTTTGATGTGAAGCCCCCCTAAACCATGTCTTAGGTAAAGGTAAAGGGACCCCTGACCATTAGGTCCAGTCGTGACCAACTCTGGAGTTGTGGTGCTCATCTCACTTTATTGGCCGATCATGTGGCCGGCATGACTTTATTGGCCGAGCTTCCAGATCATGTGGCCGGCATGACTAAGCCACTTCTGGTGAACCAGAGCAGCGCAAGAAAACGCCGTTTACCTTCCCACTGGAGTGGTACCTATTTATCTACTTGCACTTGGACGTGCTTTCGAACTGCTAGGTTGGCAGGAGCAGGGACCGAGCAACGGGAGCTCACCCCGTTGCGGGGATTCAAACCGCCGACCTTCTGATCGGCAAGTCCTAGGCTCTGTGGTTTAACCCACAGCGCCACCTGTGTCCCTAGAAACCATGTCCTGCAAGCTGCCAAATGCCTGGCAAACACTCCGGTTACTTGCTACTCAATCATCTTAACAGGAGATGTCAGAAACTAAACCTGGAACATTCTTATTCGGAGACATAAAAGTAAACTATGGAACTTACTGCCTCAAGATGTGGTGGTAGCTGGAGACTTACATGGGGTGTTTTGTTTTTTTAAGGGATTAGACCAAAGGCCCCATATACACTGTGCACTTCAAGAAGTATCATACCACTTTAAAGAGCCATGCCTTCTCACAAAGAATCCTTGGAAGGGTAGTCTTTCAAGGGTGCTGAGGACTGTTAGGAGACCCCTATTTCCCTCACAGAGCTACAACATCCAGAGTGGGTTAGCAGTCAATCCCACTTCCCAGGGAACTTTGGGACTTATGTTGCTTTGCAGACAAACGAAAGAGGTTAACAGGTGAGCATGGTGGACTGATAGGTTTAATTTGTTGCTGTTTAGTCGTTTAGTCGTGTCCGACTCTTTGTGACCCCATGGACCAGAGCACGCCAGGCACTCCTGTCTTCCACTGCCTCCCGCAGTTTGGTCAAATTCATGTTGGTAGCTTCAAGAACACCGTCCAACCATCTCGTCCTCTGTCGTCCCCTTCTCCTTGTGCCCTCCATCTTTCCCAACATCAGGGTCATTTCCAGGGAGTCTTCTCTTCTCATGAGGTGGCCAAAGTATTGGAGCCTCAGCTTCACGATCTGTCCTTCCAGTGAGCACTCAGGGCTGATTTCCTTAAGAATGGAGTGGTTTGATCTTCTTGCAGTCCATGGGACTCTCAAGAGTCTCCTCCAGCACCATTATTCAAAAGCATCAATTCTTTGGCTTAATATAGATTCTTAAATGTACTCCAAGAGTGAACTTCACCATCATTTGGGCTGGGGAGAAATAACCTTTGCAGAATGCTTGACACAAATGCCTGTGTACCACACCACATTCATACCATGGGGTAGAGGACAGGTCTAGCTTTCACCATGTGCTTAACACTGAATTTCATCAGGAAAGAGGTACGATTTATTGCCCTCCAATGTCTTTTGACAAGAAGCGTAGGGAAAGCGGTGCATAAATGCCAATGCACTGCCACACACATCGCTTTTTAAACTCTGTCCCTCTGCCTTTGTAAAAAAAAAATTCTGAAGAAAACAAAAGCCCCAGCGATATTGTCCTTTAGAGAAAATGCTCTGACGTAGTAACTAGTTGGGTTGCCCCACTCTCCATTTTTGGTTTATTTTTCAATGCCCCTGGCAAAAATTAAGTGCGAATTAAAGCACTGCTGTGCAAATATGTGAAATGTGCCCCCATTCCTCCTATGTACATAAAAGAAAGTGCCTAAGAAGACGAAAAAATGGCAGGGACAATGCAAAGACACTGTTGGGTTTATCAGAGCCACAAATCAGGATTAGTCCAGACACTCACCTTGTCTCCAAACCTCCTTTTAGCACCTGAGAAGCAAATGTAAATAAGATAACGTCTGTGAATGCACACACATCTGGCCCCCACCCTAGGAAGCCTTCAGCACCACTCATTTTAGAAATTAAATTATGGAAAGAGCCACCGGAACAGGGTAGAAATCACTTCCTTCCTGGCGAGAGACGGTCCCTCGTCAAGTCTCACGCTTCTGCCATCCCTCCACCTGCAGTTCCGCGTTGTGGCCGGGAGGGGGCAGCGCAGACCAACCCGTTTGCGCTCAACCAGTAGCGTGTGAAGCCGGGGCGGTTCTGTTTCTTGCAAAAGGAAAGGAAAATAAGTCGGGCCACGCAACCACATCTGGCGGGATCCATTGCAGACTTGGCAACAAGGCATCATTCCCACGGCGGGCAGACAGGACGAGGTTCTCTTCTCGCTATCTAGGATGCGCAGATCCCGAGCGCCGCGAATCAGAAGGGCTCCATTTTCCTTCGAATTATACAGAGGCTCCCGAAATCTCTCTCTCGCTCCGTCTACACACACACACGGGAAGAACCCAGGTCTCTATATGAAATTCAAAATATCACCCAGGGCAATAAAACTAAGGTCTTTTCAGCTTCTTATACTTCCAGGGGAAGAGTTAAAGCACGAGCTGAAATCTCTCCCGCACTGATATCCACTTGATTGAATTTTGGCCGCAAATCGTACACAGGGCGTTTCTCATAATAATTTAGCCCGAGATTTATTCATTCGCCTTAAAGGGGGGGCGGGGGGCGAGATTCCTAAATCACCATCGCGATCGGAGGCATTTCCCCCCACCCCACCTCGAACACTTAGAGCAGACAAGGCCAGAATATAAGTACTGTTACTTGGGAGTAAGTGCCTCTGGTTTTTTGTTTTGCTTTTAAACGAGATCCAGGAAAAGGTGTCTTGTAAGAAAGAGCCTATGGAGGCGCTTTTAACGGATCCGTGTTTTTTAACCATGTTTCTGCGCCACTGCGGCCCCACGAAACAGTGGATGCATGATTTTTTTGATGCTGCCTACAGAGTAAGACATGGTCTACAGTATCATGGTGGTTTTATTTAATTTGAATGAAAAAACCACATGAATTCATGAGGATCCGTTTAAAATCAGCTGGATCCACCTTTTACCCTTTAACTATCGCCCTCTCTTTGG